GTGTGTGTGAGGGCTCTCTCTGGCTGTGTGTGTGTGTGAGAGGCTCTCACTGGCTGTGTGTGTGTGTGAGAGGCTCTCACTGGCTGTGTGTGAGGCTCTCCCTGGCTGTGTGTGTGTGTGAGGCTCTCCCTGGCTGTGTGTGTGTGTGTGTGAGAGGCTCTCACTGGCTGTGTGTGTGTGAGAGGCTCTCCATGGCTGTGTGTGTGAGGCTCTCTCTGGCTGTGTGTGCGCGGCTCTCCCTGGCTGTGTGTGCGCAGCTCTCCCTGGCTGTGTGTGAGGGCTCTCTCTGGCTGTGTGTGAGAGGCTCTCCCTGGCTGTGTGTGCGCGGCTCTCCCTGGCTGTGTGTGAGGCTCTCCCTGGCTGTGTGTGAGGCTCTCCCTGGCTGTGTGTGCGCGGCTCTCCCTGGCTGTGTGTGAGGCTCTCTCTGGCTGTGTGTGTGTGTGCGCGGCTCTCACTGGCTGTGTATGTGCGAGGCTCTCTCTGGCTGTGTATGTGCGCGGCTCTCTCTGGCTGTGTATGTGCGAGGCTCTCTCTGGCTGTGTATGTGCGAGGCTCTCTCTGGCTGTGTGTGAGGCTCTCTCTGGCTGTGTGTGTGTGTGCGCGGCTCTCACTGGCTGTGTATGTGCGAGGCTCTCTCTGGCTGTGTATGTGCGCGGCTCTCTCTGGCTGTGTGTGAGGCTCTCTCTGGCTGTGTATGTACGAGGCTCTCTCTGGCTGTGTATGTGCGAGGCTCTCTCTGGCTGTGTATGTGTGAGGCTCTCCATAGCTGTGTATGTGTGTGAGGCTCTCCCTGGCTGTGTGTGTGTGTGAGGGCTCTCTCTGGCTGTGCGTGTGAGGGCTCTCTCTGGCTGTGTGTGTGTGTGTGAGGCTCTCACTGGCTGTGTGTGTGTGAGAGGCTCTCACTGGCTGTGTGTGCGCGGCTCTCTCTGGCTGTGTGTGTGTGAGGCTCTCTCTGGCTGTGTATTTGTGAGGCTCTCTCTGGCTGTGTGTGTGTGAGGCTCTCTCTGGCTGTGTGTGTGAGGCTCTCCCTGGCTGTGTGTGTGTGAGGCTCTCCATGGCTGTGTATGTGTGTGAGGCTCTCCATGGCTGTGTATGTGTGTGAGGCTCTCCCTGGCTGTGTATGTGCGCGGCTCTCCCTGGCTGTGTGTGTGTGTGAGGGCTCTCCCTGGCTGTGTGTGTGAGGGCTCTCTCTGGCTGTGTGTGTGTGTGAGGGCTCTCTCTGGCTGTGTGTGTGAGGGCTCTCTCTGGCTGTGTATGTGTGTGAGGGCTCTCCCTGGCTGTGTATGTGCGCGGCTCTCCCTGGCTGTGTGTGTGTGTGAGGGCTCTCCTGGCTGTGTGTGTGAGGGCTCTCTCTGGCTGTGTGTGTGTGTGAGGGCTCTCTCTGGCTGTGTGTGTGAGGGCTCTCTCTGGCTGTGTATGTGTGTGAGGGCTCTCTCTGGCTGTGTGTGTGTGTGAGGCTCTCCCTAGCTGTGTGTGTGAGGCTCTCCCTGGCTGTGTATGTGTGTGAGGCTCTCCCTGGCTGTGTATGTGCGAGGCTCTCCACGGCTGTGTATGTGTGTGAGGCTCTCCCTGGCTGTGTGTGTGAGGCTCTCCCTGGCTGTGTCTGTGAGGCTCTCCCTGGCTGTGTGTGTGAGGCTCTCTCTGGCTGTGTGTGTGAGGCTCTCTCTGGCTGTGTATGTGCGAGGCTCTCTCTGGCTGTGTATGTGCGAGACTCTCTCTGGCTGTGTATGTGCGAGGCTCTCTCTGGCTGTGTATGTGCGAGACTCCCTCTGGCTGTGTATGTGCGAGACTCTCTCTGGCTGTGTATGTGCGAGGCTCTCTCTGGCTGTGTATGTGCGAGACTCTCTCTGGCTGTGTATGTGCGAGACTCTCTCTGGCTGTGTATGTGCGAGACTCTCTCTGGCTGTGTATGTGCGAGACTCTCTCTGGCTGTATATGTGCGAGACTCTCTCTGGCTGTATATGTGCGAGACTCTCTCTGGCTGTATATGTGCAAGACTCTCTGGCTGTATGTGTGTGAGGCTCTCTCTGGCTGTGTATGTGCGAGACTCTCTCTGGCTGTATATGTGCGAGACTCTCTCTGGCTGTACGTGTGTGAGGTCTCTCTGGTTATGTGTGTGTACGTGCGTGAGACGGTCTCTTTGGTTGTGTGTGTATTAGTTTCTCTCTGGCTGTGGGTGTGTGTGAGGCTCTCTCTGGCTGTCTCTTTTTGTTTCTGGCTCAGGCCTTTTCTCTCTTTCACTGTGCGCCTGTGTTTCTCTGTCTTAGGGTGTGTGTGTGTCTGTGTGTGCATTTGCCTACATGTCGCATGTCCGCCCCACCCCCGACTGCCTAATTATATTGTCTCCCTGCCTGACTCCATATCTGAGTGCACGTCTGTCTGCCTGTCGCTGTGTGTGCGCGCGTTTCTCTGTCGGCTGACCGATGCATGTCTGTCTGTCGTCTCCCCCCTCTCTATCTGTGTCCCCTACTGCTCTTCTCTTCTCCCTACTTCTCTCCCTCTCTGTGTCCACCTCCCCCTCACGTGCTCCCTGTGCAGGCCTCCCCCTCACTCTCGCCTACACACTCTTTAATTCTCTCATTTCTCTACTCCCTCTCCTCCTTCCGATCCCTCTCCCGTCCCTCACTCCCGCTTTCTGGCTGACTCCTCTCTCTCTGTCCGTCTGCGCGTGTCTGTCTCTCTCTTCCGAATGTCTGTGTGTCTCACTCTGCGTGTTCGTCTCTCTCTAGTCTGTCTCTGTCAGCGTGTGTGTGTCTCTTCCTGTCTGTCTGTGTCTCTTTGTCTGTATGTGTGTGTGCCTTTCTCTGTCAGCGCGCGTGTGTTTCTCTCTCCGTTCGTCTCTCTCTCCCTTTCTGCACTCACCTCTCTGATGTTCCCCTCTCCACATTCACCTCACTAATATCCCTCTCTCTCTAGACTGACCACTCTGATGTTACTCTCCCTCTGCTCTCACGTCTCTGATGTCACTCTTACTCTCTCTCTGCCCGTCTCTGTGTGCGCGTGAGATTCTCTCTGTGTCGGCCTACCTGATTCATGTCTGTCTCTGTCCAATATAAGATATACAGTCAATTCACTTCAGTGTATTCTGTGAAGCGCTTTGGGACGTCTCGAAGACTCGATAAGGCACTATATCAAATGCAAGCATTATTTATTATTATATTACTCGCTCTGCACACACCTCCCTGATGTTACTCTCTCTCGCTCCATTCAAATTTCCAAGACTGAGGTGGATATTCGTTAGGTAAGGGCACCAAGGGATATGGGGGCCCGGGGAGGGAAGTGGGGTTGAGGTAAAGATAACCCACAATCTTACAGAATGACAAAACAGGCTTGAGGGGCTGAATGACCCACTCCTGTTCCTATGTTCCCTCTGATATTACTCTCTATATCTCTCTGATATTACTCTCTCTCTGCACACTCACCTCCCTGATGATACTCTCTGCACTCACGTCTCTTGATATTACTCCCTGACGTTACTCTGTGCAGTCATATCGCTGATGTTGCTCTGCACTCATCTCGCCGATGTTACACTCTGATGTTATACGATCACCTCCCTGATGTTACTCTCTATATCTCTCTCCCTAATGTTACTCTCTCTCCAATGTTACACACCAACCTCCCTGATATTACTCTCTCTCTATCTCCCTGATGTTACTCTCTCTCTATCTCCCTGACGTTACTCTCTCTCTATCTCCCCAATGGCAGACACTCAACTCCCTGATGTTACTCTCTCTCTATCTCCCTGACGTTACTCTCTCTATCTCCGGGATGTTACTCTCTCTCTATCTCCCTGATGTTACTCTCTCTCTATCTCCCTGATGTTACTCTGTGTCTATCTCCGTGATGGCAGACACTCACCTCCCTGATGTTACTCTCTCTCTACCTCCCTGATGGCAGACACTCACATCACTGATGTTACTCTCTCTATATCTCCCTGATGTTACTCTCTCTCTATCTCCTTGATGTTACTCTCATTCTCTATCTCCCTGATGTTACTCTCTCCCTATCTCCCTGATGTTACTCTCTCTCTATCTCCGGGATGTTACTCTCTCTCTATCTCCTTGATGTTACCCTCATTCTCTATCTCCCTGATGTTACTCTCTCTCTATCTCCCTGATGTTACTCTCTCTCTATCTCCGGGATGTTACTCTCTCTCTATCTCCCTGATGGCAGACACTCAACTCCCTGATGTTACTCTCTCTCTATCTCCCTGACGTTAATCTCTCTCTATCTCCCTGACGGCAGACACTCACCGCCCTGATGTTACTCTCTCTCTATTTCCCTGACGGCAGACAAATACCTCCCTGAAGTTACTCTCTCTATCTCCCTGATGTTACTCTCTCTCTATCGCTCTGATGGCAGACACTCACATCACTGATGTTACTCTCTCTCTATCTCTCTGATGGCAGACACTCACCTCCCTCATGTTACTCTCTCTCTATCTCACTGATGTTACTCTCATTCTCTATCTCCCTGATGTTACCCTCATTCTCTATCTCCCTGATGTTACTCTCTCTCTATCTCCCTGATGTTACTCTCTCTATCTCCGGGATGTTACTCTCTCTCTATCTCCCTGATGGCAGACACTCACCGCCCTGATGTTACTCTCTCTCTATCTCCCTGACGCTACTCTCTCTCTATCTCCCTGATGGCAGACACTCACCTCCCTCATGTTACTCTCTCTCTATCTCCCTGATGTTACTCTCTCTATCTCCGGGATGTTACTCTCTCTCTATCTCCCTGATGGCAGACACTCACCTCCCTGATGTTACTCTCTATCTCTCTGATGGCACACTCACATCACTGATGCTACTCTCTCTCTATCTCCCTCATGTTACTCTCTCTCTATCTCCCTGATGTTACCCTCATTCTCTATCTCCCTGATGTTACTCTCTCTATATCTCCCTGACGGCAGACACTCACATCACTGATGTTACTCTCTCTCTATCTCCCTGATGTTACTCTCTCTATCTCCGGGATGTTACTCTCTCTCTATCTCCCTGATGGCAGACACTCACCTCCCTGATGTTACTCTCTCTCTATCTCCCTGATGTTACTCTCTCTCTATCTCCCTGACGGCAGACACTCACCTCCCTGATGTTACTCTCTCTCTATCTCCCTGACGGCAGACACTCACCTCCCTGATGGTACTCTCTCTCTATCTCCCTGATGTTACTCTCTCTCTATCTCCCTGACGGCAGACACTCACCGCCCTGATGTTACTCTCTCTCTATTTCCCTGACGGCAGACAAATACCTCCCTGAAGTTACTCTCTCTATCTCCCTGATGTTACTCTCTATCGCTCTGATGGCAGACACTCACATCACTGATGTTACTCTCTCTCTATCTCTCTGATGGCAGACACTCACCTCCCTCATGTTACTCTCATTCTCTATCTCCCTGATGTTACTCTCTCTCTATCTCCCTGACGGCAGACACTCACATCACTGATGTTACTCTCTCTCTATCTCCCTGATGTTACTCTCTCTATCTCCGGGATGTTACTCTCTCTCTATCTCCCTGATGGCAGACATTAACCTCCCTGATGTTACTCTCTCTCTATCTCCCTGACGCTACTCTCTCTCTATCTCCCCAATGGCAGACACTCACCTCCCTCATGTTACTCGCTCTCTATCTCACTGATGTTACCCTCATTCTCTATCTCCCTGATGTTACCCTCATTCTCTATCTCCCTGATGTTACTCTCTCTATATCTCCCTGACGGCAGACACTCACATCACTGATGTTACTCTCTCTCTATCTCCCTGATGTTACCCTCATTCTCTATCTCCCTGATGTTACTCTCTCTATATCTCCCTGACGGCAGACACTCACATCACTGATGTTACTCTCTCTCTATCTCCCTGATGTTACTCTCTCTATCTCCGGGATGTTACTCTCTCTCTATCTCTCTGATGGCAGACACTCACATCACTGATGTTACTCTCTCTCTATCTCCCTGATGGCAGACACTCACCTCCCTCATGTTACTCTCTCTCTATCTCACTGATGTTACTCTCATTCTCTATCTCCCTGATGTTACCCTCATTCTCTATCTCCCTGATGTTACTCTCTCTATATCTCCCTGATGTTACTCTCTCTCTATCTCCCTGATGTTACTCTCTCTCTATCTCCCTGACGGCAGACACTCACATCACTGATGTTACTCTCTCTCTATCTCCCTGATGTTACTCTCTCTATCTCCGGGATGTTACTCTCTCTCTCTATCTCCCCAATGGCAGACACTCAACTCCCTGATGTTACTCTCTCTATATCTCCCTGATGTTACTCTCTCTATATCTCCCTGATGTTACTCTCTCTCTATCTCCCTGACGGCAGACACTCACCTCCCTCATGTTACTCTCTGTGTCCCTGAGGGCACACACTGACCTCCCTGATGTTACTCTCTGTGTCCCTGAGGGCACACACTGACCTCCCTGATGTTACTCTGTGTCCCTGAGGGCACACACTGACCTCCCTGATGTTACTCTCCGGCCCTGAGGGCACACACTGACCTCCCTGGTGTTACTCTCTCTCTGTGTCCCTGAGGGCACACACTGACCTCCCTGATGTTACTCTCCGGCCCTGAGGGCACACACTGACCTCCCTGATGTTACTCTCTGTGTCCCTGAGGGCACACACTGATCTCCCTGATGTTACTCTCTGTGTCCCTGAGGGCACACACTGACCTCCCTGATGTTACTCTCCGGCCCTGAGGGCACACACTGACCTCCCTGATGTTACTCTCTGTGTCCCTGAGGGCACACACTGACCTCCCTGATGTTACTCTCTGTGTCCGAGGGCACACACTGACCTCCCTGATGTTACTCTCGGGCTCCGAGGGCACACACTGACCTCCCTGATGTTACTCTCTGTGTCCCTGAGGGCACACACTGACCTCCCTGATGTTACTCTCTGTGTCCGAGGGCACACATTGACCTCCCTGATGTTACTCTCCGGCCCTGAGGGCACACACTGACCTCCCTGATGTTACTCTCCGGCCCTGAGGGCACACACTGACCTCCCTGATGTTACTCTCCGGCCCTGAGGGCACACACTGACCTCCCTGATGTTACTCTCTGTGTCCCTGAGGGCACACACTGACCTCCCTGATGTTACTCTCTGGCCCTGAGGGCACACACTGACCTCCCTGATGTTACTCTCCGGCCCTGAGGGCACACACTGACCTCCCTGATGTTACTCTCCGGCCCTGAGGGCACACACTGACCTCCCTGATGTTACTCTCTGTGTCCGAGGGCACACACTGACCTCCCTGATGTTACTCTCCGGCCCTGAGGGCACACACTGACCTCCCTGATGTTACTCTCCGGCCCTGAGGGCACACACTGACCTCCCTGATGTTACTCTCTGTGTCCTGAGGGCACACACTGACCTCCCTGATGTTACTCTCGGCCCTGAGGGCACACACTGACCTCCCTGATGTTACTCTCCGGCCCTGAGGGCACACACTGACCTCCCTGATGTTACTCTCCGGCCCTGAGGGCACACACTGACCTCCCTGATGTTACTCTCGGGTCCGAGCTCGAACTCCTCTTTGTCCTTCGGCGTCTTGACGGTGACCCGGATGGTTCTGGTGGCCGCGCTCTCCGCCATCGCCGCTCCCAGTCAGTCAGTCAGTCAGTCAGTCACTCCCCTCCCTCACTCCCTGTCGCTGACCGACCGACTCGGCCGCTCTCGGTGCTGCCGGGCCGGGCCGGGCCGGGGCGGGGCGGAGCCTGTGCTGGTGTGTGCTGCCCTGGGCTGGCAGTGGGGCCTGGGCTGGGGCGGCCTCGCTCGCACAGGCCGTCCCTCCTCGCTCTCGTGTCACTCGTCAGTCGGTCACTCGGTCGGTCGGTCGGTCGGTCAGAGCTTCCTCATCGCCCCGCCGCACTGTGTGGGTAATCCGCGCAGCCGCCGGTGCCCACCCACGAGCGATCTGTTTGTAATACAAAATGGTCACCCTTTTTGCCGGTTATTTACACGCCCCTCCCGCTCGGTTCGGCGTTCAATAAAAAAAAACGATCGGTTGTCTTTATCGGCGTTTGATAAAGGCACTGATTTTTTTTTTTACCGTCGACGGTTTCGCTCGCGCGCTCCGCCTCCGCCCCTCTCTGTCTCTGTCTCTCTCTGTCGCCCGTTTTTTTTTCGGTGTAAAAACGCAGGCGGCGGATAAAGGGATGACGTAGATTAGGAGGGAAGTTGCTAGAAGCCAAACTTTGCCTCTCGCCAACGCCGCTCTCTCTCTCTCTCTCTCTCGCTCACCCGCCCGCCCGCCGCGCAAGCGCACCCGAAGAGAGGCCGGCGGCCGCGCACGCGCACCGAAGAGAGGGCGAGGCCGCTCCCAGCTCACTGCGCATGCTCACTGAGAGAGAGAGTGGGGGGAGGGGGCCGATGTACGCGTCAGAGCATCGAGGAGTGTGGCGGGTGGGTGGTGGCTACTGCGCATGCTCGCTGACGGGATCCGGGGAGGGGCGGGGCTGAGCGCTGCGCAGGCGCAGCGCGTACGATGGTGGTGGTGGGCTCTGCATTGTTGTCTGTCTGCTCTGAGCTGCTCCCGCTCTCTGCTCTCTCTCTGCCCTCTCCCTCTCCCCATGTGCCCGAGGAGCTCAGCAATGTCAAGACACAAAAACATGCACTGAAATCCTCCGCCCGGGGCTGAGCCTTCAAATGCATTGAGAGTGCAATTCAGTCAAACGCAAAATGGTGCTGTTGTTTGATTGCTTAAGGAGCCAAATGAGCATGTGAAGGGGGGGGGAGGGAGGGAGGGAGGGTCCGCTTGGGCTCCAAACAGATGAGGAAATATGTAACGGGGGAGGAAGGCAGCTGAGGGTTTTGCGGGGAAAGGTCTTTTTTTTTTAAGGTTGAGATGTTGCAGCGCAAGTCCAAGTTTTCAGAGAAGGGGCTGAGTGTCCTCATAGATGCTGTGACGGTCAGGCAGCAGATCCTCTTCTCCCCCGGAGGGTTCCCTGCCCAGACCCAGGCAAGGCTGAGGGCGTGGCAGGAGGTAGTCACGCTGGTCAATGGCGTGGAGAGAACCCAGAGGACCTGGGAGGAGTGCAGGAAGAAGGTCCATGACCTGAAGAAGAGCGCAAGGGTGAGTTTCTCGGGCAATCACACAGAAATGTGCAGAGCAGGAACGCGAGAGGCTGAGGTACACACTGAAGACTGCCGTGTAATGGGTGAGCGTGAGGGTAGGCGGCACACCATGGCACAGGTCTCAGGTGGCACTGAATGAACAGAGAACCAAAGCATCGACACGAGCGTCTTAATTCCTATCACACACTTGTCTTGCAGAATAAAGTGCCGTATAACAATGCGACCAGTGCTGGTCCATCGACCCAGAAGGAACTTTCACTACATGAGGAGAGGGTTTTGGAGATATTTGGGCCTGAGCCAACGATGAGAGTAGAAGAAGGGAATATTGGATTGGACTTTGAACGACGAGGTATGTAGTACCTGTAAGTAAAGATAATTTGTTTTTGGTTAAATTTTAATCGCTAAAAGTTTACAAGATGAGCAATATGATAATCTATAGAATCATAGATTTTATAGCACAGAAAATTGCCATTCAGCCCATCAAGCCTGCATTGCTGTTTTTCCTCATGTGACCCATCTAATCTGACTTTCCTGCTTGCACCACTTAACCCTTATTACTCTTTTCCCTCTTCACAACAGCGCTATGGGACATCCTCCTGACAAGGAAAGTGCTAAACCAAATCTAAGAATAATGATTATTAATATCCTTAAGTACAACAACAACAACAACAACAAGATTCCATTTATAAAGCGCCTTTCACGTCAGGAGGACGTCCCAAGGCGCTGAGAATTTAGAGAATTTAGTATTCTCTAAATAGAATAACGTTTTCTTTAGAATGAACTTTTAGTATTCTCTTTAAATAATTTATGGACTCTGCTTCAGCTGTGATTTGTGAGAGAATTTCATTCTAATCATCCTCCATGTAAAGCATTTTTTCTAAACTCCCTCTTAATTCTTTCTGTAATTCTTTTAAATATATGCTCTCTCAAAGATTCTTAAGGGACTCGATAAGATTCTGAAGGGCCCAGGTAATGTAGGGCGTGGTAAGCTGTATTATCTTGTACTGATCAGTAGAACCAGAGGACACGGCCTGCGATTGAAGGGGGTAAATTCAGAATAAATCTGCGGAAATACTACTTTAGTGAGCAAGTAGCAAACATATGGAACAGGCTCCCTCGCGAGACAGTGGAAACAGAAAGTGTTGATTCTTTCAAGAACAAATTAGATAGATTTCTGTTAGGAAATAATATCTCGGGATACAATATATAGTTTCGGACATGATGTGTGTGTGACTGCCAGGATGGTAGAAGGAGAACTGGATGGACCTGGGTCTTTTGCCTAGCAAATTCTTATGTTCTTATTGCCTAATAAAAATCAACAGTACTATATTCTGAAATGCAGTTAGGGTGTTAGCCTTCTTGACTTTAAAGGATGAAGACTTTAAAGTCACTCTTCACAACTGAAAACCATCATTCCTAGCAAAAATCTAGTGAATACAGATGGGCATGTTTTATTTCTTTTGTATCTTTACTATAAAGCATGCTTAAAACTGTACACATCTTGTACAGCATCCAACTATTGCTGGCTTAACAAAGGTCTCGAACAAGTTCAATATTGTGGGGTCGTGTAGCTCAGTTGTTAGAGCACTCGCCTCGCAAGTGAGAAATCTGGGTTCGGCTCACAGCAGGGCGAAATGTTGGGCATGGTTCCTTACTCCACACGCCTCTGTTTACCTAGCAGTAAGTAGAAACCCATCATTAGTCCATTGGTGGATTACTTTTCTGGGGGTAATAATTCATTTAAACAAAAATTGTCACTGAAACCATGACTGTTCTTGGGACACTGCTGTGCGCAATTGGCTGTCACGTTTTGCCCACAAAATATAGAGTCTTTACACTATATTTTGTGAAGCGCTTTGAGACGTCTTGAAGATGTGATAAGGCACTATATTAAATGCAAGGATTATTATATATTACCTCCTTACTTTTGAAGACCTACCTCTTTGACTGTCCCTATGGTTCCCTCCCCTCTGGCATTGATACCCACCATGATGCAGCTCTCCGAGATGCTATCCTGTGTGAAGGGCAATTTTTAAATGCAAGTTGATGTTGCATTTATGCCTTTAGATATAAAAAATATTCTCTTTGCCATTTTTTGACCTTATCTATCTAGCTGTGCTGTGACTGTTCATGAGCTTTTTACCAACACACCAAAGTAGCTGTATCTCTAACTCAAAAAACTTATTGTTTAAGGTATATTTACTTTCCTTACTCTTTGTACTAAAATAATAATAATCCTTGCATTTGATATAGGGTCTTATCACGTCGTCGAGATGTCTCATAGTGCTTCACAGAATATACTGTAAAGTGGGCGAAACGCAGCAGCCAATTGTGCATTAAAATATATTAAAATGCTTCACCTATTTGTCCATTCTCTAGCTTTTCTATGGCAGATTCAGTCTTCCACAAACTTTGGCATAATTTGCCATGTCTCCCCTCCCCGCAATTTGTATCATTAGCACCAGTTTGGGGGAAGCATAGTTTTAATATTGTTACTTCAATTCCTAAGTCCAGATCATTTATATATATAGTAAATAATCAGCGCAGAACATTGTGCAACACGATTGACTACATGTTCCCTGTGAACAAGAATTTTCCTTTTTGCAGACTTTGCTTTCTGCCCTCCAACCATCTCTATCCATGTGGGTATATTCGCCTTCATACCTACTATTATGTGACATAATCTTTGCAATATGTCTCTTGTCAAATGCTATGTCAAAATCCACATAAACCACACTTAATTTCAAAAATACTGTGTTAAGCATTACCTAACTTTCAGAAATCTATGTTGAATCAATTACCTCATGTTTGTCCAAATTCATAATCCCAGTTTTTAGTATTTAAATCCCAGATTAGGAGTTTTTTTATTTTTAAGAATGGAAAATAGGTGTGATTTAAGGTCCTTGTGCTGATTTGGTCCCTTTATTTGTTTACCAGACTTACAATTCATTTCACCCCAGCACGGAGTCATATCTGGAGGGGATGATGTCCTAGAAGAAGGAAACAGCCCTTCATCAATCTCTGATCCAAGTGAAATATCGCAACCAGCATTATCACTTGCACATTCCAGCTCAGCTATTGGCACTTTGGGTAATGTAGGAGACATGTTGGTAGCACAGCACTCAAGTGAGGGGCAGGAGTTGGACAGACAGAAAGAAAAAGCCAGTGTTTTTACATCGGCTTATCGGGATGAATCAACTCAAAGTGCTTCACAATTAATTACTGTCAAATGTGAGGAAGGTGATGAAGGTGAGGAGATACAAGTGAAGATAATCTCAGATGATGAAGATTTGGAGGATGGAGTCTCCCAAATCTACACAGGCCCACCAATGAGACAACCACAAATGAGCCGGGTGCATCTAAGATCCCTGTCTGGCAGGGCTGTGGATGAGAGGGGTATAGGTCCCCTATTTCGTAGGCAAATGTTAAGGCAGGGAGATGACACCATTCAGTTGCTGACAGACATGAGTTCAACTATACGTAGTGGTCTGGCTCCTGTGCAGCAATGTGCAGAGCAGCTTCCAGACACCATAAGACAGTTAAGGCAGGACCTTGTGAAGGCAATAAGACTTCTGCGTCGTGAGATGAGATGTGTCTGCAGGAATGTCGAGCAAAGAATGAACTCTGAGACTTGTGCAGAACAACAATCAGCTGGTGTGGACACACAGCTTGTGGTGGAGGCTATACATGGTGCCACTGCATTAGCAGCTGCAACCATGAATACTGGCATCTCCCAGGCCATAGCTAGTGCCTTTGCCACATTGAGCGAGCAGATGAATAGATCGATGGCAGCTGGCTTCCTCCAGATAGCTGAAACACAGAAGTCCATCCTCAAGCAGATAGCTGAGCAGAGGTACCAGGAGGTTGTCCGAAACCTTGGGTCATTGGGCCCACAAACCGAAGGGAGTTTCAATACAAACACACCTGCCAACGATCCCTCAACCCCTAATTTAACAACCACAGAATGCCAACAATCACACAGGGATCTGCTTTTGGACATACAACCAAGTGGTTTAGAGCTCACAGATTCTGTTGAAGCTTCAGGCAACTTTGATTCTGAGCTGTCAACCACCACACAGCCACTTTTTTCTACACTAGCGAGTTTCAGCACTGCAGGAGTAGGGTCACACAGAGGTAAAAGAAAACATCCTGCAACATTGAGGCCATTGAGCACACGCATGACCAAGAGTAAGAGGACAAGAAAGGGTAAAATGTAAGACACTCATTAGAAGTATTAAGGTGTGTTGTAAATATTTGTAAATAAAATTGTTCATTTTATACCTTTGTACGATGTTGTTTCATGTTTATGCAATCCTTTATATAAGGTTGAGGGCATTCAAACACTTTCTCATTCAATGGGAATATGGATTACGCCAGCAAACTGAACATTAATGTGCAGAACACAATAATTTCATCAAAAGATGCAACCGTGAATGTTGAGAATTTAAAATCATGTACTGAAATTTATTGGAATTTGTGCGAAATAGTAACATTTGATATTTTAACAATGGACACAGGAATCAAATTTAAACTTGATTGTCATGTAAATTTAAAATCCAAATTTAAAAAAAGTCTATACAGAGTACTTTATAAGAATCCTTGCATTTGATAAGTACCTTACCACATCATCAAAATGTTTCAAAGCAATTAACTGCATTTACTGTAGAGTGTTGTGACTATTTGTTGATGAACACAACAGCCAATTTGCACACAAAAATGTGCACATGAAGTCTGATCAATTTTATTTGGGAGATTGTTGGCAAGGCCAAGGCCAATGTTTAAAGTCTGGCAGGCAATTGTGATATGTGTTTAACATCACATTCAAAGGATGAACCTCTGACAATGCAACAAACTGTATTGGAGTGTCATGCTAGATGGGAGTTCAGTGTCCCTTCATGGGACTTGAACCCCCACCCCAACCTTCTGCCTCAGAGGTTCACATGCTACCAACTGAGTCGGGCTGACATTTCAAGAGACAAGTAACACTGTAGTTGCCACATGATGTGAAGTACAATCAAAGTGCTGAAGATCACCTTGAGTACAGCCAACATAATGAATATATATTCCTTTTAAAGTTTGCGAAAAGCAGATACCCAATATTAAGGGGGAAAGAAGGACACATACATATAATGTGGGGAAATATCCCAGTTGAACTGAATTTTATTGTAATTCAAGGAAAATATGAAAGTTTGGCGTTTTAACAGTGCTCGCCGAAATGGGAATCTTGTGTTACAAAAATAACACCCTAGTTCCTTACAAGCTACTTCCCCTGCAGGTGTGCTCAAATCATACACAAGGTAAAGGAATGAGAGTAAATCAACACTTTTCCACTTTGTTCCTAACCCACATTTAATGTGCACAGATTCTCCTGAAAATATTTCTTAACATCACTCTTGGACTGAATAAGCATAACTTAATTCCTTCCCTTTGCACTTTAAATTCACGGGCTCAGAGTGACATTGTCAAATCAGTTCAATATCCAAGGATAGCTTTTGCGTTGTAGATTCACTTCCAATAGGAAAATGACTATCCAAACATATTTTCCCAAGGATTATGTCACCCCACCCCACCATTCTGGTGCAGGGCAGCTTCAAACCCAGCTCTAACAAGGTAAATGAACAGCAACACAAAATATTTTACTCAAACCATTCCTCTTTTTTTCCAGTACCTTATTGCTTTGTCACACGTGACACCTGGCAGGCCAAATTAAGCAGACTTGTGCGGAAAAATTTGCTTCTTCATTAGCAGGCTATTCTGATTCAGTATTATCGGTCTCAAAACAAAATAACTGAAGAGCAGAAATTTTCATTCATTCCTTCAAACCTCTCCGGCACAGAAAGAGAAGCCGGAAAGGTTAATTGACCTAAGATGTCATCGAGTTGTCAGCACAAGGAAATCTCTTCAGTTTATCATGAGAGTACAATTTCACAGCCCTTTCCCCTCCCCACCACCCTCAGAAGGAAGAGGTGTGGTGGAGTGTTTGAGAAAGCTAAACTCCAAATCAAACCAACTGCATAATCCAACAGCTATACATTAACTAGACATATCCATTGATGGCACCCTGAAGAAAGTGTTTTTTTTTGCCCTGGGCTTCACAGTATGTACCTACGTACACCATTTTTATCTTCAATGATCAGATTCTGACATTTTCTTTCCTTTCTTGCCTCCCTGCAGGTTCCAAAAGAAATATAAACAAAAATCAATTAAATTTATTCAATACATTCATAATGTTAACAATTCAGTCTGGATTCCTTTTTGCTACAAATGATCTCAAAGAAATAAAAGTGAAGCTCCGTCCGTTATAATGCCCTTCGTTCTAGCACTGTTTTTTATAGCACAAACACCCCATCACTGTACAAGCGTGCAGCCACCCAGCTGGCTTGCCACACTAAAACTGACCAATTTATGGGTCATTAATTTGCCACCAGCATTACTTTCTGTGGTTCATTAGGTCACCACTGACATCATTAACTGAATGTCCCCGCGCAGCACACAGGAAGTGATATTGTTGGAGATCTTGTGACCTGGAAGTCATTTTTTGTTTCGCATGAGAGCTGCCCAGTGCACAGGAAGCAGCTCGGCTGGCTATGTGCATGTGTAGTGAATCCATCCATCTGAGCAGTCACTTAGCCTTTGAAATGCCAGTGAATGCATTTTGGATTTTCTGAGTAATATCAGGATCAATAACCCAATCCATTATAAGTGTACCCCTGTTATAACAAAGCATGTTACAATGAGGTTCTATTGTATTTTCAAATCCAGGGTAAAATGGTTTAGATAGGTGATCATACCACCTATCTCAACCAGGGATGGAAAAACAAGGTATAGTGGAACCTTAGTTATCCACCATAGTTAGAAACATGCTGAAATTGGAATTGAAAGAATTAGTTGAGATACAGATCAGCCATGATCTAATTAAATGGCGGAACAGGCTTGAAGGGCTGAATGACCTCCTCCTGTTCCTATGTAATAATCTACATATAATCTGCTCACCACCCTGACTCTACCAATTTATCCAAGGATCATCTTCACTCAGCTCCTCAGAGGTGCAGATTGGTATGTAAATGGGCATAATGCAGGTTTGAAACTCATCTTTCAGAGAGGAATTAACAGATTTAATCTTGAAATAGAGATCCTAATTATGTAGTGATTTTGAATATCAGGAGTGGGGGGAGGGTGAAGGTAAGGTGTCTTCTCTAATATGTGAACTAATCAGGGTTCCACTGTAGTTACAAACAGGAACGCATCAGCAACTACGTGCAACCCAACATGTGCTAATTCAGAGGACTGGATTAACTAGAACTGCTGGTGGCTCAACAGTTGTTCAGTGATTCATACACAATGGGGAAGTCCCCCCCATTTCAACCCTTTGTCTGTGCTGTTACCTCATCTCGGTTGGACACATTTGGCCTCAGTGCCCCTAAAATAGGGAGGGGAAAAAAATCAAGACTAGTTCATTATCCACCTTCTGGAAGGTTTAGATAGGTGGACTGATCTCATTGTCCGTTAGCCTGTCCTGCTGAAACTCACAGACAGGTGAATAACAATCACTTGTTCAAATGCCTAAGAGCCAGTACCAGTAGGACCTGCCCTGAACAGAAGACAAAATGGTTTTCGAAGAAAAAGAAAATCTGTTCTGTGTTGTTTGCTGTCAGGTGCTGAGTCACATAATTTGCTGACATCTATATCATCTGCCTCTCAGAATAACAACTTGGATCACATCCGTCTCATCTTCTCTTGTCCAACAAACATCTGTAAAACCTATAGAGCCTCAAGTCTCAAAAATGTTCATATCCCTCTTCTCTGAATCTGTTATTTATGTAATAATTCTTTGCAATACAGTATTTTCATGTTATTTTGCTAAGATAAAGCCTTCACTCAGGGCCTCCTCTGGTGGCTTGAAACTAGTGTAAGTGCTTCCATCTTGTGGTACAAATGCTTTTCACTTTCCTAAAGGTAAAGATTTCTCCCAATTAGGCAATTAAAGAGGCTTGTTTTTATTGGTTATTTCCGCACTTTTCTCCTGCTGTCTCCTTTTGAGTTTTGGTTTCTCTTTATCCCTTTTCTGCTTCTTGTTGCCCTCTGCAGTTTTTCCCTTTCTTTGCCTCTCTCACAATCTCCCAACATAGGCTACTAACTGAAGATGGGGAATTGTTTGAAATATCTCACTCCTATTATTTTTCTCTCTCGTTACTCAGTAACGAGAGAGAAAAATAAAATAACTTGTTTGGATATCTCACAGTCTGCATGTTTGACAAATAAGTAAAGCACCAGGTAATCAATGGGGAAGTGGAAAAACACTTGACCTAGCAGCTTGCTGATGCATCCACTTCATCCTACAATGTCGATCAGGGAAAAACCTCAAAAAACGGAATCTCATAGTCGCCTAGATCTATAAAATGACCAAATATTCATGCTGCTAAATTTAAAAGGTCACCTGTTCTACTAGTCTGAAATGCCTAAAAAGGCAAAATGATTTACCTGATATTTTGTTAATTCTGCTTGCAGTTGTTTTACTTTAGATTTTTCTTGTTCCAGGGCTGCGTGCAGACCTGTAACCTAGAGAGAAGAGAATCAAGACTATTCAGGACATACAATAACTACATTGTGAATGTGCTGATTCCCTGAAACATCTAGATAATATACACTTACAAAATGTGGAGGTGAACCCTGATAGCCCAATTATACTGACCTCCTCTATTCGTTCCATACAATCTCCTATATCTGTAGTGTTTTTCTTACTTGCTTTCCATAGATTATAGAACATTTGCAGCACAGAAAAGTCCACTGCATAATTAATGTCCTTTGAAAAGCTGACTTTTGGTTTCAAGCAGCCCCCGTTATAAAATCCTACTCAAACAAGACAGAAGGCAAAGTACTCATTTTACAGGTCTGATGTCACTCTGCAACTGGTCACTTGGTCAGTGAAAATCTTGCCTTAACTTGCAGCCCCACCCACCAACAGACTGGGATTGCGGCCTCAGTTCCTTCAGCTAGTATTTTGCTAATCGGCAGCACAATTTTCCATCTGAAAAACAGGCCCTCCTCTTTTTTAACAAAAAAGGGGGGGGACCAAGCTTATTCAGGATACTATATCATGTTTACTAACAAAATATGTAAGGGATAGCACTTTCAGAGATAACCAATTACAGAGCAACCTTGGAAGAAGTGTGAGGGAAGATCGTCTGGTTGTTGAATGGCAAAGTGTAAAGAGGTGGCGGAGTAGAAACATGATAAATGACCATTCGGCTAAAGAAATTCTTTCCAGCGCCAGATTACCATTGTATAGTTTAACTGATCCTCCCTTCCTCAGAATACATAATAGCTGTGCAATTGAGGAACACATTTTATTGTCCTTTCAACTTCAACAAGTGGTTGATTAATGCGAGGTAAGAGTACGACTTTCAAGTATCATAGTTTGGTAAAGACTGAAATGTAAAATAAGTTTCTGGTTGCGGAAACTGCGACCATTTCCTCTTACCTGTAAAGTTAGTTCATTCTTGATGCTTATTAAGTCATCGACTTGCAGCAGTATGTCTGCTTTATCCTTCACTATAATGTAAAACAAATAAAATTATTACATTAAGAGAAATAATACTACAGTATATTGGAATAACACCAAGTGTTATGAACGTTCAGAAGTTGCTCCTAGAGGTATTCTGATCTTCATTCAAATTCAAAAGGATTCACTAAACATTTTTCGAGACAACCATCCTTGGCAAGCTCATAATCTGGTTCCTATATCAGGCAGGTCCGCAGTACTCCAGGGCATTGCTGATAACAGATATGCCAGAGCAGGACTTTAAGGAATAGACCAGGAAATCTTCCCACTCAGCTCCTGGTATCCCTGTAAACCAAAACCCTAACGGGCAGGGTGATCCCAGTCAGTTAATGCTCTCAATGGCAAGTTGTGCGGTTTTAGCAGGTTAAACTCCAGCAGTACCCCAACGTATACTCTGGGGTCCCAAAGCCTTGGCTCCTACCAACCTGCACCTGATACTATCCTGCATTAGGTTACGTTTCTCCGATAGTGTGCACATTCCATTCCAGACACAGGGAAATGTTCATGTTTAAGTGGGATACATGTGTGAAACTCATAATTTAGTTTTCTTCCCTTCTCTCCTGAAGGTGTAAATTAATCAAAGTGCCCATTCTTCATGTGGAATCCAGCCAGCAGTATCAGCTGGCTTGTCATGGGGCGCTGATGGGGAAGAGAAAGGGGATAAAAGAAGAACAGGTGGAGTTCAATAAACATCACATCAAACAGATCAACATTTAACACTATTTCTGCCATAAATGTACTTTAACAACAAAAAATGCAAAAATGCAATTTGTTGCTGTTTAAAGAGCACAAAAGGATTGGCTTTTAAAAGAGAATGACTATGTTGAATCAAATATGTTAGTCTCAGTGTTCAGCTCCTTGGTGATCCAGGTTAGGAGACAAAGCTACTGAGGACTTACACTACACTGGAAGGGTGTTACATCCGGCTTCCAGTGCTGACTGGTTACCTGTGCTAAAATGCGTCTGACTTCTAGCGTCACCGAGTTGCCATGGCTCAATGTGCAGGAAATGTCGTCAGCGACATCATTGATGAACTAACTATCCAGAAGTCAGACATTTCCTTGCACTTTGAAGTAATAAAGGCTGTGATGAGAATTCAACAATAAGTGGATCAATCAGAAGAGCTTTTCACACAATAGTAACACAGCTCACATTTCAAAATACTCTGGCTCACAAAGAGAACCGCTCACTGAGCTGACTTCAGTACTCACTGTATTAAAATTAAATAATGCCCTAAAATGATTTCAATCTCTTTGAATAATGCCTCGGTTGGGATGTGCTACGTATGACGTGCTATGCTGGGTCGAAGATACGTGGGAATGCAAAGATACTGGTCTTCAGTTATCACGCTGGAATTGTTACATTAGGTAAATGGTAAAATACACACTGAAACAGAAATGGTATTGTAGGTATGGCATGCCCTTCCCTCCTCAGTACACACAAGACTGACAAATGCTCCCAGACCTACTGTAAGAAGACACATCAAAGGAATCCAGCAGAAACATCCTTTGCTTCCATCACAGTGCAGCCAAGATGATAATATATTCACTGTATGTGATATAGCACCTCATCACATTGTTGACACACCTCAAAGCTCTCCACAGGATTTAATGTAAAGGAAAGCGGTTGTACTGGTAGGTGAACAGGGCAGCTAATTTGCCCACAGCAATGTCCCAAAACAGGCAAGAAGTAAATGATCAATTTATCTAAAGACTGTCAGCCAGGAGACTGGGAGATTACTCCCTTTTCTTTTCAATTAATACGGTGGGATCGTTTATTGTCTACCAGACAGGCAAATGGGACCTTGTTTAACATCTCCTCTGAAGGATCGTACTCCCGACAGTGTAGCAGACCCCCCAGCACCACACTGCAGTATCAGTTGATACTGTGAGCTCACAGTCCCAACTACAACCCACAACCTTCTGACTCAAGAAGCAAGAATGCTGCCAACCGAGCCAGGCTAAAACTTAACACATTTTCAGAAGTATGAGAGAGAAAGAACAAAAGTAAATTGGATCCCGAAAAACCCAGGGCTCTACAGCTCGATACTGCCGTACGATACAGAAAGTCCCTCTGTACACCTCACCTGTGATATTCCTAAATATTAACAAATACTTACTTTCACCTTCTTGCAGCATCTTTAAAAGCTGAGCATTTCTCGCTTTTACCTCTTTATATTTTGCCTATTTTAAAAAGAAAGGGAGGTGGTAAAATAATGAAAAGCCAATAAGACCAGGTTTCTTGGACTCTGCCACAAAAAGATTAAAAATCACATCTGGCCACTCACCTCCCACTGTTCAATTGTTTGTTTCAACTGAAGGATTTTAGTGTCTTTCTTTTCGAGTTTTTCTTTTAAGTGTTCAGTTCTTACATTATTACAGATAGCTTCCTGCGAGAAAGGCAGTGAAAAAGAAAAGAAAAATTCAGTCATTCCTTTGCATTTTGTGACCATTTCCAGAACAAACAATAGCGAGGAAGGCTTACTTGAAATCTAAGGGCTGTAGGAGAAAGCTGTTTGGAACAATATATTTTGTGAGGGAGTCTCTGTGCCTCTGCCTTTTTCTCCCTCACTTCCCATCTCTGTTCCTCTCTCTGTACCTAATATGTCTCCGCGTGGGTTTCTTCTTTCTGTGTTTCTTTCACATCAGTTTTTCCCTGCAAGTTCTTTGTCTGCTGAACACTGTCCATCACACTCATTTTCTCTTTTCAATCTCTCTTCCCTCCTTCACACTCACCCATCCACACATACCTCGATTCATGCATTCTTGCACTGCAGAGGAACCTGAGCTAGTAACCAAAGAACAATATTCCCAAATATGAAAATAAATAAATATCTAAGTCACAAAGAAACACTAGAAATCTTAAAGCAGGAAACCCCCTCCCCCCAATCTGGATGTCATTCCAATTCATTTTTGCAAGGGAAATCAAAGCATTGTAGAAGAATTGTGTTTACATGGAACCTCCAACTGAATCTCTTTCACTGGCTTAAAAATAAAACTATTTAAACATGGATTGCTGTGTTGCTACAGATCTGGCTTGGCAGATCTGATAATGCTGTGTTCATTCTGTGATTCATGCCACTGAGCTCAACACATCCAAGCCACTACCATCCTCCCAAACATCAACACTACTTGTTTAAAATCATAAAACGAGACTGAAAGTGAATTCCAATTATCTTTTCATCGTTCACTGAAACGAGGTGATCCAAGGAAGGACCAATCCTGTACACAACACATGTAAATATATATTCAACAAATTCATACTTGGCTCTCCTGCGCAGACATGTTGTTCTCCAGCCCATTAGAATTCAACAACTTTTTCCTTTTCTCCATCAGCAATATTTTGTTTGTGTCTTCCTCGAGTTTATTAAAGAAGCCATCCTCTTCTACAGTCGCAAGTAAGGATTTTGGTTCCTGCAAATAGCAAATACTTCAATTAAACAGATAATTGGTAAAAGAGCAATTAGGAAAACGTTTACTACTACACAAAATCTTTTGTTAAAAATAGGATTCAATTAAGTAATATTTCACTTCAAAACGTCTTCTGAATAGACAAAATATTCAGGTATTGATTAAACATTTACTTTGAAACTCAGATTAAATTTCAGGCCATGTATTATACTGAGATTCTTTCACAAAGAACCTGAAACAGATTACCCAACTCATCAACACAGATCTACAGCCATAAGTACACCTGAAGTTCCATACCTCATGTTTTTTGTTCATTTGATCTGCAGAGAAGGAAAAAAAGTTGTTACACTGAATCAAAAGGCCAACAAGATGTTTCATGCATTAGTTTGTATGAGGCTAGAAATCCAAATAACATGGTGGTTTAACTCTGAATCAGTGTTTGACAAACTTTTTTTGCAAACTATCACACAGTACTTTAGATTAAAGATGTAATCTTTTGAAAATTTACTACTAAGGCATTGCTGCTGATTATAATAATGGCAATCCTTGCTTTTGATATGCTCCTTATCAAGTGGTTGGAATATCTCAAAGTGTTTCACAGGGTTTTGCTGTGAAGTGTAGTGACTGTATTTCTACATACACTAAATCAATATCAAAAGCAAGCTTTGTTATTGTTATAATAGCAGCAATGTACTTACCAGCAGGATTCATCATTTGTGCCTCTGAGTTGCCATTAGTCAACCCTGTCGCAAACTACTGTTTTTTTTACCCCAATGTTGCACAGAAAATGCTGTCACAAGGTTTTTTAATATTACAAGCTTTACCCCAACATTACCTGCACTACCATCAGTCTGAAAATCTTTTAACGATACTCTGGCTGGTTTATCTTTTCCCTGAAGGTGTTTTCTTTTCTCTTTCCGACTCTGCCCTTTTGATTTGAGAGAAATGTTGTTTGGATCATCGTGCAGCTGCAACAACAAGAATAGCAAAATTACATTTGTATATCGCCTTTCACATAGGCAAAACACAACAGATTTTCTTCTTCAAAACAAAATTTTAAATGTAGTATAGACAGACTAATTCTGAGGGAGAATTAAAATAGTTAACAGCCTGTCACAAGTGTCCAGTTTTATATAACAAATGGAATTGGCAGTGAGGTAAGTGTAGTGAGTGCAGTGAGTGTATGAGTTTAGCCTCATACAAACTCAATTACCAAGACCCTGAGACACCCACCCCACCTCAGGGTCCAAGAGACCCCGGCCCCGTGGAGTCCTGTAGCTCAGTGGTTAGAGCACTCACTTTACTAGTGAGAGACCTGAGTTCAATTCCAGGCAGGTCAGGGCGAAACCTTGGGCAAGTTTCCTTACTCCACACGCCTAATAATAATCCCTCCAAAAAAACAAAACAATAATAAATTGGTGATTTTCAATCCATGACTGTTTGCGGGACATTGCTGTGCGCAATTGGCTGCCGCGTTCGCCCCCAAATATACAGTCAATTCACTTTACAGTATATTCTGTGAAGCGCTTTGGGACGTCTAGAACGTGAAAAGCCCTATATCAAATGCAAGGATTATTATTATAATGTCCCACTAATTCGCCGCCTCTCGTCTCAGCGTGCGCATCTTGGCTGCCGCCCCCGACCCGAGCTGGCCCTCCCTCAAAATGCCCCACTCCCTGCAACTCTCCCGCTCTGTCCTGCTCTCACTCCGCTCTCCCCACCTCCTATCTCCCACTGCTTCCCTCTGCTCCAGCCTGGGAATCCCTCGCCGGGCTCATCGCGGCATTCGGTGTTGGCTGTCCAGCAGCAGCCACACCGACTGCCCCATTCCCCACTACCACCGCAAGCCACCCCGGACCCAGACCCCAGGGGCTAACCTCTCCTCCCTCATCCGCATCCCCATCCTCCCTGCCAACCAATCCAGTACCCCCTCCCATCCCACACATCCCCCTGCCAACTGTCCACTATGCATTGGCCTTTAAAACGTCCACTCCATCGCCAACAAGACCCTGGTCGTCAATGAACTCATCCTCGATGAGGACATTGACATTATGGCCCTCACTGAAACCTGGATCACCCCAGGTGACACCTTCCCCCCCTCACTGAGGCCACACTACCCGGCTATACCTAACACCATGCCCCACGCCCCAACTGCCATGGCGGCAGGGTAGCCCTTATATTCAGGGCGTCACTTGCCCTATCCCCCTACTCCACCGGCTCATTTCCCTCTTTTGAACACCTTACCCTCTGCCATCCCTCCCACCTCTCTCTAAAAATCCTCCTAGTTTACCGCCCCCCAAAATCCTCCCCCACCTTCATCTCTGACATCTCCATCCTCGTTTCCCGTTGCCTCTGCTCCGACAGTCTCATCATCCTAGGCGACTTCAACCTCCACTTCACCCCCTCCTGCTCCACCTCCTCAGAATTCTCCTCTCTCAACCTCTATCTCCACATCCACTCTGCTACCCACAACCACGGTCACCCTCTCGACCTGGTGATCACCCGGGGCCTCAGCGTCTTGGATGTCACCATCACTGACAAAGTCATCTCTGACTACCATTTCATCTCCCTCAACTCCCATATCCCTCTCCTCACTGCCTTCAAACCTACCACCATCTTCTATCGCCCATGAAAGAAGATCTCCCCGCAGTCCCTCTCCGCTGCCCTGGAGTCCTCTGACTCCCCCCCTTCTGGTCCACCTCTCACACCAACCAACTCTCTGCGCTTACTCTTCTCCACAGCACCCTCTCCACCACACTCGACGCCCTTGCCTCCCCTCACCTCCTGAACTATTCCCGATCCTCAGCGTGGTTCACCAGCCACCTCTGCTCGCTTAAGGGCCAGGTGCGGGCTCCCGAACGCACTTGGCTCAAATCCGGCCTAACGGTCCATCGTCACATCTGACTGGACCTCATCAAAACGTACCGCTCCGCTCTCGCCTCGGCCAAATCATCCTTGTATTCCAGGTTAATCCTGGAGGCGAAAGGCAACCCCAGGCTCCTGTTCTCCATAACCAACCGGCTCCTTCGCCCTCCCCGACACGCCTGCCAGATTTTTCCTCCGACTCTCACTGCAAGAAAATTCTGGATTTCCTCGAGCCCAAAATCGAGGGAATCCGCTCAGCTACCACTGCCCTCCCAACTTCCACCCCCTCCCTACCCCCATCTCACACTCCGAAAATTACCCATCCCTCCTTCCACACCTTTGAACCTGTCAACCCCTCCTCTGTCTTCACCACCATATCCTCAATGAAGCCCACCACCTGCTCCCTGAACCCCATCCTTAAATCCCAGCTCAAACTCCTTGCCCCGCTTCTCGCCGACATCATCAACCTCTCCCTGTCATCTGGCACTGTTTCTTCCCCCCCCTCAAAACGGTCATTATCACCCCCACCTTGAAGAAACCTTCCCTTGACCCATCATAGCTATCCAGCTACCGGCCCATCTCAAACCTCCCTTTCCTATCCAAAGTCCTTGAGAGAGCCGTTGCCTCCCAGCTTCGCTCTTTCCTCTCCTCCCACTCTCTCCATGAAACCTTCCAATCGGGTTTCCGTGCCACCCACAGCACAGAAACTGTTCTGGTCAAGGTCACAAACGACATCCTGACCATGTGCGACCAGGGCTCCCTCTGCCTCCTTGTCCTCCTCGACCTCTCCGCTGCCTTTTAACACCGTGGACCTTTCAATCCCCCTCCACTGTTTCTCCTCCCACCTCAACCTTCAAGGTCCTACCTTTCACACCGCCTCCACTTTGTCGAAGCAAATGGCTTCTCCTCCAGCCCCCGCACCTTCTCGTGCTCCTCAGGGATCTGTCCTCGGTCCCCTCCTTTTCACACTTTACGTGCTCCCCCTCGGTGACGTCATCCACAAACATAGGGTAAATTTCCACATGTATGCGGATGACACCCAACTCTATCTCTCTGCCTCCACCCTCAACTCCAGGACTATTGGCATCCTGACCCACTGCCTGTCCGACATCAAGTCCTGGACAAGGGACAACTTTCTCCAACTCAACATCAGCAAGACCGAGGCCCTCCTGATTGGCTCACGCCAGCGCCTCCGTACCTCGGGCACTGGCAGCATCAGCCTCCACGGCTGCACACTCAACCTCACTAAGCCAGTCAGGAACCTGGGTGTCTTGTTTGACCCTGAACTGTCCTTTCTCCCCCACATCTGCGCCATGACCGGCACTGCCTACCACCACCTCCGCATCATTGCCAGACTCCGCCAATGCCTCACCCCTCAGGCTGCCAAAACCCTCACCCACGCATTCATCACATCAAGGCTCAACTACGGAAACTCCCTCATCGGCCTTCCCAACTTTTCCCTTCACAAGCTGCTGATCATCCTCATACTCTCACGCACCAGGCTCCGTGACCCCTTCACTCCCACCCTCACCCGACTCCACTGGCTCCCCATCCCCCAGAGGATCGAGTTCAAGATCCTCGTCCTCACTTTCAATGCCATCCATGGCCTTGCCCCCTCCTACCCCTCTGACTTGCTGACTCCCTACCAACCTGCCTGCTCATTCCGTTCAGCGGGCTCTGATCTGCTCCATGTCTCCCACCCAACCTGCCCTACCATCGGTGGCCGGGCTTTCAGCCTCTCTGCCCCCACACTTTGGAACTCCATACCACGGTCCCTTCGCCTCGCTTCCTCCCTTGCCTCCTTCAAGGACGGTCTCAAGACCCTTCTCTTCGATCGTGCCTTTTTGGTCGATCTCCCACCTCTCTGCCTTCCCTCACCCCTAGACCACCCCTCCCCCATGCTCGAGCCCCTGCTTTGGGACGTCCTCCCGACATGAAAGGCGTAATTGTAATTTTGTTGTTGTTGTTGATGACAGACTAGCAGGACTTGGAAGGGGCAGATAAGTCAAAATGCTGAAAATGTAATTCTACTGACATTGAAAATAAAAATTGGGACATTCTGAAAGGGATAATAATAATAATCCTTGCATTTGATATAGCGCTTTTCATGTCTTCTCGACATCTCAAAGCGCTTCTAGGAATATACTGTAAAGTGAATTGACCGAATATTTGCGGGCGAAATGCGAGCAACCAATTGCGCACAGCAGTGTCCCACAAACAGTCGTGGATTGAAAATGACAAATTTATTATTGTTTTGTTTTGGAGGGATTATTATATATATTATAGGCATGTGCAGTAAGGAAACTTTCCCAAGGTTTCGCCCTGCCTGAAATTGAACCCAGGTGTCTCACTTGCAAGGTGAGTGCTCTAACCACTAAGCTACAGGACTCCGCAATCATCACATATAATCATCGCATCAACCGAAATAGATAAAAGAAATTCCTACTATGACACCAATGACAAAATTCCTCACAGTAGAGCTATTTCTGTATTTTATAACTACATGAAAATAAAAGATGTTCATATTAATTTGCCAGGCCCTCTTCTTGCAACACTCTTCTATTGCCCTCATATAATGTCAGTTTTTCATATTTTTCTTTCACTCATTTGGCTTGCCATTAACATGATTAATTTAGTCACAAACTCTTCCACAATGACTCTCAATATTTTTTTAAATTTCAAATGCCACACAAAGTGGTACATACATTCTTATGCTCTTCATACTCCAGCTTACTGATCAGCAATGCTTTCTGGAGGTCCGCTTCATACAGTTCAGTCGTCAGCTGTACGCAGAAAAGAATCGAATAAACATTGAGAGAAACTACAGCAGAAATCATCCAGAGAATCCAACTACAACATAGTCTGTATTGACTGGGCTCTGGAATTAAGCAAAGCATTTTTTTACAATATCTTTAAAAGTGTTTTATAATAATAATCATTGCATTTGATATGGGGTGGAAGGATTATTACTCCTGGACAGCAATCCGCCAATCGACTAAGAACCAGTTTCCTGAATCAAACCCAGGTCCTCTCGTCTGCAAAAGCATTTTTAAAAATATAAAAATTTTATTAAAAATATATTCATCATGAAATTCAGCAAATATTCTTTGGTTTGTGGTATTTTGGGAGCCTTTTTGTGAGAGCAGCTGGACTGGCTACAAACTCAGCTGAAGAACAGTGAGTTCTGGAGGCTGAGAATAGAAGTAAAGGGCGGGAAGGACAAAATAAATATATAAATTAATTAATCTGAATAAGTGCTATGCAAATAGCAATAATGTTGTGGCCGGAACAGTATGAATCAGGGGCAACAGTTCCAGACAAAGTTTCACCAATAAAGATGTTCTTCTTGTATGGAGGACTGAAGAGTAACAAACATGTAATAATCCTGAAATGTCTCAAAACAGTTTACAGTAATTCCCGTTAAGTGTAGTGAATATTTGTAGATGAATGTGGCAGTCAATTTGTGCATAGCAATGTCCAACAAATAAGCAGGGTGTAATTCAGGATCCCACATCAGGTCTGTTGAATCCATAAAGTAGGATGGCAATACAATACAATGCAATGCTGGGGGAGCGCTGCATTGTCAGAGGTGTCGTTTCTCAAATGAAAAGTTAATCCAAGTTCTCACCTGTCTATTTCGGTGGACATTAAAGATCTTGTGCTTATATTTAAAAAGAGAAGGGAGTTTCTCCTGGTGCTAAAATTCCTCAAGATAAAATTAGTCATGCTGTTTTGAGTTATTGCTGTGCACGGATTGGCTGCCACATTTGTGATTGTATTTAAAAAAAGCTACTTGCATAAAGTTTTTCTAAATTAAATCTTCAAGTTTACAGAAAATATCAAAACCGAAGGCATAGTAAATGAAAGGAAGAATGCAGTATGATTTAGAACCATTCTGATATTTTGTGTAGCTGAGCTGAGAGGTGGCAAATCTGGTTCAATGTGTGTAAAGTAAATTATTGTGGGAGCAGGGTACCAAAAGAATATTATGTGGAGAAGATTTTCATGATCAGGAAGAAAATCAAGCAGCTATTTGAACAATTCACAATAGGATTCATTGATAGCGATTGAGAATCGTGAGTGGAGAATCTTGCCACCATTGGCAAATCCCATTGCAAACACACCACATTTTCAATGCCATTGTGGAAATGTCTATACACAAAGAAGGCAAGTTAGGTTAAATGTACATCAAAAGAGAATATCTTATCCCTGTCTTATCGCTAACTAAAATGTTAAATGTAAAAAGAATATACAGGATTACACGACTCAAAGGATTGTAGAATAAAATTACAGTGTAAGAAACCGATTCTGCAAATGGGATCAAGAAGTAACTATAAATATTCTGGAGAAAGGATCGAGGAATATGGTGAGAAAGCAGGCACCTGAGAACTAGCAAAAGGGGCTGGGTTTGTTGAGTCTAATAATCTGGTTTGAAAATTAGCATTGTTATGCAAGTTTATCTCTTCTTAATGGTCAACTCCTACAAACGTTTTACAACTTTGTGAAAAAGACAACAGTTGTGGCTGGTCTTAGTGCTCATTAATAGTATTCTATTGTGGAGATCCACAATTAAATGTTTTAGTTAAGACTAAAGATAATTATGAACCTGCATTGTTTTCCCATTTCATGCAACATTCAACTATCCAACACAATTGAATTGTAAAATTGTGACCACTATTGTATTTGCATCAACAGCTCTGACCTGTTCGTCTTTTTCTCTCCACTCCTGCCATTTCTCGCCCTGTGCTCCTGCTGGTCTCTGGCTGTGAGGCTCAGGCTGACTTGATCCCGAGTTCACGCCAGCATTTACACCAGAATGCGACTTCGGAGGAATTTTCCCAAAGGCTAGACTTCTTAGCTTTAAGATGAGGTTGAGGAAAAAAAAGACAATTAGAGTAGAATCTACAACATGTTCATATAGTGCTGTGCTAAACTAAATGAGAACTCAGTATTTGTGATTTATTCTACACCTGTACAGTGACTTAAAACAAATATTGCAGTGGCACAGAGGCAATGCAGTAGGTTAACCATATGTAATCTGTTATTTCTTCCAGCCAGTTTGTCTGTCTCCTTGGAAAACAGACCAACGGTGATCCTGGAGTATTATGATCTGGGCCAATAGAAAAGCATGGCCTCAATTTTTCAGCACCCGCCGCAATAAACAACGCCCTCCGCTATAAAATGAAGTTTCTGGAGCCCATCCTCTGTGCGTTGCTGCTGTTGATTCTTAACCCAACGCTGCTGTGGGCGGGGCTGAGCCGCTGCGGGGGGCGGGGCTGAGCCGCTGGCGGGGGGCGGGGCTGAGCCGCTGCGGGGGGCGGGGCTGAGCCGCTGGGGGGGCGGGCTGAGCCGCTGCGGGGGGCGGGGCTGAGCCGCTGCGGGGGGGGGGCGGGGCTGAGCCGCTGCGGGGGGCGGGGCTGAGCCGCTGCGGACGGGCGGGGCTGAGCCGCTGCGGGGGGCGGGGCTGAGCCGCTGCGACGGGGCGGGGCTGAGCCGCTGCGGGGGCGGGGCTGAGCCGCTGCCGGGGGGCGGGGCTGAGCCGCTGCGGGGGGCGGGGCTGAGCCGCTGCGGGGGGCGGGGCTGAGCCGCTGCGGGGGGCGGGGCTGAGCCGCTGCCGGGGGCGGGGCTGAGCCGCTGCGGGGGGCGGGGCTGAGCCGCTGCGGGGGGCGGGGCTGAGCCGCTGCCGGGGGCGGGGCGTCTCCAGGCACACATGCGCGGTGCGGTGCGAGCGGGAAATGGGCTTCGCTCCACTCTGGGACCCTCCTGTTGAGATTGTCTGTGTGTCTCTCTCTCCTCTGTATGTGTGTCTGTTTGTGAATGTATCCGTGTGTGTATTTCTTCTATATGTGTGTGAGTTTATGAGTGTCTCTGTGTGAATGTGTCCGTGTCTCTCTGTATGTATCTTCGTGTCTGAGTGTGTGTCTCTGTGTCTATGAGTGTGTGTCTATCTCTCTCTGAGAACGTGTGTCTCTGTGTCTGTGTGTCTGTATGTTTGTCTCTCTGTGTGTGCGTGTGCCTCTCTCTGGGTCTCTCGGTCTGTGTGTGTGTGTGCGGTGACAGGCCCTGAGAGGCAGAAGGTGGTGAGCCTCTTTAGCCCCGCAGTCAGGACACTGGTGAGCTTGGCGAGCAACGCTGTTTGTTGGCGGATCTACAGGCCCACTCCGCAATGGGCCGCCCAGTTTTTGTTAAAAGAAATAATCAGTAATTTTTTTTGCAACAATCGAATGTGTTATTTCTTCATGTGTAGCTTTTATCAATAAAGTAAAAAAATGTAGGTTGGCAGTAAAATTTACCTCAATAGCACCAATCAACTCCCTGCAATTTTCCGCAAAATTTGTCAAATTCCAACTCCAAATTGTTTGGCAAACATTTTCACAATTTTCTATTAGTTGATTATCCCTGATTATGATGCAGGAAAAGATAGGAGACCATACACAGGATAAACAATAGGTGTTATAGGTGTTAAACTTTGTCTTTGGCTCCAATCAGTGACTGAACATTGCGGATGTAGCCCTTTCTCCAGCCTACATTGACTTAATAATAATAATAATAATCCTTGCATTTGATATAGGGCTTTTCACGTCGGGAGGACGTCCCAAAGCGCTTCACAGAACACACTGTAAAGTGAATTGACTGTATATTTGTGGGCGAACGCGGCAGCCAATTGTGCACAGCAATGTCCCACAAACAGTCGCAGATTGAAAATGACCAATTTATTATTGTTTTGGGTTTTGGAGGGATTATTATTAGGCTCTGTGTGGAGTAAGGAAACTTGCCCAGGGTTTCGCCCTCTGCCTGGAATTGAACTCAGGTCTCTCACTTGCAAAGCGAGTGCTCTAACCACTGAGCTACAGGACTTATCACAAGGAGCACCTCTTACTAGTAGAATCTCGATACTAAGCTCAAGAACACCAAACTCTGCATATAGCATGAAACTCAAAAGATTGTTTTAATTTGTAATGTTGTACTCATTCAGAAAACCTCAAATTCTCTGGTTGAAGGTTTTGCTGTCACTGGGAAGGAACAATTTACAGTTTCAAAGACAGGCGATAAGAGGCAACAGCAAAAAATGTCCAGAATATAAACAAAGCCTCCATAATAATCCTTTCATTTGGTACAGCACATTTAACCTTAGCAGGACTTCTCAAAGCACTGTAAAGTCCAGCGACTGTGTGATTTATGGGTGAACCAGCAGTCAAGTTACACAAAGCAATGTCCCACAAACATTAAAGAAGTGAATGAACAATTTTATTTGGGGGATGTTTGCCAGGACATCGGGAGAAACTCACTTCTATTTTCCAATAGTGCCATAGGATCTTTAACATCCACCTAAAGAGGCAGACGGGGGGCTCAGTTTAACATCTCATCCAAATGATGGCACCTCCAACAAAGTTGCACACCCCCAGCATTGCATTGGTGTGTCATCTTTAGACTGTATAAGAGTTCAAAGATCCAATGCGGGGCAGGAATCCACAGCCTTCAAGAGATTTCTAGTATCAAAAAGAACCTTTGCTCAAACTCAATTTTGTTACAAACATTGTGGAAAATGTAATTCAAATACTTCATGTATTTAAATACAGAAAACGGTGAATTACAGACACTTAATGAAAAGATTACTATCCACTGACAAATACCATTTAGTGAAAACTTGCCTAATTAAAAATATTAAAAAGCTTAAGGACGGGCCATAATTTTTGTTTTGATCATTTGGAATTGAAGCAAAACAAGTGCAGTATGAACAGAACCACACTAAAACAGAAAGATGTCAAAATGCCTTCAGAAGAAGAGACGAAGGGAAAAACAAAACGCTAAATAAAATAGGTTCACTTCCAATTATCCACATTACTTGGGACCTGCCCCTGAGCGGACAATTGGGCTTCACCCAAAATACAATTTGGCTACAATGCTAACTAAAAATAGCAGCTTTCATGATGGAAGGACATCCCAAAGCCCTTAAACAGAATCAGAAACAGAGTTCTATTTGATTGGATCTAAGACAAAATTTAAATAAGTCTTCTGTTGCAGGTGGTTCCTGCAATAACAACAACTTGCACTTGCACTCGATTTCAAGACCCTCACCCTTGTATTCAAGTCCCTGTACTCCTCTGCACCCCCCAACCTCTCTGACCTCCTCTCCTCAAAACAGTAACCGTTGCCTTCGTTCCTCCGGGTCTGGCTTCCTCCTCGTCCCCCGAGTCCTCCGCTCCACCCCTTTCTTTTCAACCGCGCCTTTGGTCACCTTCCTCCCCCTCCCCCTGGGCTCGGCCCCGGGATCCGTTACTGTAAAGCGCTCCGAGATGCCATCCGGCGTGGAGGGCGCTATATAAATCCAAGTTGTTGTTGTTGTATAACATATTTGACAATGAAATGAATGCTTCAAAATTATTGGCAAATTGTAATGGAGAGCATGGAACAGGGAGATTTAAGGCATATATTTATGAGCATTTTGAAGGCAGGAAAGGAGAAAGTATAACAGATATTTTGGAAGTGAGCTCCAAAGGAGACATAGTAACTGAAGGCTTGGAGTGAGTATGAGCAATATGCCAGAATTGGATTGGAGGGTGGGGGCAATAATACTTATATAGCGCCCTTCGTGCGGAGTAGCACTTGAATTAGGGAACACGAGATAGGAGGGGCAAGACTCCAGAGGAATCTGAAGATCAGGACAAAGATTTTAAAGTCAAATCGGCTCAGATACAGGAGCCAGTGGAGTTGGCAGCCAAAGGGGTAAAACTAGTGATTTGATTCCACTAAATGTCCAACAAATATAAATGCAGTAGTTTACCACTATCAAAACACCTCAGTTTATCGAGCAGTAAGTAAGAACCAGGTTGTTAGTCAATTGGCAGATCGCTTTCTCAGAGGTAATAATTCCTTCAACTATTACTCGATGCACATGTTTGTGGGGCACTGCTGTGTGCAATTGGCTGCCGTGTTTTGCCCACAAAATATACCGTCAATTCACTTTACAGTATATTCCGTTATCACATCTTTGAGACTTTGAGACGCCTCGAAGACGTGATAAGGCGCTATATCAAATGCAAGGATTATTACTTATCTTTAAAACCATAGCAAATTTAAGATAACAAATGAAACAGCAAATCCAGGGATGTTTACAATCTGAAACAATGTTAATAAATTATCATTCAAATTGAAAGGAAAACATTCTCACATAAAGCAAATGTTTTAAGAAAAAAAAACTCAAGGCTAAAACATCTGATAACAAGTGTGCTCAAATGTCCCTTCTTGAAATATATAAAATCTCACTCCCAAAACAAAAATCAACTACAAAAAATCAGTTCATTTCTATCCTTAAGAAACGTGTTGTATGTGTTCAGGAAAGGAGGATGTGTGGAAAGAAATCTGTGCAAGAAGTAAACTGACCAAAAGCTGGTGGGACTGAAAGCTAATCCTTTCCCCCCAAAAAATAAACTTAATAAAATGAATAAATAAAAACACCAATAACTAAATAAATAACCCAGCAATAAATAAATATATAATAAAATAAAAGCATCCACAGCTAAACACATAACCCACCAGTAAATACATTAAAACTATAAATAAACACGAATAAATAATGACAGCAGTTTCGGGAGATTTTTTTAAAATTTAAAATAAGTCGAAAGTAACAAAAACGCGGGAGGGAGTTTTTCTCTCTCTCTGATTGATATTTTAACTGTTTTTGATTGTATTTTAATGGTTCAAAAAATCTAAAAGATAAATACATTTTGAAATGTACACGAAAAAGACGAGAAATAATAAACCATGAAAAGAAGCAGAAAGAGGTTGTTGTTGTTGTAAAAGGAGGGGGGGGGAGGGCAGGAGGTGTTTGTTTTGTGTTGGTAACAAAAAAAATTATTTAAAAAATTAAAGATTAAGGAGATAATAATAAGTTTTATTTAATAAATAAAAATAAGAGTTTTATTTAATAATAAATGGTAAGAGTTTTATTTAACCAATAAAGAATAAGAGTATTATTTAATAATAAAGGATAAGAGTTTTATTTAAAGAGAAAGGATAAGAGTTGTATTTAATAATAAAGGATAAGTATTATTTAATAATAAAGGATAATAATAAGTATTATTTAATAATAAAGGATAATAATAAGTATTATTTAATAATAAAGGATAATAACAAGTATTATTTTATAATAAAGGATAATAATAAGTATTATTTAATAATAAAGGATAATAACAAGTATTATTTTATAATAAAGGATAATAATAACTATTCTTTAATAATAAAGGATAAGAGAGAGTGAGTTTTATTTAAAGATAAAGGAGAATAAGAGTTTTATTTAATAATAAAGGATAATAATAAGTATTATCTAATAATAAAGGATAATAATAAGTATTATTTAATAATAAAGGATAAGAGAGAGTGAGAGTGAGTTTTATTTAAAGATAAAGGATAATAAGTTTTATTTAATAATAAAAGGTTAAGAGAGAGTGAGAGTTTTATTGAAAGATAAAGGGACAATCAGTTTTATTCAATAATAAAAGATGAGAGAGAGAGTGAGAGTTTTATTGAAAGATAAAGGGACAATAAGAGTTTTATTCAATAATAAAAGATGAGAGAGACAGAGAGACAGAGAGAGCGAGAGTTGTATGTGATAATAAAGGAGTGAGTGAGAGTGATGGCCTCCCCCTGTCACCTGGTTGGCTTCGCTCTGCTGCTGTTCTTTCCTTTTCTTCCTCTTCTCTTTCTTCCTCTCGTTGTTACCGGAGGCGCCGCCGCCGCCGCTGTGGCTGTAGTTGTTGTTTTTCTTGGCCGGCGGCCCCCCCGCCCCCCGGGGCCCCGCTCTTGCCGGGCCGGTTGGCCCCGCGCCGCTTGTGGCTCGAGTCCGAGTCCGAGGCGGACGAATCGTCCTCCACCCGGAGCAGCGCGAAGCGAGAGGCGCTGACGCCGAGCGAGGCCGAGCCCACGGCGGCCGCCATCAGTCGGGAGACACCGAGGCTTCACTTACCTCCTCACACACGAGGCCGCGGCACAGAGACACAGACACAGACACAGAGAGAGGGACAGAGAGGGATTTTAAAACAAAATCTAATGACAGTTATAAAACCCGGGGACGGGGGCACAGGGAGTGCGGCCGCTCTCGGGCTGGACTGCGGGCTGTTGGGAAACGAGGAGAAGCCCAACTGAGGACACGAGGCGGAGCAACAAACACCAACAGCAACACCGGGTCTGACCACCCGAGACTGAGCCCTCCCCTCCCCCCCCCTCACACTCACACACACACACACACCCCTCACACACACCAACACACCCCCTCACACACACACCAACACACCCACACACCCCCACACACCAACACACCCCCACACACACACCAACACACACACACACCCCTCACACACACACCAACACACCAACACACACCCCTCACACACACACCCCTCACACACACCCAACACCCCCTCACACACACCCCCTCCCCCCCCCCTCACACACACTCATACACCAACACACACACACACACCCCCCACACACACCCCTCACACACACACACACCCACCCCCCCCACACACAGCCTGACACTAACACACACACACACACACCCACTCCCCCCCACACACACACAGCCTGACACTAACACACACACACACACACCCACTCCCCCCCACACACACACAGCCTGACACTAACACACACACACACAGCCTGACACTAACACACCACACACAGCCTGACACTAACACACACACACACAGCCTGACACTAACACACACACACAGCCTGACACTAACACACACACACACAGCCTGACACTAACACACACACACAGCCTGACACTAACACACACACACACAGCCTGACACTAACACACACACACAGCCTGACACTAACACACACACACAGCCTGACACTAACACACACACACACAGCCTGACACTAACACACACCAGCCTGACACTAACACACACACACACACAGCCTGACACTAACACACACACACAGCCTGACACTAACACACACAGCCTGACACTAACACACACACACACAGCCTGACACTAACACACACACACAGCCTGACACTAACACACACACACAGCCTGACACTAACACACACACACACAGCCTGACACTAACACACACAGCCTGACACTAACACACACACACACAGCCTGACACTAACACACACACACAGCCTGACACTAACACACACACACAGCCTGACACTAACACACACACACACAGCCTGACACTAACACACACACACACAGCCTGACACTAACACACACACACACAGCCTGACACTAACACACACACAGCCTGACACTAACACACACACACACACAGCCTGACACTAACACACACACACACAGCCTGACACTCACACACACAGCCTGACACAAACACACACACACAGCCTGACACAAACACACACACACAGCCTGACACTAACACACACAGCCTGACACTAACACACACACACACAGCCTGACACTAACACACACAGCCTGACACTAACACACACACACACACACAGCCTGACACTAACACACACACACACACAGCCTGACACTAACACACACACACACAGCCTGACACTAACACACAGCCTGACACTAACACACAGCCTGACACTAACACACACACACACACAGCCTGACACTAACACACACAGCCTGACACTAACACACACACACACAGCCTGACACTAACACACACACACACACAGCCTGACACTAACACACACACACACACGCAGCCTGACACTAACACACACACACAGCCTGACACTAACACACACACACACACCCACTCCCCCCCACACACACACAGCCTGACACTAACACACACAGCCTGACACTAACACACACACACACAGCCTGACACTAACACACACCGCCTGACACTAACACACACACACACAGCCTGACACTAACACACACCGCCTGACACTAACACACACACAGCCTGACACTAAAGCACACACACACAGCCTGACACTAACACACACCGCCTGACACTGACACACACCGCCTGACACTAGCACACACCGCCTGACACTAACTCACGACACCTGACACTAGCACACGTTGCTTGACACTAACACACACAGCCTGACACTAACACACAGCCTGACACTAACACACACAGCCTGACACTAACACACAGCCTGACACTAACACCACAGCCTGACACTAACACACACACACACACAGCCTGACACTAACACACAGCCTGACACTAACACACAGCCTGACACTAACACACACACACACACAGCCTGACACTAACACACAGCCTGACACTAACACACAGCCTGACACTAACACACACAGCCTGACACTAACACACTGCCTGACACTAACACACACAGCCTGACACTAACACACAGCCTGACACTAACACACAGCCTGACACTAACACACACACACACAGCCTGACACAAACACACACAGCCTGACACTAACACACAGCCTGACACTAACACACAGCCTGACACTAACACACACACACACAGCCTGACACTAACACACAGCCTGACACTAACACACAGCCTGACACTAACACACACACACACACAGCCTGACACTAACACACAGCCTGACACTAACACACACAGCCTGACACTAACACACAGCCTGACACTAACACACACAGCCTGACACTAACACACAGCCTGACACTAACACACAGCCTGACACTGACACACAGCCTGACACTAACACACAGCCTGACACTAACACACAGCCTGACACTAACACACAGCCTGACACTGACACACAGCCTGACACTAACACACACAGCCTGACACTAACACACAGCCTGACACTAACACACAGCCTGACACTAACACACAGCCTGACACTAACACACTGCCTGACACTAACACACACAGCCTGACACTAACACACAGCCTGACACTAACACACAGCCTGACACTAACACACAGCCTGACACTAACACACACAGCCTGACACTAACACACAGCCTGACACTAACACACAGCCTGACACTAACACACTGCCTGACACTAACACACACAGCCTGACACTAACACACAGCCTGACACTAACACACAGCCTGACACTAACACACACACACACAGCCTGACACAACACACACAGCCTGACACTAACACACAGCCTGACACTAACACACAGCCTGACACTAACACACACACACAGCCTGACACTAACACACAGCCTGACACTAACACACAGCCTGACACTAACACACACACACACACAGCCTGACACTAACACACAGCCTGACACTAACACACAGCCTGACACTAACACACACAGCCTGACACTAACACACAGCCTGACACTAACACACAGCCTGACACTAACACACAGCCTGACACTAACACACACAGCCTGACACTAACACACAGCCTGACACTAACACACAGCCTGACACTAACACACAGCCTGACACTAACACACAGCCTGACACTAACACACACAGCCTGACACTAACACACAGCCTGACACTAACACACAGCCTGACACTAACACACAGCCTGACACTAACACACAGCCTGACACTAACACACAGCCTGACACTAACACACAGCCTGACACTAACACACAGCCTGACACTAACACACAGCCTGACACTAACACACAGCCTGACACTAACACACAGCCTGACACTAACACACAGCCTGACACTAACACACAGCCTGACACTAACACACAGCCTGACACTAACACACAGCCTGACACTAACACACAGCCTGACACTAACACACACAGCCTGACACTAACACACAGCCTGACACTAACACACACAGCCTGACACTAACACACACAGCCTGACACTAACACACACTGACACTAACACACACTGACACTAACACACACTGACACTAACACACACTGCCACACTGACACTAACACACACAGCCTGACACTAACACACACTGCCTGACACTAACACACAGCCTGACACTAACACACACAGCCTGACACTAACACACAGCCTGACACTAACACACAGCCTGACACTAACACACACAGCCTGACACTAACACACACAGCCTGACACTAACACACAGCCTGACACTAACACACAGCCTGACACTAACACACACAGCCTGACACTAACACACACAGCCTGACACTAACACACACAGCCTGACACTAACACACACAGCCTGACACTAACACACAGCCTGACACTAACACACACAGCCTGACACTAACACACACAGCCTGACACTAACACACAGCCTGACACTAACACACAGCCTGACACTAACACACAGCCTGACACTAACACACACAGCCTGACACTAACACACACAGCCTGACACTAACACACAGCCTGACACTAACACACACAGCCTGACACTAACACACAGCCTGACACTAACACACACACACACAGCCTGACACTAACACACACAGCCTGACACTAACACACAGCACAATGAGGCTGCCTGACATTAACACACACCACACACTGCCTGACATATAACACATAGCAAACTGACACACACCACACTGAGACTGATAACAACAACAACTTGGATTTATATAGCGCCCTCCACGCCGGACGGCGTCTCAGAGCGCTTCACAATAACAGATCCCGGGGCCGAGCCCAGGGGGTGGGGGAGGAAGGTGACCAATGGCGCGGTCGAAAAGAAAGGTCTTTAGCCGAGACCTGAAAATAGGAAGAGGGGTGAGGCAAAGGGAGTGAAGAAAGGATTTCCAGAGCCTCGGGACATAGCGGCTTAAGACACAGCCACCGAATGTGGAGCTGAGGATTCGGGGGACAAGGATGAGGCCATGAATCAGGGTTTCAGCGGCTTTTGGGGTGAGATATTGGCGGAGACGATCGATGCTTCGGAGTTGGAAGAAAGTGGTGCTGGTGAGGGACTGGATGTGGGGAAGGATAATTGGGGGTCGAACCTGTCGCCTCGGTTGCATTCAGGTTCGGAGAGTTTAGGGGGAGGTCGGGTAGGTGGAAGAGGTGAGAACCGTGCGATTTAAAACGTTGACGAGAGCCAAGGAGTATGGCTTCCGTCTTGTCAACATTTAGCTGAAGGAAATTTGCGCTCATCCAGCTCCTGATGTCAGACAGGCAGGCTGACAGAACATCAGGGGACTGAGGGTCGCAAAGTGAGGTTGAAAAGTAGAGTTGGGTGTCGTCCACATACATGTGGAAGTGTACCCCATGTCTGCGGATGACATCCGCAAGAGGGAGCATATAGATCAGAAAGAGGAGGGGACCAAGGATGGATCCTTGGGGTACCCCACAGGTGAGAGCAGGAGGAAAAGCTGTTTGTGCAGATGTACTGCTGGCGGTTCGTGAAGCAGGACTTGAACCGGGTGAATGCGGTCCCACTGAGGTGGATGACGGAGGAAAGGTGGTGGAGGAGGATGGCGTGATCGACTGTGTTGAAAGCGGCGGAGAGATCCAGGAAGACAAGGAGGCAGAGGGAGCCCTGGTCACAGATAGAGAGGATGTCGTTTGAGACTTTCACAAGCGCAGTCTCTCTGTACTGTGGTCAGGGCGGAAACCGGACTGGAGGGGTTCGAAGAGGGAGTGGGAGGAGAGGTGGGCGCAGAGTTGATTGACACCGAGACAGTCTGACACTGACGCATACCACACTGACACACACGCAGCACACTGACATGCACCACACTAACACACATAGCACACACTACACTGAGATTGACACTGAGACGGCCTGACACTAACTCGCACCAGACTGACACACACACAGCACACTAGCATAGCACACTGAAACTCATACAGCCTGACACACACACATTAACACACTGAAACTGACATTTACAGTCTCACATATACAGAAACTGACATTAACACCGTCACATACACTGTCTCACACACACACTGACTAACACACTGAGACGCACACACAGGCAGCAACACAGTGAGCAGAACATAGCAGCACCCACTCACACTGAAACATACATACACACTAACACGGAGACTAACCTCACACATAGACACAAAGAGATAAACACAGAGACACTGGCACAGAAACTCGAGACACTTGACAGAGGAACACACACAGACATACTGAGGCAGTAACCCAGACATAGATGCTGAGGGGGGCCGATAATCACTCAAATTGTGTCAGGGTAATAATAATAATAATAATAGCATCAGAAGGTTGTGGGTTCATGTCGGAACTTAGAATCACATCATAATAATCCTTGCATTTGATATAGCGCCTTATCACGTCTTCCAGACGTCTCAAAGCCCTTCACGGAATATACTGTAAAGTGAATTGATTGTATATTTTGTGGGTGAAACACGGCAGCCAATTGTGCACAGCAGTGTCCCACAAACAGTATTGGATTGAGTGACCAAATTAATATTATTTATTCTAATCTAAAATGATACTCCAGTACTGGGGATGTGTGGCATTGTTGTTGGTGCCAACCTTCAGATGAGAGCAATCTACCTGTTCCGGTGGACATTAAAGATCCCATGGCATTATTTAAAAAGAGTGGGATTTCCCCCCGGTGTCCTAACTAATAATCTCCCAAATTAAATTGGTCACTCACTCCACGGTTTGTGGGACATTGCTGTGCCAACTGGCTGCTGTGTTTTGTCCACAAAATACAGTCAAACCACTTTACAGTGTGTCCTGTAAGTGCTTGAGACATTTCAATTTGGAATATTCCAACCCCATTCCATTTCCAAAATTTTTGATTAGTTTGTTTCTCTGCTATTTTGTTGCCACCATCCCTCAGTATTAAGAGATAAACACCCTATATACATGCATAACTAAGTCACAATTTCCCAACCTCTTCTAGTATTCTTACATTTGAACCTTAACCATTCGATAAATATTGAGACAAAGTCAAATGTAGGTGACATAATTTATGTTCACACTAAATTGCCACAAATTATATTTACACTATCAATGACTTGTTTACTTTATATATAAAGGCAAAGTAACAGGAAGTTATAAGTTAATAATGCTGCTGATAATAAAAAAGATATTAAGATACTTGGTTAGAGCCAGGCCATTGTCAAAAAGTGTTAAGTAGCCTGGGGGTACTGACATCATCAATAAGCATTGGAAGTGTCATTCCGGATAACTTGTGTATAGGTGGTTCCTTTGCAGAATTAAGTCATAATAATAATGCATTTGATATTGTGCTTTTCAAATAGTTGTGACACTTCAAAGAGCTTTACAGGTTTACTGTAAAGTTTTGTGACTGGATATGTAGGTGAATATGGCAGCCGATTTGCATACAGAAATGTACCACAAAGAGTCATGAAGTGAACAACCAATTCTATCTGTTGGCCAGGACAACAAGAGAAGTTCTTCTCTTTCAAACAGTTCCATGGGATCTTGTACGACCACCTGAACAGGAAGAGCCGACTTTGGTTTAACGTCTGTTCCAAAGGATAGCACCTCCAACAATGCAGGATCCTCCCAGCACTGCTCTGGAGCATTAGCCTGAACTGTGTTAGTTATGAATCTAAAGTGAATGAATAAAATTACTTGATGAATTGCTTATCATTTAGAATTTATTAGAAAACTGAGATTATAATAATTTAAAATATATACACAATTAAAAAGATAGTTACTGTAGATGAATTTTGTATAGTGTAGAAAAAAGTCACCACAAATTAGTTCTTAAGATGTGTTTAAAGGAGTCCCACTCTCAGAATTGTTTTGAGATTTAAAGAATTAAAAATAATTATTAGCTTTAATATCCATTTCTCTTTCCATTTTGGCTGTTTTTTTTTAGAAAGTTAAAAGATGAATGAACAAGATATTCCTCTTCCCATTAGGCATAGCCAGTTTGTTTAAATAAAATGCACTTATAACAGGAATTGCACATCGTCAACGTTGCTTTACTTAAAAAGGCAAATGGAATATCTCATCACGAAGATGTCAAAGCTATTTATAGCAATTTTAACTGCTTAAAATAGGTTTGTATCGAGATCTGCTTCTTAAGCATTGATTAAACACATCAAGACAATTTTCAGTGTTATGCAATTGCACTTTTAAAAAGTACAAAAATACAGAAATCTCAATTTTATTAAAGTTAACAAGTGCAATCATATAAAATATATCTACAAGATAACAAACTATTAAAACAAAAAATCTAAAACACAATCATAAAAGTACAAAAAAGTGTAGAACACTAATAACATTTAGAGTTTTCAACCCAAATATAGAATGCCTTAATTTTTTAACCTCCGTTACACCTAACTCAATTTCACAGAGATACCTAAATGCATCATAAGTGAAACATTTCACAAAAGTAGAAAACTTTAGTAGTCGCAGTACATTTGTCAAAAAAAAGTTCAGTGTCTTTTTGGTCACGCATTGATATTTGCTGACATTTGCTTTTAAAACAGTCATAAAAACTTTCCCAAAATTGTTTTTATTTTAGATTCTTATTATTTCAATCATATTAGGGAAAGTTCTCAGCAATGCATACATTAAGTTTTGTTACAAATAATACAAAATACAATCCTTGGCTTGATAAGTGTGTTTGTAACATCAAACTTAGTCAAAGGGCTGAATACTGAAGAGAAAACAACAACTTGCATTTATACAGCGCCTTTCATGTGGGATCATGCCCCAGAGCACTTAAAGAGACACCACTTTGGGAAGATAAACTGTCCAGTGCAATATTGTCCAATTAATTGTTATCAAGTGACTATATATTTGTGGGCACCACTCTAGAAACAATCAAAAGTGAATTTATCTGAAGGATGTTTGGCCAGGATACTGGGAAATACTCCCTTTTCCTTTTGAATAGGATCATTAAGGTTCAACTGAACAGGCAGACAGGACATTGTTTGAACATCTCATCCAAAGGATGGCACCGTCGACAGTGTAACAACTCTACCAGTACTGCATTGGATTATGAACTCAAGTCCAAAAAGGACTTGAACCTAGAATCGATTGACCAGAGATCAGAATGTTATAATGATAAAAATAATCAATTGAACCAAGCTGACATGTTTGAATCAAGGATAGAATGTATGCAGTAAGGATATTAAGTATCTTTTATTATGACTATAGTGTCATCTGGGACACAGAAATTGGGTCAGAGAGCATGAAGTGATAGTAGCGTAATTATGGCCGATTGCAAATCTACCACTTTCAACACTTACATTCTTAGAACATGGGACCAATTGCTTCTTTGCCAGTCACTGCAGCAATCAAACCAGGTTCATTAAACTGGCTTTTCTTAGCTCAATAATGAATTTACTCTTGTGGTTCCAGTACAAGAACACGGTGCAAAGATTTCAAGCAGTTAAATGCTCGTTCTACATCTTCAGGTCGAGAGATTTCCTAGTGATTTCAATGGAATCTGGTGGGATGGAATGCACACTGCTGCTGAAACTGGAGCGCCGCATGGATACCTCTGTGGCAGACATCTGTCGCAGTTCCCTGCGGGATACTCTCACAGGGGTAATGCCCTGGCGTTGCGATGCCTTCTCACTTACCTGAGAAGGCTTGGATAATAAAGCTCGTGCTTTTGATGGCTGTGCTCCATCTACCTCCCAGACCTCTTCAGAACTGAATGCACACCTAGGTTCACCTGTCAAACGGGTGGGGGTTTGTGTCATTTCAGAAATCTCCTCCCAAGACACCTGGTTCTTATGTGCCTTACAGGTTGTTGGAAGACCATCAGTTCCTTCTCGGATAATTTTGGATGGTCTTGAAGCCCACTTTTGTTCCTTTGTCAAAGCTTCTGTCCCTCCCTGGCTTAACACTGTATCACCAGCACTATTACCTGCAAGCAAAATAAATATTTATATCCTCCTGCTTTCAGGAACATTTCTAATTTCTAAATCCTTTAATACATGTACAGTATTTAATTAAAAGATGAATTCACTTCAGCTGTCTGACTACCATTTGAAAAAAAATTCTTGCCCAGGCTAATGGATGGGGTACCTCACTTTTGGGATGATCTAAATCTAATTTAGAAATGCAGGTTTTGCAGGACCAAAAAGTACAAACTCTTATCGTTTAGTAGTCCAAATAGTCCCAACCCCCCAAGTGAAGGTGTTTAATCACTGTTAAAAAATAACAAGGATCAAAAGAACATTAATGCAATTTACTGAAGCTTTAGTTCTGCAGGCATAATGCCCCAATTGATAATCTTCTGATCTCTCAGATATACCCATCTCGAAGGGTCAAGCATAGACCAAACAAGGGAGGGAAATATCAGAGGCTGCTTCTCTGGATGAGTAAAATCAACTAAATATAAGAAGTGCCATAAGAGAAAACTTGGAAGTAGCTAATTCACAAGATGTATGGTGTAGGGAGTTACAGAGAAAAACAATCTGTAAGAAATAAGATATACAGCAAATAAACTAAATGACTAGTTCAGAAAATCATGAATGGTAAAGCAGGAAGGTCAATTACTTTGTGAAGTTGCTGCCACTTGATTCTGATTAAGAGACTCTGCCACCACCTCCCGAAGTTTCTTCTTTAGTTCTCTGCTTGTCGTTTTGTAGAAGAACAGGTCCTTTTCCAGCTCTTGGACCTTTGACTGGTAAAGCTTAAGGTCTGCAAGGCCCTCACCATCTTTGTCTGGAACCACATAATTTTTTTATTCATCAGTCTCCCTCAGAAAATGTACCACAGTATCTCTGTGGAGCATCATACAATGCAAATGTTTACAAATTATATTGTGCACAATCTACACTTTCAGCACTTTCCCAAATTATTTCAGAAGGTTTGTTCCAGTCTACAACTTTACAATATTCTACTTCCAAATCATGAGCACTGAGTTCAGATCCCAGTCAAAATGACATTCATGCTTGAGCTTTCCACAGGCAGTACATTTACTATATGGTGGAACTACTTGGAAGAAGAATGGAAAACTGATCAGGAATGCTGAAGTTTCTCTGTATATCGTTGAAGTATATTTCCTTGTGGACTGGCTAGTGTATTTAAAACAAACCTAAACATACAAAATTGTAGCCAATTACGGATTTAATTATCATTTAAGAAAAGGTTACTGAGGTCAGGAACCATTAGCTAAATTACTTTGCTCCTAGGTTTCCTGCTTGCATTCTACCACTTTTTTTTATTTCACTGGATTTGAATAGTACTTAATGGATTGTAACACAAATTTTAAAAAAACGTTAAAATTGTTCCCAACATTTGTTTTCAGGGTTTACTCTCTATAGTACATGACTCACAATTTGGAGATTCCACCATTTCTAGGGCTCCATTCAATGCACTTTTTGCTCATTCATCTTTCAGGAACAACTTAATACAATAAAATAAACTAAGCTCTTCAGCAGTATTCTTTTAAAACTGCTGCTGGTAAACTGATAAAACTGGTGCTAAGTATAAAATAATTTCACAAGATCTTAGACTCTCAAGATCTTAGACTTCCACAGACTGACCATCCAAAAAACAGTACTGAGTAAATACTTGATGGATTGCAGAACTTTGAAATAAAAGTCACAGAATTTAACAGAAACTTCCAAACTGCAACATCACAGATTTGTAAATTAAATTAATATGCTTCAAATTTACTAAATAATAAATATCATCTCTTAAAGGTTTCCTAAATAGTATTTTTAAAATAATTGTTAATTTACATTTACAAATTAAGATCACACTTTAGCATTCCACTGGATCCCCAGGTGTATGACAAAGCCGTACAGTTTAGAAATCATAGGTTTGATTCCAATACCCTTTAGCTGATCAGTGCTAAGGCAGCAGTTGGTGATACAACTGACATTAATGCTCTTGGGCAAGGGTAGGAAAAGAAAATCACTCATGGTTTCCAATCTTGATTAATTGCTATGTAATGACTGGGTGGAATGGCTATATGGGAAATCAGGAAATTTCCTGAATGCCCCCATGAATGGTTCTTGAGTGCCTCCGTGAATGGCTCCCGATGCTTACCATCCTGTGTAGCTTGGTTCATGAGTTCCGAATACACTTTTCACGAACTTATGCTTTTTGGCGCTTCACACAAATCAGCGATCCCACAAATCAGTGACAACACCTCCCCCGCACAAATCAGCGCCCCCATTTTACGTGACAATCCCAAGTTCTTTCGGGGAGCCATCTGCTACTGTGTATGTTAGTGAGAGGATGTTGAGTGAGACGGGATCAGACATGGCTCTAATTCTTCAAAGCACCACCCCCACACACAGCTGTTCACACATTTAGACTAGAATCCAACTGATGTTTTGTTGGACTATCGGTTTTGTTGTGTACTGTACAAACCCTACCATTTATTTGCTTTTTAAAAATAAACTATGGTGCTGCATGAGTTTCTCCAGGTGGCTTAGCTAACGAACTTCCAGATAAATTGGTCATTTACTCTATGGCTATTTGCAGAAAATGATTGTGCGCGAATTGGCAGTTGCATTTGCCGATAAATACAACAACAACAAGATTCCATTTATTGAGCGCCTTTCACGTTGGGAGGACGTCCCAAGGGAACCCTGTAATAATCATCCTTGCATTTTGATACAATGTCTTACCACATCTTCGAGACATCTCAAAGCACTTCACAGAACATACTGCAAAGTGAATTGACTGTATATTTTGTGGGCGAAATGCAGCAGCCAATTGCGCACAGTAGTTATATTCCTTACTCCACACGCCTGATAATAATCCCTCCAAAACAAAAAACAATAAATTGGTCATTTTCAATCTACGACTGTTTGTGGGACACTGCTGTGCGCAATTGGCTGCCGCGTTCGCCCACAAATATACAGTCAATTCACTTTACAGTATATTCTGTGAAGAGCTTTGGGACGTCGAGAAGACGTGAATAGCGCTATATCAAAAAGCAAGGATTATTATTATTATAATGTCCTTCAAGAGAGCCTTGTCTCACTTATAGTGCAAGTCTATTGACTGAACCAGAAGCATGGTTATCCGGCTTCCAGTGTTGACGAGTCAGCTTCCCACACCAATAAATGGCCATTTATCATCATTGGCATCACTTTTTGCAAGTTGTTAGGAAGCACCACAAATGTCACTTTTTGAAAACTGCACATACTATCTATACCCAGTAACACTAATGTTACCCCCCAGAGCACTGCTCACGTGCAGGAAGCGCTGCTAAAGTCACTTTCCGAAGGAATAACCTCACAGTATCTTCTCAAACAATTACACATCACCAGGAGACAATACACTCTTTTACCCTTAAACTGCTGTAACAATAGTTGGATCTTCTGTTCATGCTCCTTCTGCTGTACTGTCAGGCGTCGATCTATCTCCAGTGTAAAACGCTCCAGTGCAGATTCTAATTCATGAACCACATTCTCCTGCTCAGTTATCTTCATAGACATCTCTGCACACTGAAGCTGCAAGCTGTGTTCAGTCTCTCGTAGGCTAATCACCTTCCAAATAAAATGCATAACATTGAAATATGAACAATGGAGAAAGCTCCTCACTTTGTTTTAAAAAGACAAGCAGCAAAATTCTTCCATGATCTGCTATCTCATTGCTTTAAATCAATAGATTTTGTTTGAAAGGGATGGACCCTATTTTCACACAATTTCAGAATGTTACAACACTGAAATTGGCCCAAGAATCATGTAAGATTTTCAGTGGAAATCAGTTCTATGATTAGCAATAATTGCAAATGTTGCTCAAATTCAGGCAAAAGTAGTTTCTAATAGAACATCCTAATTGAAAGACTTAATTCAGAAATAGGAACTTGAACTAAAAATCTAAAATAATACTTCAGCGTAGTACTGGTGAACGCTGCATTGCCTGACATGCAGTGTCTCATGAGAGACATTAAGCCAAGGTCCTGTCTGCTCAAATAGTCATTAAAAATCCTACAATACCACTGTATTTGAAAAGAGAAGGGAGTTTCCACCAGTGTCCAGACCAAGATTCCTCTAAGTTGAAATCCTCCAGATAGATAGATCATTTACTTCATGTCTGTTCATGGAAATTTACTGCAAATAGCTAATGATTTTTTCCTGCAAAAGACAGTTACTACAACTGACAGTAATTACATGTGCTGCACTTTAAGATGATCAACACAATAAGCCACTATAAAAGTTCTTTTTTGCTTTTCTTTTCCCAACATTACAAATGTAACTATTGTCCATAACTGAGTAATAAAACTTCACCTTATTAAAGTATCTGCAGAGGAGGGCTCTTGTTTCAGCAGCTGTTAAAGCACTGAGTCTAAACATAACATTAGCCTCACTCTGGGTAAGGTTGTTGGCTGAGGCTCTCAGTGAATGTTGGCGACAATGAATGCTTTCATTTTTGTATTCTATAGCCACATCCAGAGCTTCAATGCCCTCTTCCAACCGGTAAAGTATCCGCTCTTCCTGAAAAGTAAAACAACTTGAATTACATCCCGACTATTTACAAGTCTCACTATTCTTGGACCATTGTGGACAACATTTAGATTTGGAAATAACTTAGTGCCTTCCTCCCAATCCTAAATTGAGATTTTGTCAGCCTGACTCAGTGGATAGCACTCTTGCCTCTGAGTCACTTTGAGACACTGAGCTCATAGTCTAGGCTGACAGTCTAAACGCAGTGCTTGACCACTGCATTGTCAGAGGTACCGTTCTTTGCAACGCAAGAACGGAGGACGTCCTCTAGCCTGTTCCACCATTCTATAAAATGATGGCTGATCTGTACCTCAACTCCAATTTTTTTATTTTTTTTATTTTTATATGGAAATTTACCGCAAATAGCCTTTGCCCCATATCTCTTTGGTAAGACATTAACCTAAGATCCCTATCTTCCTGTAGGCATTAAAATCCATGGCACAATTCAAATAGACAAGGAAAGTTTCTTCTTGGTTTCCTCGCCAATAACCCCCTGGTAAAATTAGCAGTTCACTTCATGGCTATTTGTGGGACATTGTTGTGCACAAACTGGCTGCCATTTCAATCATTACACTATACAGCCACTGCACTCTGCGCTCTACAGCATTTAAACTTATTGTTTTACTCCATTTTGATTTTGGTCACCCAAATATCTGACCGTTGAGAAATTCAGTGCTATGCTTAAGAATATCCAAACTAGACAGAATTCCACGTATGTACACATGGAAATTTCTGTGTCTTAAATGGAATGCGCACTCTCTCCCTAGGGGAAGCAACCTGCTTACCGAATTTCGGAAGTATTAGGGGCAAGTTGACAAGAGCCAAGTCTTGGGATCTCAGAGCATGTGTTTGGGTACTGTTGGAGTTTAACCAGCTAAATTCTGTCTAGAAGAACTGCTCATGTTGATTTTATGGTGCATACCACCTAAATCTTCCGCTGTGTTGGACTTGTAACGCTCCAAGACACTTCCCCGTATGAAGGACGCTATATAAATGCAAGTTGTAGTTATTGTAATAGGCTTCCGGTTAGTGAATATTTCCTTATGTTTTGACTGAACATTAGGGTGAACGTTGGGTAAGTTTCCTTATTCCACACACCTCTGTTTACTTAGTAGTAAGTAGGAACCTGGTTGTTAGTCAATTAGCGGATCGTTTTTCTGGGGTAATAATCTCTTCAAAAATCAATAAATAAATTTAAAAAATTGGTCACTCAATCCACAAATGTTTGTGGGACACTACTGTGTGCTGGGTTTCATCCACAAAATGTACAGTCGATTCACTTTACAGTATATTCTGTGGAGCGCTTTGAGACGTCTAGAAGATGTAAAAAGGCACTATATCAATTTCAAGGATTATTATGTATTAATAAGTCTTCCATCTTCCTTGTATATTTTTACTTCCCCTTGGGGGTCTTTGAATTCTAGCTTGCTCTTTTGATTGTAGCTTTTTCTCTCTCTCAGCCCCCCCCAAGGATTATTATTAAACAAAATGATTGCACAAAAAAAACACAAATTATATTAATATCTCTAGCACCAAAAGCCACGGTACCTCAGAAGATAGAACATTTCCAAGCTGCAGTTTTTCATCCAAGCAGTGCCTTCTTATCAGTAACTGATCTCGTTCCTGTTGAAGCATTTGCATCTCTTCTGAAATAGCTTCCTTTTCCTCTGTTGTGCTGTTCTCTAGTAGGATACTTTTAGTTGACAATGCATTTTCTATTGAGCTCAAACGAGTGGACACATTTAAAATATCTTTGTTCAAAGCCTGCAAATAATTCCACAATTTTTTGGTGAGGCGCTATGTCATGGTAATACAGTATTATAATTCATAATACGGGAGGCTTAGGGTCACCTCCCCTTTCCCATGGCTCGTTGTCAGACTCCGTGAAGTGCTCCAGGACATTACCCCTTGGCGCTATATAAATGCAAATTGTTGTTGTCGTTGGCTTTGTCTGCAAAACCAGGCACAATTAATGATGTGACATTTTATACACAAAGTGCTGCAACATCATGATTTCACAACAAATATGATGACATTCATAACAACTACTGAAAAGGGGTTCTCAAGTTGCGGCCCAATAGCATTTTTTTAAAAACGTAACCTTTTGGGCTCAGCTTTCAGGTACCTCATGATAAATAGTTCTCCTTAACCAAAAGTATGTTCAGAGTCTTTGTCAATGCTCTTAATGTGGCCAGTAGGTGGTGCAGAAACACAGGCTGCAGTGATTCATTCACCTGTTCCACCCTGTGCTTTCTATCTCCATCCACACACCCCCAGCCTCAAACTGATGTTAGGGCTCAGACCAGGAATCCAGTGTGTGGAACGACATGGCAACAGTGTGCTGGAGCAGTGAGTAAGAGTGGGATATATCAAATTCCATCTTGCTGATTTCAACTTTTTAATGGGAAACCCTGATTAGTGCCCAAATGAATGATCGGTGAAGAAAAGAGAGGCAGTTATTGGTTTCCAGACTACTTTTGAACACTTCCAGCATGGAACAACATGAGCAGGAGCCTTGGAATATATCACCTGTCTTACTTACTCTCTTGATTGCAAGTGGTGTCTGGGACAGGATGAAAGAACAAAAACACTGAGAAAATGAGAAGGGGTTTGGATCTTTGCAACAAAAGAAAATCACTGCTAGAAATGTATAATCTCTGTACACAATTCTTTGGAACACCAAACTGTTGTCTGCATGTAAGATCTTTAATTACATATCACTCTCACCTGGCTGGAACGTAGCTTTTTGATTTCCAGTTGGCTTTTCTCCCGCAACAGTGCCTCCTTTTTATCTACAATAGCTTCTCTTTTCTTCAAATCCTCCTCCAGATCAGCCAGGGCTTGTCTTTGCTGCAAAACATTTTCTACTTCCTCGTCTAACCATTTCCGCTGCTCATCTATCTTCTGGAAAGAAAGAAATTGAGACGTGTATAGGTAATGTAAAAAATGTAAAATACGTGCAACTGTTGTACACATTTATGGCAATACCAAGTCATTTGTACAGGAGAACACAATATAAAGTTAGTGCCGGAAGCTGTACAATACTTACCTAGGATTTCTATTCATTTGTTGAAAGGCCTGCTGTTTGTATCAAAGAGCTCATGTGTGAATGACATCTGAGGAGTGCAGAAGGCCAGACTTCAATAGTGTAGTCATGAGAAAGGAGGTTTATTTCAATATTTTTAAGGGGTTGTTTTGGGGCGTATTTATGGAGAAAGTTTCCTCAAGTGATCATATTAGGGGTGCAGAGTCTATGACAATGCTAGATTAAATTTGGAGTGTGGATGGAGCATCTTTGATGGCCAATTGTCCTTTTCTCCTTGGATGCTTTCTAAATTCTTATGAGAAATAAATTAAGTAAAGTGGAACCCTGGGTCTTAGAAGAATGGTTCTGGATTTGGATCCATGTGCGATCTACCTTGCTTTAATGTCATCCAATGGTAAGCACCTCTGCCAAAGAACTGCATGGAGTGTCAGCCTAGACTATGAGCTTAAACTATTATATTACAGAAGTAACCTCATAAGAAACTTCACTCAACCCCATCACTATAGTTTTCTCTCCTTCTGTCCTGAATACTACAATAGAATTTCATATACTCCACTAACTTGATCAATTGGTTATTTTTCATATAATAATAATATTTTCACTTGGGTTAGACCTTTTATGTTGGAAGAACGTCTCAAAGCGAGTACAAGATGTACTGTTAAGTGTAGACACTGTATTTATGAGCGAATATGTTAACCTGGATAGTGAGTGCCAGCAGCTGTACAACTGTGGGGAACTTCAGATAAGCCTAATCTTGTCCTGACATAATGTACAGACACATATACCTTCCAGCTGTTCTCTCTTAATAACAATCTGGTGCAGAAATCCTGACTGATTGTTCACCTGCTTAGTTAAGCACATTGAGGTAAATTGTATTGTTTCTTTATTACTGTCCTATCTGAAATCTTGAGAACAGTTAAAGAAACTAAAGAATCCACACAGGCGTACTGGTTACTCAATTTAAGTGGCACAAATGCTTCACTAATCACAAGAAGAGACAATTGACAGGTGCTATCACAGTAGTCTAAGCCATACCTGCTGTTCCTCTGTGATAACAGGGAAGCGCTTCATTCTCTTGAAGTGGGCAATTTCCTCAGTTTTTCTTTTCAGTATTTTCTGCTGTTGCTCTTGTTTCAGTTCAAGCTCCTGGTAAGATGAAACATCCATGACTTAGACATTCTATTTAGAAACTGATTTTCACTTTTTATGATTGTTCATATTTTATTGTGAAGGATCATAGGAAGTTCTGGAAATAAACCTCCACCAGCGTTACACAGCATTAATAATAATAATCCTTGCATTTGAAATAGTGCCTTATCAAGTCGTTGAGATGTCTCAAATGCATTCAAAGAATATACCGTAAAGTAGATTGACTGTATTTTGTGGGTGAAACTAAACATTCCAAAAACATTTCATATACATAAAAATGTGTCTAGAACATTCACATTTCCTGTAAAGAGAAAAAATAGTCTTTAAATCTTTAAATAAGCTGAATAACTTTGCACTGAATCTGCCTGATCCTTTCCATAGGGATTCATTATTTTGAAATATAGATATTAATATCATCTATTCTGGAGATCCAATAATGCGTCCAGCTTATTCAATTCATGAAAAAGAAGACTTGTGATTTTATTTTTTAAAAAAGTGACTCTTTTAAATCAGATTTTTGAAGGATCATGGGAAACAATTCATTTGTAAACACGCAAGACAACAATCTGACAAATAATAGAGCAGTAACGTGTAACAAGGACCAAAATAATAATGAATCTCTATCATTGGTATTCATTAACTATATACAAGAGGAATAAGTAGAATTATCTTTAAGCAGGAAACAGCAAGAGTGATGAGGATTAAGTGCAGCAGCACCATCTGGTGTAGAACGCTCAATGGAGCAAGGCAGGGGATGCATTTCAAAGTAAGGATAAGGATTCTGAATTCAATCTGCTGGGGGCTGGTGAGCCAGTGCAGCAAGCGAGGATAGGCTGGCCTCAGAAATCTGGATGAAGGCAGAAGAGGGTCTAAGATGGAGAGGCAGTGGCAAAGGCAGGGGATGTTGCAAAAGTGAAGGAAAGGCAAGCAAGTAAAAGCCTTTGAAGATTCATTTGTAGATTGTAGAGCTGTTTCTCTAGTCTTTCCTTGAAACTCAATATCTTTGAACCGGGATCAACCTTGTTCTTTTCTGCAACTACTTTTTAAAACTTGTAGATATATTTTCTGGTTCAATAAGCAGAACTGAATATAGTAATAATAATAATCATTGCATTTGATACAGAACTTTATCAAGTCTTCGAGACGTCTAAAAGCGTTTCACAGAATATACTCTGAAGTCAATTGACTATATATTTTGTGGTCAGTACTTCAAGTGTGGACTTATCATTGCTTTGTAGAACCCTAACAGAGACTTCATGTTGTCTCGCCTGGACATGCTTGAAGGCTTAGTTGAGGAAGGGCAGGAGGAAGCTCATGTGGAGATAAACACCAGCAAAGACCAGTTGGGCCGAATGGCCTGTTTCTGTGCTGTATATTCTGATGTATTCTAATGATGAATGCATTAGTCCAGAATTAAAGAGTAAGGAAATGAGAGTAAGATCATCTTGCAGAGAGTTTAGGCATGTGAATGTACAGTGAGTTTTCCATAAGTTGTGCAGTATCTATATAGGCATCGCTCATATCAAAGAACACAAAATGGTTTCCATTCAATTGTAATTTTAATTGGGAAATGTTCTTACTTTGATTCGTTGCTGATCTCTCTGAATCTCACTTTCCAGTTTCCTCTTCTTATCACTTTCTTCATGTAGTTTTCTTTGAAGCAGTTGCTGCTGCTGTTTCATGTTTTCAACGTTTTGGTTCAACTGAGTAACCCGCTTTTCATTCTGCGCTGACAAAGAAACCAACTTCTTTGTGTCCAGTTGTTTCTTCTCCAAAGACTAAAGGAAACAGGACCAGAATTTCAAAAATGTTTATGGGTTTGTTTATAGGCAGAAATATTGTGCTGGTATTGTATTGTGCTGGTATTGTATATCACTTTTCTTCAAATAATGTTAACTAATCAAACCAAAGCAAAATGGCTACATTTTAAATCATTCCTAAATTCAGTCTCCGCTTGGAAGCCAGTTTTCTGTAGTTCTTTTTAAGAACGGTGAAAAACGGTATACAAATTAATACTGAATTCGGAGGAGGAATGTTGTAAATCAGGATAACTTGGCACAAATGCAAATGCATATAAATGTAATTTGTTATTTGTTTGGATACTCTTAAGCGTGGTGATGGGTTTCCACAAGTGTCAGACACCCAGCTGATCAAAAGAAAAATATTTGATCAGTTTCTGATGCAGTAAGACAAGCTACTGAGCTGTAATGACTAACCTCCACTTTAAGCTTGGTTGCTTCCATTTTCTTGCGGAAGTCTTTTTGCAGTTTTACTTTTTCAGCAACATCCCTAAGTTCTTTGTTCTCCAGTTGTTTCTGAGTTTCTGCTAGCTCCGTTTTGGCCTGCTCAGCTTCTTGTTCTAACTGAGTGATTTTGTGGTAATACTGTCGGTTTACAGCCTGGGCATCCTTACCTGAAGACAATAACAACAACAAAATGACATTTGTAAAGCGGCTTTCACGTTGGGAAGACGACTCAAGACTCTGAACAATCGGGGATCAGGACCCAAGCCTGAGGGCGGGGGCAGGGCTGGGATGAGGGAGGGCAGAGGGGTTGGAGGGCAGCTGTAGGCATGGTCGAAAAGGAGGGTTTTGAGTCATGCCTTGAAGGAGTTAAGGGAGGGAGTAAGGTGAAGGGATTGTGGGATGGAGTTCCAAAGGGTGGGGCAGAGAGGCTGACAGCGTGGCCGCCCTACCATTGGACATGGAGCAGGCTGGAGCCTGCTGAACGGAGGGAGCGGACAGGTTGATGGGGGTCAGCAGGTCAGAGATGTAGGAGGGGTCAAGGCCATGGAGGGCCTTGAAAATGAGGTAGAGGATTTTGAATTCTATCCTTGGCAGAATGGGGAGCCAGTGGAGCCAGGCAAGGGCGGGGGTGAGGAGGTCATGGAGTCTGGTGCGGGAGACGACAAGAGTTGCAGAGTTCTGGATGATCTGATCATAGTCGAGCCTTGAGGTGATGAATGAGGGTTACAGTGGCCTGAGGGATGAGGCAGTGGTGGAGTCGGGCAATGTTGCAGAGATGGGGGAAGGCAGAGAGAGTCATGGTACTGATGTGGGGGAGGATGTTGAAGGTTGAACAAAACACCCAGGTTCTTGACTGGATTGGTGAGATGCAGTGTGCATCCGTGGATGCTGATGCTGCCAGTGCCTGAGGTGTGGAGGTGCTGGTGAGATCTAATCAGGAGGGCCTCGGTCTTGCTGACATTCAGCTGTAGAAAGTTGGCTCTCATCCTGGACTTGATGTCTGACAGATAGTCTATCAGGACGTCGTTGTCCTGGAATCGAGGGTGGAGGCAGAGAGATAGCGTTGGGTGTCATCCGCGTATATGTGGAAGAATAAATCAGTGCGGGACGTAGGCCAGAGCGGGAGGAGTTCAGTTGATGGTAGGGCAGCGGAGAGAGATTACGTGGAGATTTTTTTTCAGGAGCGGTACGAGATGTAGGTGCGTTTGGTGGTGGTGGGGCTAGGGATTGGGGAGTTAAAGGAGATGAAATGGTGATCAGAGATGGCTTGTCTGTGACTGTGATATCCGAGACACCGAGGTCCGGGGTAATCACCAGGTCGAGTGGGTAGCCTGAACTTGGGAGAGGTTGTGAGAGAAGAGGAGAGAGGAGGTGGAGCAGGAGGAGGTGAAGTGAAGGTTCAAGTTGCCGAGGATGAGGAGGTATTCAGAATGGAGGCAGAGGGAAGCTAGGAGGGGGGAGTAGTCAGTGTGGCTGCTGCTGGACAGCCAACACCGAGTGTCACGGTGAGTCCGGCAGAGGAAGACATCAAGTCACCTCAAATTTATCATTAACCAAACAAAAGTTAAAAAAATGCAAAGGACAAAGTGATCTTAAAACAAAAGGAACATTATCTCTACATTCTTCTCAGAACACCCACCCCCATTAGTTAGATAATCCCGTTTCTGGAGTGGGGAGGGTTGAAAGAAGATAATTTGTGATCTAATGATTAATGAATGAGCTAGAATTATTATTAGTCATAATAGTAACCAGAAACTAAAGGAACAAAAAAGCTTTTCCAAGTATTCCTGGTTATTCCTGAATATTTTTGCATCAAAGCAGACCTGTAACTGTGGTTCAATGTAAGATCAACAACAACAACTTGCATTTATTCAGAACTCTGCAGCTTGTGTCCTCTCCGGCACTAAGCTCTGTGACCCAATTACCCCCATCCTCGCCTGGCTTCACTGACTCTCCATCCTTCAGAGGATTGAGTTCAAGATCCTCATCCTCACCTTTAAAGCCCTCCATGGTCTTGCTCCTCCCTACCTCTGCAACCTACGAGAAGGTTATTTAACTGTTCGCTTCCTCCGCTCGGCAGGCACTGCCCTGCTCCATGCCCTGCCCCCTCCACCATCAATGGTGGGGCCTTCAGCCTTTCTGCCTCCGTCCTCTGGAACTCCATCCCGGACCTCCTCCTCGACCTCTCCCTTCCCTCCTTCAAAGCCCATCTCAAGATCGTCCTTTTCGACCGTGCCTTTGGTGATCTTCCCACCCCACCCTCATTGCCCTTCACTCCTCTCGATTCCATCCCCGAGCTCAGGTCCAAACATTTCACTATCCAACTCTCCCAATGACCTCCCAAAGTGACAAGTGCATATAAATACAATTTGTCATTGTTATTATACAGGGTCCTTCATGTGGGTACTTTCTCACAGCGCTTAACAGTGGCGTGGCTTGATGCCGAGCCCAAAAGGAGGTGGGAAGATAATGAAGGCACGGATCACAGAGAGAAAATTTCAGGTGTGATTTGAAGGTGGGCAGAGAGGAGGGATTGAGGCAGGGAGATCAGAGGTTTGGGGCATCGTGGCTGAAAACACAACCAACTATAGTGGAACGGAGGGGATGAGGGACATGTAGCAGACCTGAGCCAGCTGAGCAAAGGGGTAGAGGAGTAGGATGTCAGCAAATTGGAAATCTCACAAGCAATACAATTATGTTTGTGCCTTTTACCACTTCTAACCTGTTTTGACCAATTCTTTGATGAGCTCTTCCTTCATACGAATGTTGACGGCAAGCTCCCCAATCTTCCGTTTGGAATAAGCCACATCCAACTCTGTAGCCTTCAACTTCTGTATGTTTAGTACTTGACTCTGACGTAGTCGCTCGGCCTCTGAAGAGGGATTCCGCTGTGGGCCTAAATACAGTCAAGCAAAAGAGGTGGAAAAAAGATTCAATACACAGTATTTTGATAGACTGAAAGATTTAAGGATACACATGACTAGTTTTAATCCTTAGCAATGTGTGAAGAACTAATAGAGATAACCTGTAGAGAGATAACTGTTGTATAAATGGACAACACTATAATTTTGGTTTTATCAATTTCAACTGAGCTATCTGGATAAAGGTAATGAGGGAAGGCAAGACACTTTTTCTGGCTCAAAGAAAATGTAAGGAATAATCAACATTCACATCACATAGCCAATAAGTCAAGTGTGGGACTGGCACAGTAATCAGAACAACAATGCTTCTCGACTTGGTCATAGAATGACAGATAACATGGGAGACAAAATTCAAAGATGGGAGAAAATAAACTTACAAAATAACTGAGTTAAGAGATCATTATTTAGGGCAAAGTGGAGTTTTTATGCTCTACATTTGGCTAGAATGCTACCTAACACTTCTTGTGTTCTAGAGCCTTATTTAATAATAATAATAATCCTTGCATTTGATATAGCGCTTTTCGCGTCGGGAGGACGTCCCAAAGCGCTTCACAGAACACACTGTAAAGTGAATTGACTGTATATTTGTGGGCGAACGCTGCAGCCAATTGCGCACAGCAATGTCCCACAAACAGTCGTAGATTGAAAATGACCAATTTATTATTGTTTTTGGTTTTGGAGGGATCATTATTAGGCGTGTGGAGTAAGGAAACTTGCCCAAGGTTTCGCCCTCTGCCTGGAATTGAACTCAGGTCTCTCACTTACAAAGCGAGTGCTCTAACCACTGAGCTACAGGACTCCATTTACTCTCACAATGTCAAAGAACTTTTGGTTAGTTCCAGTCTACCTTTGCCACTTTCTTGTTGATTGTCCCTTAGGCGTAAAGCATTTTGTTTTAACAATTCCGTACCAATAACGCCACCGTATTGTGCTCGAGTCCACATGTGATTTATGGAAAAGCTGATATTGGAAGGAAAAAGGCAATTTTTAGAATTTGATTAAACATTATGCACAACCATAATTCTAACACATACATTTTTCTGCAAATGAACTAGAATTTTCTTGAATATACTGATTCATTTGCTGCCACTTTTTAATAATAAATCATAACTAGTGAAATTGATCAAATATATATAGAGTGAACATGTAGGTAGAGAGATATAGTATGTTGCACATAAGAGTACAGAAAGTGGACATCTATCGTACAGTAACCCTCTAACTTAAGGTCCAATAACGATACATTAAAACAAGAAAAACAGCAGATACTGGAAATCTGAAATTAAGCAAGAAATGCTGGAAATCCACAAAAGTGAATCAGCTGAAAGAGGAAAACAGATTTGTATGGCCAACTATGGGTTTTGCAGTACTTCCTGCTTTTATCCCAGAAAAAATAAAGTCTACCTAAAATGGCTTCCACAAGCCAGAGAAAGATTTCAGTGCAAAGGAAGGCACTCTTTCTGGAATCATTAATCAATTACTACATCTACTTTGGTAATAATAATAATCCTTGCATTTGATATAGTGCATGATGTTGAGATGTCTCAAAGCATTTAACAGTTTTCTGTAAAGTGTAGTGACTGTATTTATAGAACCCTGCGTGAAGGATGCTATATAAATGCAAATTGTTGTAAAAATGGCAGATAATTTTCACATAGCAATGTCACATAAAAAGCCAAGAAGTGAATGACCAATTGTCTGGGGGATTGTTGGCCAAGGCACAGGAGAAACTCTTCTCCCTTTCTGAAAGTGCCATGACATCTTTAATATCAACAACAACAACAAATTTTATTTGTATAGGGCCTTTCACGTCAGAAGGATGTCCCAAGGTGCTGGACAGTCAGGGATTCACACCCGAGCTGGTGGTTGGGATCAGGAGGTTAGGGGTAGGAGGGTGATTAAAGGCACGGTCGAAGAGGAGGGTCTTGAAGGAGACAAGGGAGGGGTCCAGGCTGAGGGACTGTGGGATGGAGTTCTTGAGGGTGGGGGCACAGAGGCTGAAGGCCCATCCGCCAATGGTGGGGCAGGCAAGGTGGGGGACGTGAAGCAGGCCGGAGCCCGCTGAGTGGAGGGAGCGAACAGGTTGATAGGGGTTTAGGAGGTCACAGAGGTAGGGAGGATCAAAGCTATGGAGAGCTTTGAAGGTGAGGACCAGGATCTTGAACTTTATCCTCTGAGTGATGGGGAGCCAATGGAACCGAGCGAGGATGGGGGTGATAGGGTCACGTACCTGGTGTGGGAGAGGACACGGGCTGCAGAGTTCTGGACGATCTGCAGCCTGATGGAAGGAGGTGTCGGGGAGACCGACAAACAGGGAGTTTGCCTAGTCGAGCCTGGATGTGATGAATGCGTGGATGAGAGTCTTGGCGGTATGCGGTAAGAGACAGTGGCGGAGCCGGGCAATGTTGGGATGTGGGGAAAGGCAGAGCCACGCAATTTTGGGTAAGTGGCACGGATGTGCAAGATGAAGGATAGTTGAGGGTTGAACAGGACAGTGAGGTTCCGTATTGGCTCCATGAGGTGTAGAGTGCATCCATATCCACTTGAAGAGGGAGAATAGGACCTCAGTTTTACATCTCATTTGAAGGATAGTAACTCCAATGCTGCACTGAAGTGTCAGCTCGACAGAGTTCAAAGTCCAGAACATTGATATTACTAGGAACATAGGAACAGGAGTAGGCCCATTCAGCCCTTCGAGCCTGTTCCGCCATTCAATTAGATTAGTTGTACTTCAACTAATCCTTTCAATTCCAATTTCCTGCTTTTTCCCCATATCCCTTGATACCCTGACCTACAAAAATCTATCAACCTCACTCTTGAAGTTGCGGATGGATCCAGCATCCACAGCCTTTTGGGAAAGAGAATTCCAGATTTCTACTACTCTTTGAATTAATAAATGCTTCCTGTTTCACTCTTAAACGGCCTGGTTCTAATTTTAAGACTATTCCCCCTTGTATTGGATTCCCCCACCAGAGGAAATAGCTTCTCTATATCTACCCTATCAAATCCCTTTATCATCTTAAACACCTCAATCAAATCACCCCTCAACCTTCTAAACCCAATGGTTTACGCAGCCTTTCCTCATAACGTAACCCTTTAAGGCTGGTAACATTCTGGTGAAGCTACACTGCAACCCCTCCAGAGCCAATATATCTTTCCTGAGGTGTGGTGCCCCAAACTGAACGGACTACTCCAGATGGGGTCTGACTAACGCTCTATACAGCTGAAGCATCATTTCTTCCCCTTTGTATTCCTGGTCCCTTGAGATAAAGACCAACATTCCATTCACCTTTTTGATTACTTTTTGTAGCTGAAAACTAGTTTTTAGTGATTTGTGGATATGGACATCCAAATCCCTTTGCTCCTCCACAGTTCTTAGTCTCTCCTCATTAAGAAAATATTCTGCTTTATCTTTTTTTGATAATCAAGGCGCTAATGAAAGCCATGATTTGGGAGCGAGTAGGAGAAAGACAATGAGGGCTCTCAGTTTTGCTTCAGTTCGATTATTCTCCTCTCTATTGACATGTTCTCACCATACTCCTCGATTCTGTTCTGTTTAAAAGTCTCCTTGTGGTGCTTTTGGCAAGCTAAAAGCAATACAGTACTACATTTGGGTATATCCTTTACCTCTTGCCCAAAATGCTGCATTACTTTTTCTAGAGCATTAGTAGAACAGAACCTAAATGTGCAGTGTATTGGTGATCACGTACAGTTTCTGAATTCATAAAATCAAACTGTCCTGTTGCATGACTAGAACTAATCCTTTGTAGTAAGCTACAAAAAAAATTGCCAACATTCAAGTGCAGATGTAGACGTGCATGACAAAAACAAACAAACTAAACAACCTTATTTGGAGGGTTATCTTCCAAAATTAAAATGCTTCTTTATGCTCAAAACTTAATCATACTGAAAATATGCAAATAAGTCAGGCAAACAATTTAATGTTTTAAGGATACATCTAATGTCTTAATGTTAATATTTTATTACTATAATATTACAATCACAATTAATTGTTACTGTATTACACCATGTTATCAATTAATTATAATTAATATGATATTTTCTCATATTAATATTTGCTACCTGGAACCTTCCGTTTTGGTTTTCCTTTTGTCCTTTTCTTCTTCCTCATCTTTGCTATCATCAGTAAATGTGTGATGAAGGACCTCATCATGCTCTTCAAGTTGCTCTAGTAACATCTGGCTGCGTGTCCGAAAACTTGCCACCATCCTTTCAAGCGTATATGAAGGAGGGCTGGTGTGCACCTATGAGTCCAGCAACAAAAAAGTATTTTTAAAAAGCCTTAATCATATGAATATCTATGGCGGCGGTGATGCCGAATAGCCGTAAAAGCACAGTCTGCAAGTCATTGCCTGGAGAAAAATTGAACCGCAGAAGCAAGGAAGATCTCAATTTGAATCCCTGGACTGTACTGAGTTAGCTGATCTTAAAAGGAGCAGGAACATTGGTGAAAGTGGCCTCAGTCTCTCATTTATGCGGAGAGAATTTAGCCCAGGTTACCATTTCTGATCCCAAAGCTCTGCTGCAAAGTGTGCATGTGATCAGGCTCAGCTGGAATATTCAACAAGAACTCAATAATTGTGTACCTTTCTTTGGTCTGATCTGAGTGTTGTTTGATCAGACTGTAATATACCCATAGAATGAAGACGCATGTTGAACAATGGTACACTATGGGGTCTTCTTGCTGTGCTTTCAGGTAATGTAGAACCTTCTGAAACTTTGTTATAAATTGAAGATTTGTCAGATTTTAGGGTCTGTAGTTCTTCTTGAAGTCGATGAAAAACAAGCTCCTGTTCCACCACCTTATCACTCTGTAAATGTGAAATCAAAAGCAAGAAGGAATAGCATTATGAAAATTCCAAACCAAACTCCAAGCCTCAATTTTTTTAGTCCAATTATTTAGTCCAATTATTATTATTATTATTATTATATAATTCCATAGTGCCATTTTTCCCTTACTTCCTCATCCCTTCCCCCCAACAACATTGGAAGAAAATATGGGAACTGGAATTCCATCCTGACTCTTTCAACTGTACTGCCTTTAGAGGTTGATAATTGTGAAATTGCCCTTTTTGGTATTTATGACCTGGACCATCTTAATGACCAATTGGAATAGCAAGAGAGTATCTCCCCCAATTCTACCCTTCAGATATCACACGTTGCTACGAAACAAACTTAAAAAGTACACGAAGGAACATCAACTCTGTATCCAATTTTCCCTCAGCCCTGGCCATGACTAACAAAATAATTTCTAAGCAAAGTCCAAGATGAGGTACTAGTTAAAACTGGGATTCAAGCTGGAAGTTCAATTTCACTATTGCAATTGAATGTACTGGACTGTGCAATCCATATACAGTATCTTCCTTTGCCTGTAATATATATTATCTAGATTTGTGAAGAGTGCAGTAGTAAACTCACCTGAATACGGTACCTTTCTTGCAACTCTGTTAAAGCTGCTAAACACTCCTCTTTTTCCTGTTCCAATGATTGTAGTCGCTCTTGAAGATCTTTCAGCTCAGCTATTTTTTGACTGAACAGTTCCTCATCTGTAGCCAAGGCATCCTGAAGAAATAAAACACCAAAGCTGAAAAACAATGACCACATTTCTATATTCATTTTCCAGATATAAAGTTCCTATTCAATAAGCAATACTGCCTCAGATTCACCAAAATAAGAATAAAAATATAATATTCAATTGATAAATAGAAAGTTGTTTGCACACAGCAATATAATGTTTGTTGAAATAGCTTGCCATTTGCTAACTGAATTTTTAAATTGCATTTATTAAACAAGTAAAGTGCTCTGTCCAAATATGGCCAATTGGGAGGACTTGGGTTTGTTCTCTGCATCTCTCATTCTGTCGCTCTCTCATCAATGTTTGCCTCTCTATATCTGTTGCAATTAGTCTTACACTCACTTGCTCTTTCTCACCATGCTCTCTCTTCAAACTCTCATTCTTACCTTTTTCACACCAAGTCAGTCACACTGTAAATTCCCTGTATGTTCCTTGTATGTGACACTCTCTCTCTCTTTTGTTTTCGACGTCAGTCTTACTTCCCATAATCATCCATTAACACTTTCCCCAATCAACCTCTTTGTCTGTCGGTGTCCTTAACTTCCCTCTGACTCACTGATTTTTGTTTCCCTTACCTTTCTCTCCACTTTCTCTTCCTTCGCTCCTTTCTCCTTAATGTTCCCTCATCCTCCTTCATTTCTCCCTCTCCCCTCCCCTCTTCCTTGCTGCGTTATATCACAATTGCGACCTGCAATGGCTGCTTTTGGAACTCAGTTTGGCCAGGAGAGTTTTTGATTAACAATAGTACAAAAACAACTTGCATTTATAAAACATGTCTCACCCAGGGTGGCGTTCTAGAGCGCTTGACAATGGCGGGGCACAACGCCAAACCGAGGGGAGGGAGGATGTGACTGTAGGCACGGTCGAAGAGGAAGGTCTTTAGGCGTGACCTGAAGATGGGAAAGGAAGAGGCAAGGCAGAGGGATTGAGAGAGAGTGTTCCAGAGTTTTGGGGCATAGTGGCTGAGAGCGAGGCCACCAATGGTGAAATGGAGGGTATAAGGTTCATGCAGGAGGCCGGAGCCAGGCAAGCGGAGTCAGCGGGTAGTCGGTTGGGGAGTAAGCAGGTCGGAGAGATAGGGAGGTGCCAGGGCATGAAGGGATTTGAAGACAGGTCTGAGCAAGTGGCAGAGGTTTGAATTAACTGTGTTTTGTGAATAGTGGAGCTGGGGAGACCGGCGAGGATAGAAGTAGTGAGGGCATTATTAGATTGTATTAATAGTATGTCAAGGGCATTATTTTGTTGATCGTCTATAAACAGGCCAAATTATGGCATAGTAAAAAACTGCTGATTACTTTATTCAGCTCAAATTGTGCCTCGCTCTAAAACACAGTGAGAATGATTGATAGGAGATGAAATAGAACCATAACTAAATGACCCCAGGGTTTATTAAAGTAACAGGAAAATTCCTACTGCACTGACACTGATCCAAAATGTACTAAGTGTGTCATTTTAAAGATCAGATTCGACTGTAATAGTCAGAAATATAGAAATGAACTCTTTTGTGTTTCTTCCTGATTTCTATAGATGAATCTATCCATTCCAAATATAACAACAACAAATTACAAAGTGTCGGGAAGACATCCCAAGGTTCTGGACAGTCAAGCTATGCTATTCATATGACCTCTGCTTTCATTTCAATAAACCCATCATGTACCTCAGTTACACATATATATATTATATATGTGTCCTCCCAGTAAACTAAACTACCTCTTGTATAAATGTAATATGTCAGTTGTAAAAGTCAATGACTTTTTATATTGATATATAAGGTGCATCAGTTTAAAAAAACGGCATTTAAAAATATCAATGCAACAATCTCTTCACTTTTAAACATAACATGCAATCATTTTGATGAATTGTTCTCATATATTGGTTCATTGGATGTTCAGTGGGAGGAAGATGAGCAGGCTAGTGTCTTAGAGTACTTATGTGACACTGTTCAATCATACATACATTGTCCCAACAGCAAGATCAGTAGTTACACAGACCATAAGCAGAAAATATTTCCCTACACAAAAGAAGGGTACATTTTCTTTCTACAAACATCAGTGGGTGAGTGTTATTTTTGTGCATCTCCCAGCAATGGTACAACAACAAGAAGGTTACATTTGTATAGCACTTTTCATGCCAAGGCGCTGAAGTTAGAGTGAGCTATTGGCAGAAGCTTGGGGACAGTTTGGAATGATGTCTGGTTTAAAGTAACTGGAAAAACTGAAAGAAATTCACCAAAATAAGGAATTACAACAACAACAAAATTACATTTGTATAGCGCCTTTCACGTCAGGAGGACGTCCCAAGGCGCTGAATTTAGGTTAGGATAAGTAAACATTGCAAACATTGTAGGAAACTACAAAAGAAGTGAGTGATGAGGAACATTTCACTAATGCTCTTTAGCCTTTTGGCTAAACAAATCAAAAAACATTTTCCCCTCTCTCTCCTCCACCCAGTATCTCCATACCCTTGGCAGCAGAAATTAAAAATAAGTTTTTTTTTAGACAAGTAAGTTTTAAAATATCTTAATGTAGAACACCCAAATGAAGTGTATGTGTGTGTTTTGTGTACAGTATGTAGAATGGGGTGTGTGGATTATTTTGCATTGTTATTCTTTACCACTAAGAAAATTATGTAATTTTTTCTAGTATTGTACATGTAGTTTATTATAAATTGATAATTAAACATTCAACTGTTTTACTAAAAGTCTATCATTTATGTCAGAAATTCCACTGGAATTTTGCTTATGACAGTATGAACGCATCACCTAAAGAAGTGACCTAAAATATGTAATACTGTACCTGACATTTCTTTAGCTCCCTTTTCAATTGAAATATTGTAATGTGATGAGACTCCTCTCCTCCACTACCGACTCCACTGTCTGCACCAGGTGTGTCAGGCAATTCACTCTGCAGCTCTTCTGCCATGTCCAGCCACTCCTTCAGCCTTTGCTGCTGGTTCGTTGTCAGTTTGCTTGTGTTTCTAACTTCCAAGAGGAACTGAAAAGCCTCATCTGTGCATTGCTTGTAGTGGTAGCTTTCCACTTGCAATTGGGCCACCTGATCTTCCAAAGCATGGATACGCTTTTTGTCCTGGCTCGACAAGTCCTGCGACACTTGGCTGGTGCGTGTCACCAAACTTGAATGTTGATGCTGCAGGGCCTCTCTGAGCGTTTTAATCTCGAATTCCATTTCATCTATTCGATCCCATTCTGGGTCATAATTTACAATAGGCTTGTTTCTTATGTTCCTAGCTCTGTTGGCATACTTCAAGGAGTTAAGGGACTCATCAAAACTAGATGACGAGGGGCTGATACACGCAATCATTACAGTTTTAGCGTTTCCTCCAAGTGAGTCCTTCAGCAAACGGGTTATCTTGGCATCCCTATATGGGATATGTGCACTTTTCCTCCTTGAGTCTCCTAAAGCACTGATGACATTCCCAAGCGCCAATAGACCACTGTTTATTTGCACAGATTCTTTGAAACGCTCTCCTGTGTTCCCTGTTTTTGTAACTCGTTCTGAACCAGCCAGGTCAACAAAGTGAAACTTGGAAGAGATCAGTTGAACACACCCACGTGTTTCATTTATAGTGTAATCCTCAGCATTATTTGAGGTGGCATTTTTTGGTCGCTTTTGGTTAAGGTACATAGTGAAAATGGCATGTGAGCGGCTAGAGTGCTCATTCATTTGTGTTGTGCCTGTGTGACGGGCTGCGTTGCCAGTTTCCAACAAGGTCATTGTTTCATCTGAAGTTTCAACATCCCACTCCTTGGCCCCGATGATCACTAAAACAATCAGGGAAAATAGAAAATGTTTTTAGTACTTCAATAAACACCAATATGTGAAAGGAAAATGTGGTATTAATGATCTTAAAAAAAGGGTTACTTAGTACTGAACCGCCCAATAGTTTAGTAATGCAGCACTTTGAACTATGCAAGCCAGGTTAGAGTTAGCTGGTCTCACTCAACCAGTAGTGGGCCATTTTTTGGGGAGTCAGCTGGGTGTCTGACACAGTGTTTAAGAGCAGATCTAATCTTGCTCACCAAAAAAAAATGTTTGCAAATGTGTGTAGCAAATATGTAAAATGAATATTTAATAGCCTTCACCAGTGAAGTTCACTTATTCAATTGCATGGATTACCTGTGTTTCCTTTTTCATCTTCTCGGATGTGAAGCTCTTTGCTTGTGCTTTCTAACTCCAAAAGATCTCTTAATTCTTCTTTATATACTTCAATGTAAGACACTTTCACATGAAAGTCTGTATTGTGGTGCTCAGCGATGCTTTGGAAGATCTCATGTATGGCATGTGGAATAATGCCTTTCTCTTCATCGGAGACAGCAGCTGTGGATCATTAAAACAAGAACATTTTAAACTTTAAATAAAGCTTTAAAAGCTTAGTTTCTGTTTCCTGATGCATACCTACATTTTGGTACAATCAGATAACTGAATAAGGTAATCGCATTGTCCATTTTCTGGACCTTCTAAATTCTGTCCCATTCCAAGCGCACCGGGACACTACCCCTCGTGAAGGACGCTATATAAATGCAAGTTGTTGATGTTGTTGTTCCTCCAATTGGCAATGTGCAGCTGTAGAGTGACTAACTAATCTTGCAATAATGAACTTGTAAAAATTTAGCTTACATTGTGGACGTCACACCTGACCAGTAAGTCCTGCATAAAAATATTAGATTAAAAACTGAATTTTCCGTGATGGATATTTTGACTTTGTGAGAAGTCAAAAGATTGTGGTTACTGTATAAAATATAAAGCTCTAGACCCTTAATATTCCAAAGATACTACTATGTTAATTCAGTTGTGTTAAAGTGCTACTCAGGTTTACTTCAAATCCAGTTGAACCTAAATCAGTTGTAGTGACAATCTATATTGTTAATTAACTTGGTTACTATCTCAAAGGGAGCCTGGCAAAGTCTACCTGTCACAAAATGCACAACCCCACAAAACCAGGACCATCAAGATGTCAGGGTAACTGTCCCTCCCTCAGGGGAAGTTCTGCCTTCTGCTGGATACCTTCTATGGCAGCATACTTCAGATTACAAGATCATCTCTGGACAATGTGGACACCCCTTAATACCACTCTGGAGTTCCAACAAGTTACGCTCATTAAACTGATGCTTCAAAATAGAAGTATAATATTGTAGCTTACAGTAAACATTTACAATGCAGAGGGATAAAATAACATACCTATATGTCCTCCACCAATGGTGTATGTTTTTCCAGATCCAGTTTGACCATATGCTAACACAGTAGCATTGTATCCCTCAATTGCTGATATAATTAAAGGCTTTATACAGGAAGAATATACCTCTTCCTGTGCTGATTTCTGTCCAAATACAAAATCAAAAGTAAAGGCACGATCTTTCCCAATCACAACCTGCTGTGTGTTGGGAACAACTCGGACACAAACTTGATGGTTGTGAAGAATTTCTTTTGGAAGCAAAGGACGAATCCGTACTGCGACTTTGACTGTTGTCTCTTCCATAGTTAGAGCGCAAAGAGATCCCTGCACAAAATTGTCTTTTTACTGATGTGAATCCGATTTGAAGGTGATTATTCTTCTTTCATGTTTGATATCACGCACACTTCTAAATAACAAAAAAAAATGCATTTGAATATTGTTCTGAATTTGTGATGAAATCATTAACTTATACAGAACTTTGCAGCACATATTCTATCCCACCAATTACCCCCTTTCTCACTGACTCACCACTCCCCTGCAGATCTGCTTCAAAATACAGGTACTTTGCCTTACTTAACACTCAAACCCCTCATACTCAAGTCCCACTCTATCTCTATAATTTCCTCAAGCTAGTAACTTTTGCTCCATTAACTCAGCCTTACTGCTCATTTCCGGTTAATAATAATAATAATAATCCTTGCATTTGATATAGCGCTTTTCACGTCGGGAGGACGTCCCAAAGCGCTTCACAGAACACACTGTAAAGTGAATTGACTGTATATTTGTGGGCAAACGCGGCAGCCAATTGCGCACAGCAATGTCCCGCAAACAGTCGTAGATTGAAAATGACCAATTTATTATTGTTTGGTTTTGGAGGGATTATTATAAGGTGTGTGGAGTAAGGAAACTTGCCCAAGGTTTCGCCCTGACCTGCCTGGAATTGAACTCAGGTCTCTCACTTGCAAAGCGAGTGCTCTAACCACTGAGCTACAGGACTCCACGACTGTTCCCTCCATCAGTGGCCAAGCTTTCGCCCACTATGCCCTTACACTTTGGAACTCTCTCCCCCAAATCCCTTTGCCATCCATCTTCTCTGCCTTCAAAACCTCCTGAGATGTTTATTTTTGACTATGCCTTTGACTGTCATTCTTCTTCATTGATTTTATGAAGTACTTGAAGACGTTATTTTACTTAAAAAGACTAAACGTAGCTGTTCTGGGACATCCTTCCAACATGAAAGGCGCTATTCAAATACTATTTGCCGTTGTTGTTATGGCTGTTCTTCAGGATTGTTACAAATACATTTTCCCAAATCACCCAAATAAGATCGTCTATTATTTGAATAATCCATTGCTATGATTTCAGTCATGTTCTATGTGATAGGCTACAATATAATTTAATTTTTGACAGTCTTATACCTGCATTAACAATTTGTAATATCATTCATCATATTTCAAAATAAAATATCCAATAAAATAACTATCTTCTTTACTCCTTTTATGGCTCCCCAAGTGCCTCAGATATATTACTGCTGAAAAATTGTGGTTAAAAAAATAAATTGCAGTACATGACTACAGACATTGGCTTGGAATGTTATGTTTACATCAGCATTTTCAAATCTCTCCTTAGTCTAATTTATATTCTCTCTGTGTAGATTCCAGTTTCACATCCTCGCTCTTTCCTGACTCTAGTTTACTGTTTGTGATACACTTCTTCCATTTCACCATCAGAAGCCAAGCCATCGGTCTGCCTTCTGGATTGTCTTACGAAACCACTTTGCTCTCTCCTACCTTTAAAATCACTCTCTCCTACCTTTAAAATCTCCTAAAAATGCCTCTTTCAGTCACTTCTAAATTTCTCCCAATTCTTCCTTGGTGACACTGTAAAGTACTTTGAAACATTCTTTCATGTGAATGGTACTCTACAAATACAAGATTCTGTAGTTGAAGAGAATATTATTTCCATGGTAAGAATTGCACAGAGTCCATGAGAATGGGTTCAATGTGACAAATTGTCATTTCTCATTTTATGCTTTCTCTGTAATTGCTCTTTTTGTTTCATTTTTTATTCCCAGAAGTTAAGCGAGAGAGCATTGGCTAAAAGCAGACAATATAATTTATAATGCATTGTGTTAACCAACGTTTCATATGAGTGGATTACTAGGTCTGAAAATACTACTGAAATAATTTGCACAAATAAACAGTCGCCAGATTTTCATGCTGAGTGATACCTGCTTAGAAAAAAGCTTCCGTTAAGAAAAACTTACTGGGTTTTATGACATTAAATAAAACATATTCACCACATTCATAACATCAATCTGCTTCCAATTGACAGTTAATTTGTTTGGTAATCTGAAACTGTAAACTGTTCTGTACATTCAGATTCCCATGGAAACAGCTGAAGCTTCAAAATAGTTTCAGAAACATTTTAAAACTAAATTGCACAAAGCAACAGTGATTTGTGCAAGAGCTTTGAAAAGGATCTTACTCCTTATAGCAGTACTGTATTATTTCTTTGGATGGCTATTTATTCCCCCTCCTCTCTCCTGCTACCCGCCTCTTATTCTTCAGCTATTCCAAGTCAGAGACCATCAGTTGCTTTATAGATACACTTATTAATTATCAACATTGCTCCCACTTTGGAAATGAGAAGGAAATGAGAAGGAAAAAGAAAACAAAAGTTAGAATATGTTCAGCAAGGTAACATAAAAAGAATGAATTTCAAAATAATATAAAAAGGAGAGAGAAAATGGAAGAGAGAGCAAAACAAGGGAAATGACAGGACGAGTACCAGCAATGATTTAAAACTATTATTTTCATTTAATTGCACAATTTGCTCCAGAGCACCACCACTCCTCCCCCCTCCCCAGCCCACTGTCCCCCACCTGAGCCCTTCAGCCCCACACCCCCCAACCCGGTGACCATACGCAGATGCGTTATGGTGTCCCTGGGGCCAAATTTGCCACCGTCTCGGGTTCAGGAACAAACTGAGCAAAGGCAATAAAATACTAAAACACAGATACATTCTATCTGAGAAAAACAGCCATTAATCCAACAAGCTTCTCCAGTAACTGCAGGCATCAGCAATTGTGGTGATTTAAATTTTTATGTTATATATATATAATTTTTTAGATTTTTAAAAAAAAACACATATACACGTATGTGTGTGTATGTGTGCCCGGAATTGGTCTACAAAATATCTCTCACTCTCTCCCCCACCAATTGCAGTGATATAGTTTTTCAATTTTATAATATATACAGAGCAAATCAAAAGCCCTTACTCGTAGGACTATACGAGATGTTCAAACTGCATGGCATGTACATGTTTACACATATCAATTCAGTGACACAAAAATTGATGAACGCTATGAAAGACACCTCCTGTATTACCTGCACACTCTACAAATGTTGGCTTTTAAAAAACACAAATGAATAATTATGTTGATTTTGTTCGGAATCACTTTACCGGGGATAATATTCCCTTGAAATAATAACAATAATATGGTCACTCAATCCACGACTGTTTGTGGGACACTGCTGTGTACAATTGGCTGCCGCGTTTTGCCCACAAAACATACAACAACTCACTTTACAGTATATTCTGTGAAGCGCTTTGTGACGCCTCGAAGACGTGATAAGGCGCTATATCAAATGCAAGGATTAGTATTATTATATATAATTAAAAACTCTATGAGTAAGGACTTCTGATTCTGAGTGTGAGTCTATATAATATATGTGTGCGTCCCAATTTGGTTTACAAAATATGGTTCCCCCTCCCCCAGAGCCATCTCTCTCTGCCACCCCCCCCCCCCAGAGCCACCTCTCTCTGCCCCCCCCCCCCCCCAGAGCCACCTCTCTCTGCCCCCCCCCCAGAGCCACCTCTCTCTGCCCCCCCCCAGAGCCACCTCTCTCTGCCCCCCCAGAGCCACCTCTCTCTGCCCCCCCCCAGAGCCACCTCTCTCTGCCCCCCCCCCCCCCCGAGCCATCTCTCTCTGCCCCCCCCCCCCCCTCCCCCCCCCCAGAGCCACCTCTCTCTGCCCCCCCCCCAGAGCCACCTCTCTCTGCCCCCCCCCCCCAGAGCCACCTCTCTCTGCCCCCCCCCCCAGAGCCACCTCTCTCTGCCCCCCCCCCCCCCAGAGCCACCTCTCTCTGCCCCCCCCCCCCAGAGCCACCTCTCTCTGCCCCCCCCCAGAGCCACCTCTCTCTACCCCCCCCAGAGCCATCTCTCTCTGCCCCCCCCCCCCAGAGCCACCTCTCTCTGCCCCCCCCCCCAGGAGCCACCTCTCTCTGCCCCCCCCCCCCAGAGCCACCTCTCTCTGCCCCCCCCCCCAGAGCCATCTCTCTCTGCCCCCCCCAGAGCCACCTCTCTCTGCCCCCCCAGAGCCACCTCTCTCTGCCCCCCCCCAGAGCCACCTCTCTCTGCCCCCCCCCCAGAGCCACCTCTCTCTGCCCCCCCCAGAGCCACCTCTCTCTGCCCCCCCCCCCACCCCTCTCTCCCCCCCCCCCAGAGCCACCTCTCTCTGCCCCCCCCCCCCCAGAGCCACCTCTCTCTGCCCCCCCCAGAGCCACCTCTCTCTGCCCCCCCCCCCCCAGAGCCACCTCTCTCTGCGCCCCCCCCTCCCCCCCCAGAGCCACCTCTCTCTGCCCCCCCCAGAGCCACCTCTCTCTGCCCCCCCCCCCCCCCAGAGCCACCTCTCTCTGCCCCCCTCCCCCCCCCCGGGGCCCCGCTCTGACCTGCCTGTGGCCCCCGGACAGCCTGTGGTTGCTGGTTGCTGGTTGCGGGGCAGAGCCCTGGCCCTGGCCCTGGCCCTGGCTGGGGGCCGCTGGGCTGTGTCAGACCCCCCCTCGGGCCTCTCTCCCCTCTCTCTCGGGTGTTTCTCCCGTCGCCTGGCGACCGCCGCCGCCACCAACGTGGCCAGAATCACGCCCAATCGGGCGGTTTTTGTTGCTGTTCCTGTTAAAGGCTAATTTTTCTAAACGTTTTAATTTAAAGCTGCAAATCTTTGCTCTCTCTCTCGGAACACCTTTCCTTACACCGTTTCCAAAGCACCGAGCGGCGCGGTCCGCTCTGCCGCTGCCCCACAGGGAGGCGACGCGTCAGATTGGGCTACTTTTGGGCTGGTGTTTGGTGGACTTTGGGCTATAAACGGTATTGTCGCGTCTCCCCGCAGCCCCGGAATATAACAAAGCGCTCGGGGCAAGAGGAGCCCCCACGCAGGTGAGCAGCAAACAGCTGCCCACAGCGCCCCCTCCCCTGCGCTGGTCGTTCAACATCTGCCAAGCACGGGTTTGATGGTGGGGTACACCATCCTGGAGTCCTGTAGCTCAGTGGTTAGAGCACTCGCTTTGCAAGCGAGAGACCTGAGTTCAATTCCAGGCAGAGGGCGAAACCTTGGGCAAGTTTCCTTACTCCACACAGAGCCTAATAATAATCCCTCCAAAAAAACAAAAAACAATAATAAATTGGTCATTTTCAATCTACGACTGTTTGTGGGACATCGCTGTGCGCAATTGGCTGCCGCGTTCGCCCACAAATATACAGTCAATTCACTTTATAGTGTGTTCTGTGAAGCGCTTTGGGACGTCCTCCCGACGTGAAAAGCGCTATATCAAATGCAAGGATTATTATTATTATTATTATTACAAGGAGCTCCCTGCCAGCTTCCCAGCGGGCAACATATTTCAGCATTAATTGGGCGAGAGCGTTGCCACCATCTATTTTTCTGTTCGCAGCTCGGGCACATATCCATTCCCACCGAGCGACGGTTCCACCAATTGGAGGCGTGGAGTTTAAGCAGCAGCTCTTGCCGCACTGCAGGCCAACCGAGGGTGGACTCCAGGCGCTGGATGTACGAACGCGTGTTCACGAACTCGGACTCCGGGTAACGCCGTCCAGCAGCCGTCGGCCCAAGCCTCAGTTTCCTCATCAGCTATCTGGCGAGCAGCTGATTCGTCATGATGGGCAGACCTTTGCAGCAGCTTGTGACATGCCAGCCACCTTGATGTTCTTGAGGTCCAATTCCAACACTGCGAACCAGGCTTACTCAGCACCAGCTGCTCGATCCAGGTCCACATGTGAGGATGTGGTCCAATTCTAAAGGATAGAGGGATTAAGGGTTATGGGGACAGGGCGGGTAAATGGAATTAGGTTAGAAGATCAGTCATGATCTTATTAAATGGCGGGGCAGGCTCGAGGGGCCAAATGGCCTACTCCTGCGTCTTATGGTCTTATGGGCCTCATGTGAGGGGCCTCGGCAAATAGACGTACCAGCTATGAAGCCGAATCGGCCTTCAGGGTGCTTAGCGACAGGTCAGTGTAGGCCGGAGCCCTCCCTCCTTGCAGCTGCTTCCAGTGTTTGCCACAAATTTACGTGACTGCTTGATCCTTTACCTTGGAAATGGGTCGAAGGAAGCCTCTCCGCTCCATCTCCAGGAGCTCAGATCCGTAAAGGAGGACTGTTTGCACACAGCTTGTATGCCACAAGCTTGATCCGCATTGGGACTTGCTGTCCTTGAAGAGGGATCAGCACAACCAGAGTGCCCTTGGCCCCTTCTCAGTGTGGTTCTTCAGGACAGTGTCCAGGCTGAAGTTGGTGTCTATCACGACCCCAAGGTACCGATAAGAGTCAACAAGACAATCAGTCACTTTCAAAGCTGAAAACTCAATGCTTTGCAATTGCCCAGCCGATCGTGCAACCGGACTTAACCCTTTTAACCGCAACTCTCTGCTCTGCAATTTCCTCCTTTCTGGGTCCCTCTGATCTCTCAGCCACTGTGGCCCTACTCTGGAACTCTCTACCTGCTGCTTTGACTTTGATCCATCTCTTCCCCACCTTCAAGAGTCTCTTCAAAACACTTATTCATTTTGACTTTTCTTCCCACCCTTGAATTCATCCCCTACCCTACTTGGCAATCTATTTGGCAATAGATTTGGCAATATTTGGCAGCCTCATCCTCTCAGAAGAAGTTCTGATACACTTTTTTTCCTCAGTAAAAGCTGATGTATAAATTCAAGTTGTTGTCTTAGTCAGTCAGAGATGTAGCAATAGTTGTTCAGCCCTTTGCATACCAACTAGGTTAGCCGGAAAGCCTGGATATGAACTTGTGCTCATGAGTCCACACTTCAATATAATATTGTCCAGCAGAAACCACCCAAGCCAAAATGTCAGCAGATTACATTTATGATCAGAAATAGTTTTATGTAATCAAAATACATCTATTGAATAGAATTGTCATTATAAATCAACTGGTTTGTAGAACACAAGTCAATTTTCTAAACATTTTTCCCCCTAAATAATTAAAAATAGTCAAACATTTTGAAATGTTTGAAATATTCACCAAAATTATATTATCATATTTCAGTTTATTGAGATAATCAGGATGGGAGAAGAAATTTGGGGTACCTAAAGAAGCAGTTGAGAATTTTGTTGTTATTGCATAGAATGCTTTTATTAAAATAACAGATTTGCCAGGCTTGATCCAAAGTACAATTTTAATCTATAAAAAAATCCTTCATTTTATTAAATTGAGTTTGCAGATTGTGATAATTGCCAAATTAAAAATAATGGTCTTTTTAGTAAAGAGATTTCTCAGAAAGCATGTTGTCTAATAGAAGATGCAGCGTACTCGATGGATGGGAATATTTGCCATATCTTTTCGGTGCTCTCGCGCATAATCCCACAGGTAGTAATCAATCAGAACAGCATTGAGGTTTTCAATCGTATCCCCCTTTTGTGCTCCAAGATGCAGCATGTAATCCCTTATCAGTTCCACACACCAGATGGAGCAGCCTCGGATCTCTACCTCCAGACGTTCCCCAGATTGGAAGAGCACACCTGTGGCGTGAATAAATAACATTACTGCAAACATGATCAGACAGGAGAAAACTCAAATCAAACTGGCTGACAAACCAATGAAGTAAAGAAATATAAGCAATGAATATTACCAGCAATTAAATAAAGAAAGCAGGACTGACAGTTAACTTTTGATTTTGTATGTTATTGTACAACATCTTAAAATATGTGTCAAGTTTTCCAGGTGGCAAGTATTTAGCCATACAGACCAATAAGCTCTCAGTGTCTGGAATGGAATGCGCACTTTCTCCCTGGATGCAACGTACTTAGTTCTGAAGAGTACTAGGCACAGGAAAGCCAAGGACTTGGGACCCCAGGAAGTGTGCTGGCGTGCTACTGGAGTTTAATAATAATAATAATCTTTGCATTTGATATAGTGCTTTTCACGTCTTGTAGACGTTTCAAAGCGCTTCACAGAATAGACTGTAAAGTGAATTGACTGTATATTTGTGGGTGAAATATAACTAGTTAAAATTGCTTTCCATTAAGAGCACTGTCTTGCAAGCTTCCTGCTGCTTGGTCAGTTAGGAACACCCTACCCATTAGGGCTTTGGCATGAAAAATTAACAGAAGTCCAGTGGAGGAATCCTTGCCTTCAGCGACTGGCCTGTTCCTCAGAGTCCTGCCAACAATTCAGTGCAGCTGATCTGTCATGAGCAGGGATCTGGAGAACTCAAGGTCCCCCTAGCTCAGGAACTTGACTGAGACCACCCCAGAGTGTTGGCTTGATTTCTCTTATTGTGTTGCCAAGTATGTCAACTTGGAGCCAGCTCAGCTTCAAGGAGAATCCTTTCTATAAATGTAATTTGTTGTTGTTTGCCATTGTAGACGTACAACAATAATAATAATCCTTGCATTTGATATAACGCTTTTCACGTCGGGAGGACATCCCAAAGCGCTTCACAGAACACACTGTAAAGTGAATTGACTGTATATTTGTGGGCGAACGCGGCAGCCAATTGCGCACAGCAATGTCCCACAAACAGTCGTAGATTGAAACTGATCAATTTATTATTGTTTTGGTTTTTGGAGGGATTATTATTAGGCGTGTGGAGTAAGGAAACTTGCCCAAGGTTTCGCCCTGCTTGGAATTGAACTCATTTGCTATCAAGAAACAATGCCAGAGCAGACCACCACATTCAGGTTTGGTTTTGGAGATGGCTTAGAACTCTAAGATTTCTTCTATTTAAAGAAAGTCAATTATTAAAAAGGGGAAATCCCGAGGTCAGTCAACATGACAACACACCAGGACTTATGAACTTCAGTCCTGATGTATTTTTTCTGTCTCAGATCTATTCGCAAGTCAAACTCATATATAGTGATGTAGAAATAGGAGCAATAAGATTTGGTTTAAATCGAAAATAGCAAGTTCATTGGAATGACTAGTGTTTATGGACAATGCGCCTTTCTCTCTTCAGGCTATATAAATGTCGGAGTATCAAAGCAGTCTGAGTACTTACCGTGTTTTAATTTCTTCATTAGTTCCTCTGAATACTTCATGGCTCCCAAGGAGACAAGTGCCTGAGGGATTCTGTAGTCTGCAAACATGGTTAAACTACCTATGTCATTGAACGAACCATCCCCTTTTCCTTCCAGTAAGCCCCAGATGTCCGCTACAAGGATTTGTGCTCTCTTGTAAAATGCAATTTTCTTATCCTGTATGGCAGAAGAAACAAAATTGTTTGTATAGATTTTATATAAGGTATCCATTATAGTTAGTATCTTGAAATTGATCCTTCAATAATCTGTCAGATCTTTCTTCTGGTGAAATCATATGTATTATTTTGGTTGTTACAATTCTGCTACCAATCTTCTCCACCATGGGATAGGAAAAATAAAGTTCAATGGACACATGATCATAAGCACTTCAGTTTTCACGAAATTAAGTAACAATGTCACTTCAAGGAAACTTAATTCCTTCACTCCGCAATGTCAAACATGCCAGGTATAACGTTGGTTAGAGTTCTGCTGTAATAATAATAATAATCCTTGCATTTGATATAGCGCTTTTTACGTCGGGAGGACGTCCCAAAGCGCTTCACAGAACACACTGTAAAGTGAATTTGACTGTATATTTGTGGGCGAACGCGGCAGCCAATTGCGCACAGGCGGCAGCTGTAGTCCAATTGCTGTAGTCCAATAATACAGAGTTAACACAAAACACCATCCTGGAGAATGAAAGATTAAACGATATGGCAAAAATTAAGTTGAGACAGCAAATCAAGATTAAATTAAATTGAAGTTAAAGCAGACTTGCCTCAAATGTAGCTACATCCTTATAAGAAGGAAAATTCTCCACCACAAGCTGCAGCAGCTTCTGGGCACTCTTTCCACTCTCCTTAACACAGTTAAGGAATGAACCATCAAACTTCTCCAGCAAAATGTGCCCTGCCTCTTTAAGCACTCTGTGGCGTTCTTCAATGAGTGGCATTGGGATATCAGTGTCCGAGCGTAGCACATGCTTCAGCTGGTCCAGTGTCATGGTGGAGTAATATGATGCACTGGTGATTGGAATGCCTCAATTTGACAAGAGAGAGAGAAAAAAAAACACCAAAGAATATGAACCCATGTTGAATTAGGAAAATAAGATCAAAGTGAAGGGTTGAATGAAGGGTACTAAAATGTCACTATAGTTAGTTTATTGTACACTACACACATTTTATTATAGTTTATTATACATGAAACCCTCATACACGTATTCATCACCTCAAGGCTAGACTACGGAAACTATGCCAACGTCCTACTTGTCGGCCTCCCAAATCATCCCTCCACAAGCTGCAGATCATCCAGAACTCTGCAGCTCATGTCCTCTCCCGCACCAGGCTCCATGACCCCCACCCTCGCCCGGCTCCACTGGCTCCTCATCCCCCAGAGGATAGAATTCAAAATCCTTGTCTTCACTTTCAAGACCCTCCATGACCTTGCCCCCTCCTACATCTGTAACCTGCTGACCCCCTATCAACCTGTCCGCTCCCTCCGTTCAGCAGGCACCGGCCTGCTCCAGGTCTCCCACCTGATCCGCCCTATCATCAGCATTCGAACCTTCAGCCTTTCTGCCTTCACTCTTTAGAACTTCATCCCACAATCCCTTCACCTTGCTTCCTCCCTTGCCTCGTTCAAGCACGATTCAAGACCCTCCTTTTTGTCTGTGCCTTTAGCCGCCCTCCTACTCCTTCTGCCCTCCCTCATCCCAACCCTGCCCTTCCCCATGCTCGGGTCCTGATCCCTGACTGTTCAGTACCTTGGGATGTCCTCCCGACATGAAAGGCGCTTTACAAATGTAATTTTGTTGTTTGTTTATAGTGTCAATCATAAAACTAAATTTAGGAGCAATAAAATCTATCCAGCAGTTAAGGAAATGGGTTACATGATTAAGTATGAGACATCACTGAACCCTTGGATTGAAATCCAATTTTTTTTAGTAAATGATTGATGCTCATATGAAGAGACTATCAGAAACAGCATGTTAAAAGGCAGATACAAGAAAGGAAAAGATTGCTGCCTCAACATCATGTAGTAAAGACTTCTGTGCAAGTTATGCCAGAGGATTAATATTTTGCTTTTAAAACAGAAAAGCGTGACATTGCAATGCCTATCAAAATAATAAAATATTTGTAGTGAATCAGGCTGAAAATATACAGAAGTTTAAATAATGTCTAGGTATAATATCTGTTTTGAGAACAATTCTCAGCTTCAAAGGAGTGTATGTAATAAAGTTGTTATGCAGTAGCTAATAAGGAAGCTACTCAGATTGGATAAATTGAAAGACACATTTCAAAATATTTTGACATTTTTCCTTCCCAAGCTTTCCTGAAGATATTAACTCGGGCATATGGAACTACAGGCACCTGCCATCTGTGAAACAAGGCAGGAAGAGCATGAGCTGAGCATGAAGAATGGGACGTATTTCTCAGATATCAACATACATGCACATGCCCTTTCCAGCAGAGGTCATTGGATATATAAATCAGAAGGGGGGCAACATCAGAACTTTTCTGTGACATATTTATTCTATGCCCACAGCTGAGCAATGGCATAATGTTTATTCTCTGATATTCTATTTTGACCACTACAAATTGATTATGCACCGTGTAAATAATCAAGCAGCACAAATGAAACACTGAACACGATGATGATTTTAGAGTACATAAAATTACTTTCAATCAATTACAAGAATGGTTTCAATCAAGGGCTTGGATTGCATCAGAGATTCCAATGCCAAGCCACGTGCCTGTACTGTTGCCTTGAAACTTACATGAAATATAGATTGTGAAACATCCATATAAACCAGGTCCACCTCTGTGATGAGACTACATATTACAGACCTGACCGGATTTGCAAGGCATGTCTCCAGAGTTAGTTCAGCACCAGGAAGATCCAGTTACCTAATCTCTCCCTGGGATATTTTTAGACGATATCAATCTATTAATGTTTACTGACTCAAACTACTCAGGATAACCTCAGCCATGGCACTGTTGTAAAATTATTCTGAGTGACCCTAAGCATGAGAATATAAAAATCAGATAGGGATTAACCTCCTGATTGCTGTCTGGTGCTTGCTGATGCAACTTGTATGTGCAGACATTTCAGTATATTTCAATGGTGTGGAGAAAGGAGCACTTGCATGTCTTGAGTTAGTAAGAGGAAATCAATAACAATTTACAATTATGTAGCGCCTTTCACATCGGGAGGATGACTCAAAGTGCTTCAAAATCTACATGGCAGTTCACTCCGCCACTGTCAAGCGTTCTGGGACACTACCCTGTGTGAGGGGCGCTGTATAAATGCAAGTTGTTGTTGACTAGGAGCCTGAGTTTTTTTTCAGGGGGAGGGGTGGAAAGGGAGAGGGAATGCCGGAGGTGGTGGGGGAGAAAGAGGAAAAGTGACCAAAAACATGGTCGAAAAGCTACATCTTAAAGCAGCCAAGGTTTCCCATCCTGAACATTACCAAGCTCAGTGCATGAAAAGTAGGAAGTTCATGAACACAGAATCACCTGGGATTCCCTCTCACAGTCGCACAACTCATTATCTCGCCTCAAACTTTTCTCAAAGCATAGACTTTTGAGAAAGGCACTAGCATACCCCATGGAACTGTACTTTAATAGTCAGCATCTTCAGGAGCGGAAGTAAGAAGAAGAAAAAGAAAACAAGAGGGAAAAATACTGAGGGAAAAAATTCAGGTCACGTCATAATTTTCACCCTGATATTTTTTATATTTAGTTTCAAGATGCTTCATGTTTGTAAAGCTTCAGAAATAACCCAAGGCTGGCAATATTAACAGATTAATGTTTGCAATGAAATGCAAGAAAATTAACTACTGTATCTAGGTTATGCTTAATTTGCCTGTCTGGACTTAATGAATAATTCCTGTAGCATCCCTCCCCCACAAAAAATAATTTGGTCAATCTACGACTGTTTGTGGGACACTGTTGTGTGCAATTAGCTGCTGCGTTTCACCCATAAAATACAAGCAATTCACACAAAATACAGTCAATTCACACAAAATACGGTCAATTCACTTTACAGTATATTCTGTGAAGCGCTTTGGGATGGAATGTATTTTGGGACATCTCAACAACATGATAGGGTGCTATATCAAATGCAAGGATTATCTTTATTATTGCATTGAGAGGGAAAAAAAANCTTTGAAACTTGTACCATAGGAATTTCAAACTTCTCTCACGAGAGGTAATGAAAGAACTGAAATGTAAGTGGAACTCACCTTCATCTAGTGCTCGGTTAATAGCAGCACAGAGAGACCAATAACCACTGTGCATTTTGCCTTTGTACTTAACCAAACATTTGTGCTCTTCGCTTTCAGACCAAAACGAAAAATTGAGGGTATCTGCGACAAACACCCAGTTGATAGAATCCTCATTCATCACTTGTGGGTTCAATTCATGAAGCGACTTCCAACCCGTTGGATCAAATTCCTTCGAATTTATCTTTCCATATAGCATTTCAGCAACTTTTCGCACTCCTTCTTCTAAAACAAGGACATCTTTGCTTCTGTCAGTTATAAATTTTCCAGATTCTTTCGGCATCAGAAAACATTCCATTTTTTTTTCTCCTCTGATCAATCTTGAAAGGGAGGGAAATTAAAACAAATTATAAATACCACCGCTGTATCAAACAGCCGTGGTCAAAGTGACAAATGACATTCTGTCCATCTGCGACCAGGGCTCCCTCTGCCTCCTTATCCTTCTTGACCTCTCTGCTGCCTTCCACACCCTTGATCACTCTATCCTCATCCACCGCCTCTCCTCTCACCTCAACCTTCATGGTTCTGTTCTTGACTGGTTCAGATCCTACCTCTCACATCAGCTCCACTTCATCTCCACAAATAGCTTCTCCTCTAGCCCCCACACCATCTTGTGCGGCATTCCTCAGGGCTCTGTCCTTGGTCCCCTCCTCTTCAGTATCTATATGCTCCCTCTTGGTGACATCATCCGCAGACATGGGGTCAACTTCCACATGTATGTGGATGACACCCAACTCTACCTCTCTGCCTCCACCCTTGACTCCAGGACCACTGCTGTGCTGTCAGAATGACTGTCAGACATCAAGTCCTGGATGAGAGCTAACTTTCTTCAGTCGAAAGTCAACAAGACCGAGGCTCTCCTGATTGACTCCCGTCAGCACCTCCTCACCTCAGGCTCTGACAGCATCACCATCCATGGTTGAGCCAGTCAACCTTGCTGAGCCAGTCCAGAACCTTGGGGGTCTTGTTTGAACCTCAACTGTCCTTTCTACCCCACAGCCGTGTCATGACCCGCTTTGCCTTCCCCACCTCCGCAACATCACCCGGCTCCACCACTGTCTCACACCGTAGCCCTCCAAAACCCTCATACACCCATTCATAACAAAAAGGCTTGACTATGCAAACTCATTGCTTGTCGGCTTTCCCGACTCCTCCCTCCATAGGCTGCAGATCATCCAGAACTCTGCAGCCCATGTCCTCATCTGCACCAGGCTCCATGACCCTATCACGCCCATCCTCGCCCGACTCCACTGGCTTCCCATCACAGAGGATACAGTTCAAGATTCTGGTCCTCACCTTCAAAGCACTCCATGGCCTCGCTCTCCCCTACCTTTGCGATCTCCTAACCCCCTACCATCCTGCCCGCTCCCTCCGCTCAGTGGGCACCGGCCTGCTTCACAGCCCCCACCTTGCCCGCCCCACCATTGGCGGGTGGGCCTTCTCCCACTCTGCCCCCATCTTCTGGAACTCCATCCCGGAGTCCCTCCACCTCGCCCCCTCCCTTGCCACCTTCAAAACCCATCCCAAGACCCTCCTCTTCGATCGTACTTTCAATCACCCTCCCCAATCCCGACCCCCAGCTCGGGTCCGAAACACTGACTGTCCAGTGCCTTGGGACACCCTCCTGACATGAAATGCGTTATATAAATGTAATGTTGTTGTTGCTGTATCAGACCTTGCTGGATTCTATAACTGAAACTGCCGTCAGCGGGTGTGAGAATTTAGCCACACAGTAATTTATATCAGTATATCCGAAAAGACAAATATTTCATTGGATATTTTTCCTGCTGCAGTGTAAAGAGCTCCGGGAACATAAAATGCACCTTAAAATGTCTGGCAAAGTCAAGGTTCGGCAAATAAAAACGTTAGCCGAGAACAAAAGTGAACTTTGGCCGCCAATTAGATCTAATGTGGACTAACTGGAAACGTTTTTTTATATCCAGTATCTCAATTGTATCTGTAAATCAATAACTCAGCTCTGCTTTCTTAGATTATTCATTATCAAAAGCCAAATTAAACGAAATTGTTACCATTTTTTAAAAAAAAAAAGTTACATTGGCTGCGACATCGAGGTTTGGTTTCTGAAAGCTTTCTGTTTGATTCTGAGATTGCAAAGACCATCCCTGATTTTTTTTAAAAAACATATATAATTTAAGACCAGCGATCCTAAACAGGGGGAGTGTGTTCCCATGGTCTGGTCTGGTCTGGCCTGGCCTGGAAATGCTTGTGTGCTGCTGCTGATCCAGTATCTCTGATGGCCAGAGGGGCAGCTGGAGTGTGGCTGCAACACTGTCTGCGATCCGATCCGATCCACTCCTTGCAATAAATTAATATTAACCATCTTTTTTTTTCTTTTTTTTTCTAAGCCTCGCGACAGAAAATCCGGAAATGCATCACCTTCGAAACACAACACAAACACAGCAACGCTGGTTTCAAAGAAACACAGAAATCAGGATCTCCCTTCTTCGCTTTCGATATCCCCGAAAATGAGCAGCGCACTGGATACGATACCTTCACCAGCAGTGACTGCTGAGCTGTGCTGCTGGTGCTGAGCTGTGCTGCTGGTCTGAGCTGTGCTGCTGGTGCTGAGCTGTGCTGCTGGTCTGAGCTGTGCTGCTGGTGCTGAGCTGCTGCTGTTGGTGCTGAGCTGTGCTGCTGGTCTGAGCTGTGCTGCTGGTCTGAGCTGCTGGTCTGAGCTGTGCTGCTGGTGCTGAGCTGTGCTGCTGGTGCTGAGCTGTGCTGCTGGTGCTGAGCTGCTGCTGCTGGTGCTGAGCTGTGCTGCTGGTGCTGAGCTGTGCTGCTGGTCTGAGCTGTGCTGCTGGTCTGAGCTGTGCTGTTGGTGCTGAGCTGTGCTGCTGGTGCTGAGCTGTGCTGCTGGTCTGAGCTGTGCTGCTGAGCTGTGCTGTTGGTGCTGAGCTGTGCTGCTGAGCTGCTGGTGCTGAGCTGCTGTGCTGTGCTGCTGGTGCTGAGCTACCCCCTGAGGCTCTGATTCCCCCACAACAAACTCTCTACACTGGCAGCAAGGCAACTGACCCGGAAGCAGCAGCAACAACAGCAGCAGCAGCAGCAGCAACAGAGCAAAGTCTTGTAGTTTTAAGGGTAAACCAGAGGCAAAAGTAGTTACTTCGCCAAATGTTTAAAATTTTGAGCGGACATCTAGTGCTCTGGTTGTTCTGCAACCTGAGGAGCTCCGGAGAGACCAGGACCTAAATTAGCAATCAATCTGATGCTATGGGATGGGGAACGGGTTATTGAGATGCCATCTGCTGATAATCCACCACTAGTGACTATCCCCCCGGGCGGGGAGGGTAAGCGGGGTCTCCTTGACGCTGAACTGGCAGCGGAATGCCAGCGTCGAGCCAGCCCTCCGCGGTGGTCTCGGTAGTCCCGTTCCTGAGCCAGGCGATGCCACGCCTAATACTTTCTGGAATTAGGTAAGCAGGATGCATTCCTCCAGGAAATGTGCATTCAATTCCAATAAACATCTCTGGAATTTCCATGTGTAATAATATTAATCCTTGCATTTGATATAGCGCCTTATCATGTCTTCGAGACGCCTCAAAGCGCCTCACAGAATATGCTGTTTTTGGAGGGATTATTATTAGGTGTGTGGAGTAAGGAAACTTGCCCAAGGTTTCGCTCTGCCTGGAATTGAACTCAGTGTCTCGCTTGCAAGGCGAGTGCTCTAACCACTGAGCTGCAGGGCTCCATAATGTATGCAAGTTTACTCAAGGTCTGACAAAGTTCAATTTGAATTTTGGTCAAAGCTTCTCAAGTTTTGAAACACAAAGTGAATCCTAACTAATGCCATTTCACCTGCAAAGTTACAACAGTGAAGGATAACGTAGCAAGTTTGCACCGAGGATCGCAAAGTGGAATCAGGTGAGATGGCTGATCTACAGGCTGGAAGCGTGACCCATGATTATAATTGTGAACCCAATAGCAAAGGGCAGGGGTAGACCTTGGTGGTCAGATTGAAGGGGTTGAGGTTAATAGTTTTAAAAGGCACTAACCGTCTTGGGTGAGATGAAGGGTGACTGCCAGGTCAAGAGTGGCTGACGTCTTCTGTGCCATGATTGATTTATGGTACGAACATTGGGAACCTACTGAGGATGTCCCAGGATTTCTAACCCTTCTCACGTCCATTATTGCTTCTTGTTCCTTTCAGGGAAGATCTAAACTGCTAGGTTAATGGAATAGGTGAGTTCAATCTAAGGATGAACTTGACAGGGGTGCATGGTTTTACAAATGTATTGTGGTGGGTTCTGTGCTGCTTGCCCTGTCAGTGTAGATAGGGATGGGCTTTGTTCTTTGGAGGTATTCTGAATCAGGCTACTCGGCCAAATGAAAGACATTGCTGACCATGTAGCTGGGATTCGTTATTGTGTGATGGCTGATACACAGACTCAACAGCAGATTTATTTTGGTCAGCTGTGTGCTTGAAACCTGCGGAAGCGCAACGCTATGCTTAAGTGTATCCAAACCAAACTGAGAATTCCACGCATCTCACCTGTACGTGGAAATTCCAGAAATGTTTATTGGAATTGAATGCACACTCTCTCCCTGGAGCAACACATCCTGCCTATTTAAACCTGATAAGAGTATAAAGTGCAGGTTGGCAGGAGCACGAAGGAGTGTGCATTGGGTATGGGAACGGGTAGCAGCAGGGCCGAACTCTCAGGGATTGAGACTAGTTGCGGGCACTGGAGGAGGAGTGGAAATTGGTGTAGGAGTCACGGCCATCAGTATGTCCAGGTGCAGAGACATCAATTCAAAATTTCCCACCTGAACCAAAAGTCTAATTTCCCGTGTGACATCAGCTTTGAATTACGGGAACCAGGTTTAGTAGTCTTTATTATTATCTGCTTCCCTTCTTCTCTTCTCCCTGTAAAATTCTGTTATTTTTGCAGGTAGGGCAACCTGGTAAATAACACATCGAGTGTACCACCCCCCACAACCCAGGCGCTGACTCCATGCCTGCAGGTTGATCACTCTATTCCCATTTGAGTCCCACAGCTTCCCTCTGCTCCAGCCTGGGAATCCTCCTTCAGGGTCACCGTGGTACTCCCCCCGTTGGCTGTCCAGCAGCAGCCACACTGACTGCCTTATTGCCCACAATCACCGCAAGGCCCACCAGCCCCAGATCCCAGGGGCCTCAGCGTCTTGGACCTCACTATTGCTGACAAAGCCATCTCTGACCACTACTTCATCTCTCCTAACTCTTCAATCCCTCTCCCCACTGCCACCCAACCCACCTCCATCTCCTATCACCCACAGAAAAAAATCTGCACCACTCCCTCTGCTCCCCTGGAATCATTTGAAATCCTCCTGCAATGACCTATCCTCCTCGGTCACTCTCAACTTCCTCTTGATGCCCCACTCACTTCTCAAACTGCCTACTACTGTCACAAAGTACCCTGGTACACCAGCCACCTCCACTCCCTCAATGCACAGGTATCACTGAACACACCTGGCTCAGCAGCAAATCTGTCTGGACTTACCGCTCCGCGCTCACCTCCACTAAACCGTGCTTCTACTCCAATAATCTTGGAGAATAAGGACATCCCCAGGCTCCTCTGCCCATCCTCTTCAAAACTGAGGAGATGCTGGACTTCCGAGACCAAAATCGAGGGGCTCCGCTCAACCACCCCTGCCCTTCCAACTGCTGCTCCTTCTCGTTTCAAAAAGTGGCATGGGATCTAAGTCTACCTCAACGGGCAGATAGAACCTCAGTTTATTGTCTCATCTAAAGGATGGCAGCGCCAACAACGTTGCACCCCCCAGCACTGATTGGAATGTCAGGTTAGATGATAAATTTCAAGTCCCAATGTGGGGCTTGAACCCACATTCTAACGCAGAGGTGAGAGTGCTTCCATCGGATTCAGGTGAACACAATGAATTACTTGTTGAGCCTGGTGTAAGTATAAGTTCTAAGATTTTGTAAATTATCCATCATAGATAAAAAGGTACAGTACAGCAAGAACAGCTCTGAGACACTGCAATTGGGAAATTTTCCTCTATTTCAAATTCTAGGTTAGCACTCACAAAAAAGCTTGGTGTACAGGGTTAATTGGCAGTTTATTGCATAAAGCCAATCTAGAAATTGCAATACCTAGAGAAAAATCTGATCTTTTGAATAGCGATGAATCTGATCATGGGTGGGGGGGAGGGACTTATTCCTTCTGTTAATCCTCTTCAAATTCTCACTTTAGGCTAAGCAATGTGCTTAATTGCCCAACAAATCTGAAGTTCACCTTCTATGGACACTCCACCCAGTGTTGTATGCATTTCTATGGTAAGACGATCCAACCATAAGGGAAATTAATTAAGACTATCCAAATTGAAACATCTATCATGGCTAAAAAGCAGTGAGTCAAGAGTCCATAGAGTTGCATTAGTTACCACAATTTAATAGTACCATCGTCAATTTCTGCTCACTGTCAACTTTTGGTCAGCAAAAGGAGTTACTTAAGTATCTTCAAGTAAAGTGTACACTTGTTTATTTCACCTAATTTATTTTAAAAACCATAAAATGTTCCTTACAAAACAAGATTGCATTTTGCACATTTTACTGAATGGATATCTGGCACATTTAGACTACCAGTACTATTGTCCATAAACAGTGTACATCTCAATGATGAGCTGTTACCATAGTTACAGAAAACACAATAAACCACCACTGAAACATTTAGAACAAAACATAAAACCCAGAATCCACTCATTCTGTCACGGTTGAAAAATTCAAACTGTTTTAAGCTGTGCTAGTTTGCTAAGAATTAAAACATTACAAATGATGGAAGGCAGAATCTGATCTATGCTCCCAGTGTGATCTATGTAAGCAGAGGAATGTTGGCTCTTCAAACAAAAAGCAGTGACAAAAAAGCAGCGACTTATTCTTTCAATCTTCTCTGCTTTTTTGATTTAGATGAATCGTCCAGAATATTGCTTCACACTGTAGAAGTAAAAAAAAGCGACAAATCAGATTGTAAAACCTAAAATCTTCTCAAAAATATATACTGACTGCAGATTGATTCTTTCTACTAAAAAAACTCACCAAAATTTGATGTGGTGCATTAAATTACTACTCTATAATCAGACAGGTAAATACATTTCCTGTCTCCCAGACTAAACACTATTATCCGGACCCATCATTCATGTTCAGATGGGGGAGGGGTCGAGAGAGATTTTGTTATTTACAGTAAAAGTTCCAATGCTAATTCAATAAATCAGTTATAAAACACCCCATTATAAAAGAGCAACATGATCTGGTTGGTATTATCACTCCTAACTGCCTGGTGTTTATCTGGCATTAAAGGCAAAATGATCCGTTCTTTAGCTTTGACTTGTGCCATTTTACACTGGTTAAGCTTTCTCATCCAGGTTCGAAAGGAATTTATTTGCAAAACCAGATAAATTTCACGGGCAGCACCATCCCACTTATGAGATTTCTGAAGCTGGTCATTTAGGTCTCTTAATATAGAAACACTAGTTTTAATCCCAGACCTGAAGAGTTTTAATACTGATTTCAATACATGCAAATTAAAGACCAGTAGTGCTGGGTCGAACATTTATATTATCTGAACTTCCAATGGAAGCTTCGTCTTCAGCGGTTAGCGGCATCAGTGCTGCTCATCGAGAAATTCCACCCCCCCAAACTGACCTTTTTTCGCGTGGAGCTGCGGTTTCTGAGAACGCACGGTTAGCTTTATGATGTCATGAAGAAACTGCTGCAGCTGTGTGGAGAAACCAGGTAAAAAATAAACTAAATTTGCGTCAACGAATGTTCGAATGCGAGTGCAGATCTATTCGACCCAGCACTAAAATTCAATTAACCATAGCTAGGAAATTACAGGAAAGATTGGAAATTACAGGAAAGCTTGGAAATTACAGGAAAGCTTGAAGCACTGAACTATTTTGTTATATCAATAGTTTAAGAATTTGAACTAAATTGTTCTGAGAATTTTAAATAAAGATTGGAACATTTTGAACTTTCTGTGGAGAGACATGACCTGCGCTATATGGCAGACTGTGATTTGTTGTCATTCAACTGTCAAAAACAACAAAATCACTAGTCTTCCACACAGAACCAGACCACAATCCAAGTTGACTGGACCGTCTACATTTGATCCCATTTAACTTTTAGTTATTACTTATTAAGACAACCCCATGGTCCCTAGTAATCAGAAAAACTGTGATGGACTAACAGAAAATGTTTGTTGGGCAAGATTGTAAACCTGACTATAAAACTAGCTTTGAAAATTTTGAATTATCAAGGACCCACACAATGTTAAGACAAGTGAAGTTTAGAGAATGCGTACTTGATAATGGTATACATTTTTAAAAAACAAAGCTAATAGCCCCAGGTATTGATTTTACAATCTCTGTAACCCATCCCAGGGTGCGGGAAAAGAAAAAAAGAGAAGTAGAAGAGAACAGAAAAAAAGCCATGAGTAGAGGTCCCGTCCCAGTTTTACATTCCTGCACACAATCCCACACAAACCCCTCACTACTCGCCTGTTCTGCAGCAGATACTGTGCATTCTGGATCTGGTCCTGTGTGCCCGTTATGGTGATTATACGATCTTCAGAACCTTCCAGTGGTTCATCAATTTTGATGGATGCTCCAGATTCATGACGGATCTGCTTAATTCTCTGACCTCCTTTACCAATTATAGAGCCGGCCAGCTGTTGGAAGTGCAATGGCAAATCAGACACTCACAATTTACTTCATCTCCCCCACACCAGCAAAAGTAATACGTTCCACACAAAAAAAACAAAGCTACTATTTTCTGACAAAAACATTTCTAGTAAAAAAANCTTACATCTTTGGGAATTGTAACTTGAGTAGTGATGACTGGTCCTCCCAAATCCCCATATCCACCACGACCACCTAAAAAGCCCACATAAGAAAGCTTAATTTAGAAAAGACTGCAATACAAATTAATTAGAATCTTCATAAACTTTAGAAACAGCATTCTAGTAGAGACTGAATATTAAATTATTTCAATCACTTATGTGACTCACTAAATAGATGACCAAAAAAATATATGCTTACCATATCCAGAAATACCCTGTTGAAATACAGGGGGAAAAAAAAGGTGTTTTGAGTACAGGATTATAGATTCTTAAATACAATGAATACCACCTGTACAAACTGAGCAAATGATAGGCATTAAACAAGCTAGATAAGAACATTGGTAACTTTTGGAAGCACGTAATTCATCCATCGTTAACCCACCCCGCACCCCCCCCCCCCCAAATAAAATGCACCATGAATTCCCTGCATAACCGGAAATATAAAATACCGATCTCAGGTATCTTAGTCCACATGGAAATATCCAACGACACAACTTATATAGAAATATGAAGGCAACATATTGTATTCTTACCATTCCATCATAACGATCTGCACCAAGTCGGCTCCTGCCATACATACCACGGTCACGGTCACTACAAAAATTCATTAAAAATTAATTTATTATAAAAAATGGCGCTGATATGAATATTTAAATCTGGTCAGGTAGGTATAGCAGTACAGTCCACCTTGCACCCATCACTTAATGACAAATGACAGATTTTGCAGTCTTAAATTGCATCCCTTCTTAAAACACTTGGCACTGTACCATCTTAAAACAGACGGGGGCGACTCCTTTTTAGCAGTAATTGGACTGTTCGTTTGGTTTTTATTGACATTGGACTATCTGGACAAAGACTAAGGATTTTCCTCTGACTTGCCCGGGAATCTTCTTATGTTAGCTTCTCTTGCTCACATTACAAGTTTTGCAGAATAACTAACAAGACATCAAAGTTAGAGAATGAAAGTAGACAATATGCAAAAATACAAATGCTTCCTAAAATTTCATATCTTACTGTAAAAAGGCCCAAAACACTCACCTGCCCCTAGGCGGTGGTGGTGGAGGAGGGGGAATACGACCACCTCTGGCATTTCTTGAACGAGACAAAGGCGGTGGTGGTCCCCTACGAGGTGGAGGACTCATGTCATCGTAAGCATCTCTTCTGGGTGGGGGAATAGGGCGACCAACCGGTCCCCTTGGAGGTCCCATAGGACCTCTACGCTCATACCCAGGCGATGGAGGATGGGGGCCACCTCTACCGCGAGGTCCAAAGGGCATTCCACGCCTACCTCTCTCATCAAACATCATTGTAAAGCCACCATAATCGTAGGTTTCATCGTAGAAATTCGGGTCATAAGGCTGTGCCCGGCCTTTGACAGGAGACTGCAAATAAACATTTAACGTTGAATACCTTCACATTCTTCTCTCTGAGATAATTAGTAATTTCAAATCATGCTTCAATCGAATCTTAGGGTAACATTCAAAACATCACTTTCTCATTTCTGAGACCACAAAGACTGGAGTTTGATTTATCAGCTAAACTCTACGCCTAAGATGCATTTGTTCTAATAGACAAGATAGAAATTTAGATGCAGTTTCAACAGAGGCCATCGAAGAGAAGCAGCCCTGGCCAGGATGAATGTCAATTAAGGCGCAAACACTGAAAAAGATTAAAATGACACCCACCTCGGATAACAGCCCCATGATAATCTTGATGCACTCAACCACTCGATCAGGCTTTCCTCCGAGCAAAACAACTCGATCAGTTGAATGAGGGCAACACTCCTGGAAGAGTTTAATCGTCGTCTGTGTGCTCTGAAAGATGAAATTTTGAGTTTATAATGCAAAAACTAGAAATGTATTTCTAGAAAATAACTGATGAAGAACAAAAATGTATTCCTCCGTTTTAGATGTTTTGCACTAAAAGAATAACTCAAAGCAGTCCCCATAACGATGACAAAATCACATCAATTAAATTGGGTCACTTTAGCAGGTTCAATGCCTAAAGGTATTTAATATATTTCTGAACAATGTTCAGAATAAGAGCATTTTGGAGTCGTGTTTCTGGTCTTGCTAAAAAAAAGGGTAAATCTGGTTAGTTACAAAAGGAAAATTCCACATCTAGTTCCATCAAAAAAGCAAATATTGGGGTTGCACCTACCAGTTGTCGAAACCACTGAACTTTGCTCCAAATATATAAACTTACCTCTCTGAGCTCTTTAATCTTCACTCCCTTGACACCAATTATACTTCCTGCCTGGCTCTGATGAACCAGCATCCTTAATTCACAATCAAAATCCTTTCCTTTATAGTGCTGGTACTACATAGCATTAAAAAGAAAAAGTGTCACGGTGAACAGGTGAACATACATCGCAACAAATTCTGGCAGAATTATAATGGAAAGTTGCAATATATGCAAAGCCACGTGACCCACTTTTGGTTCACAAATTTCATGCCTAGAGGCAGATATTGACCGGAAGATTCAGCACCCCCTCGCTTACAGGTCTACTATGGACCTGCACTAAAAGTACACCCAGAAGAATCAGATATCATTTTGTGAGAATTCACATAATAAAGATAGCATAATTCATTATGTGGATTATGATAGCAGGATCATGTGGCTTAGCTTCAATGCTGAATAACTTTGAAAAAAAAATCAACTAACAGATTCTTGTAGGTGATGAAAATGAACACATCTTACTTCTTCCAACGTAGGGATGATCTTCGAAAGGATATCGCCAATTGTTTCGATATCTGCATTGATACTCAATATGCTGCCAAATATTTTAACCATTGATGATTAACAAACGAGAAAGGAGAAAAACAAAGTGAGCAAGCCATTCACAGAATTGTGAATACAACGCAAACAGGAATATAAACAGCATAAGTTTTACAAATTTAAAACCCCCATTAATAAATAAATTTACTAAAACATGCAAAATTTAACTAATTATTTAACATTAGAAAATTATGACAGCTCTGGAAGAAAGAATGGGTAACTGGAAGGGCTCAGATTAAGTGGGCAAGAAAAAAAAACGACGTATAGCTGAGAGCAGAAAGTGAAAATTCTTTCTTCCCCACCACCAATTTGAGAAACCCCTGGTATTATATTAGCAATTTTGGCACACCTTCTCATAGGCAAAGCAGAAGAGGAATGTAAGTATCATGGAGAACAGCATTAAAAAAGGTGTTTGACAGAAATTTGGAGAAAAGTTAAGAAACTAGTTTGTGGAAACAGTACTAAGGGCCCTGCAAGAAACCAAATAGAAACACAAGACAAAACAATGAAAGACAGAACAAATAAAAGTGGAGGGTGACAAAGTTAGCTTATAAGACTATGAATAGGCAAATGTGGGGAGCAAGGTGGGCCACAAGGATAGTGCAAGAGAGATTAACAAATTATGATTAACAATGCAGCAAATATGCAACACTTGAAGCTGTGCTCCTTCCATTAAAATGAATTAGTGATTGCTCTGGGTAGGCAACTCACATAATAAAAGTCCAGCCACAAAAGACTTAATGGGGAAAATAGACAGAAAATAACTTTGAAAAACAGTATACTTGCTAAAAGGGGCTACTAATTAATACTAAATAAATTCAGGTTATAGATACATTTCCTCTTTCTAATCAGGCAGTGAGTCATAAACTTTTGGGACATACCGCTCGGGGCCACTGCTGTCTGGGACTGATACACTGGCATTGTACTGCATTGGTCACAAAGGCGTTCGTGGATGTTGGCATTGGGCAAGGGCATTCAGTGAAGTTCAAGTATTGGTGCCCATTTGGCATTTGAGCACATTATGGGCATAGCCAACCAGGGTATTCAGATGGGTGTTCAAGGGGCAGATGGGTCAACGTCATGATGGGCAACGCAGGGAACGTGTCGATCCAGTACAAGGGCAACGGAGATAAATGGCCAAAAAAACAAGGAAAGGGAAGAGGGGGGAAAAGGAGTAAATTTTAATTGAATTATAAATCTATGCTCATCACTCTATGTATCCTCTGTACAGACTTCTGAAGACTCTATACAACATTGGACGCACTTCATAACTGCATTTTTAGAAAAAACAACATTAATTATATTAAAAGGACTTCTGCTTACAACAGGGAAAATTACTATATCAAATAATCATACTTCTAAATTAAACGACGATTAACATTAAATTAAACCTAGCAACTTCTACTGGGCATCTATTTATGCATACTAAAATTTCAAATGCATACAAATTAACAATTGTCAAAATTTGCTCAAAATATTGCTTCCTTTCCTTTTTCAAAAACATTTGCTTCCTATCAGTTTCTCAATACAGCTTCCCTTACAGCTTCCTATTCTATGGAAACATTGTTAACACTGTTCTATACCCAATCTCATATCAAGCATTCTTCTTTACATAAAGCAGTCTTTGTCCTTCACGTACATCTGTATAGCTGTTGAAGTAAGAACAGATGGACATTTTTAAAAAAAATTTAAGATCTGACTCTGGGATACTCTGGGTTACTCCAGCCACCTGCAATGCCGTTCGATTTAAGATTTGAGTTACAAAAGGGAAAAGGCTGTAATTAAGGGTTGTTAAACAGTCATTATGGATACCTCACAAAAACACTCAACATGACCATTTTAACGGAATCCTATTAAAATCAAACTGTTTAGTGAAAGCTCCTCAGATTCAGCCCAGTCATAAATTGTAGAGAAATCTCTTAAGGCTTACAGGCAACACTTAAAATCACTACAAATGGCTTTTCTAGTCCTCCCAGAACAGCATAATTAACTCATTTTAAAATATGTCCATAGTTTCACTTTTAAGTATCTAGTAATATTCATACAACTTTTAAACACCACATTTCTGTAAGCCTTTTGTTAATGTGTACTGTATTTTACAACTTAATGCAGACGAAGTGCGTTAAACTTAAACCAAATTTTAACTGATGCTGCAGATATATACTCACGTCTGTACGCAATGACTTGATATTTTTGCCACCTTTCCCAATCACCGCTCCAGCATTCTTAAGAATAAAAATAAGTCATTACATAGGCCATGATTCTTTAAACCTCATAGGCATTTTAAACAGTCAAAATTCACTGAAGGATTCACAAAACAATTTGACAGTTTAGAGGCTTAGATCCTTCAGCCTTCATCTTTCGCTTGCCAACCAGTAAAACCACCCTCACCTTGCTTTGCAACAGAAGGCGTAGTTCCACACACTGGTCATTATTCCGAGACCTCTTAAAGGCTTGTTCTTCATCATGGTCCTCAGCAGGACGTTTGCCTGAAAGTTGTGTGTTTGTTTAAAAAAAATTTAAGCTTCATGAATCTTTTGACACACTGCAAAACTATGCTTTTCTCTCCCTAGAATGAATACTATCAATCAATTAGGACTTCTTCAATGCGGTTGGGAATTCAGTCCACACATTCTCAGTTTTGGAAGATTATACAGAGCAGGGCTTCTGTTTTCCAGGGTTATTTTTGTGTGTTTATTTTAGCAATTTTGGGACCTAAAGACCAGGGGGTTAATGCAAAGATTCAGATGCTCCTGTGCACATGGAAGGGAGGTAAGTGCCTTCACGCGTGCACAGTGCATCCTCAAGAGAGGTGGTGCGTCTGGTGATGCGTTTGGGAGGGAAACATGTGCATGGGTGAGGGCACCGCTTTCCTCTTCATTTGCACCTGGAACCCAAACGTGCCTTCTCCCAGAGGGGAGAGGCACCCTCTCGCATGTGGATTGCGCGTCAGGATAGTTAATTGTATACAGTGCTTTGCAGTATTTATTGGATAAACAGATTTATTTTTTTTTAAATCAAGGGCGTTTTGAGTATGGAGGAGGTGCTTAAAACTGAAAATCAGAAGCCCTAATTTTACATTAGATTACAATACTCATGCAAGTCAAGAGACAAAATGTCCGACACAGAATTTCATAGTGCTACTAAAAGTTCAGAAAATTCTTAGAACTATCAATACTGGTCACTTTTTGAATTCTATACAATTAACATATTTCTCAATATAATCCAACGTTTTCCCAAATAGGAAACAAATATTGTTAATTCCACCCATTAAATTTTATTCAATAGTAACTGACTTTTTGGTATCTCAATACAAGGCCTGTGGTCTCGCTCTATCAAACTTCATACAAAAGATTGCAAGAGTTGTCTCTTCCTCCACTCCACTTACCTTATATCCCTCAAAAATAAACAACCTCAGATTTACTAAATTGTTGGGTGCCCCAATTCAAGATTTTCTCTTTCCCTATCCATCACTACAGAAATTGTTCCCACCCATCATTGCATTGACTCTCCAGCTGCTCATCAACATCCATTGATGGGAGTTACTAGAACCAACACTACTTGAGTGTGATGGAAGCTGGACTATGCAAATAGGGCCTTGTAAAACACAAGTTGATATATTTGACATCTCTCAACAACACAGGAATATCGATATTGGCTCGGTACAGGACACAGGAAGCATTTACACTTCAGAAGAAGCCAAACCCGTACTGTGTTCTGTAAAATTCCTTAGAACATTAACAAGAATACTTCAGTTTACCCTCAGTAAATCTCTTTTTTTTTTCATATTTTACCATTAGCACCCTGTTTTGGTAGGTAGGTGAGGAGTAAACTGCTTGAAAGACACGAACGTCTGGTAAAAGAAGTGGGCACACAAAAAATGTCCCCTCAACAAGAAATTGAAAAATCACTATTGTCTTTTGAAGATAAGGATGGTGTTTGTTTGGGTGATGCTGAGCTTCCAAATCTCCTAATAACTCAACTTCCAGGTTTCAATTGCTCATGGTCAAAATTATAATGCAAGAGTTATACATTTATCAGTTATATAACTGATCATGAAGAAAACAAATGCAAGTTAAGCAAACATAATTTTTAAAATCTGGCCTGAAATCAAACATCAGTTAAACATCACATAGGATTATGTAGCAGAGTGAATTCAACATTGTTACACAAACTTAAATAGAAAACTACATCTAATAAAAATATAAGAAAATGAAAACATACAGGAACTAGGGCTGAGACTGCTACCATTAGTCTCAGGGCTATTATATTTGATGTCTTGCTGATCAGTCTCCATTTCATTTAAGTCTTGAGAGCCTGCAATGCAGCTAGTCTGTAAAAAGGAAAATACATTGTTAATGGCTCAAATTCATTGCACAGGCTACATTTAAAGAATTATTTACATTTCAGAACATTATGTTGATTACGAAAGTATTGTATGGCCGAATAACTCAAAAGCCAATTCTTTGCTTACATTTTGGACATACATCCCATAATATGGCTGCCAGAAGTTAGATTAATATGAAAATTGAATTACTATAGATAGTACACAGATAATTCCTGCTGCAAACGGTAATGGAACCTCCATCATTAAATTCAAAATGTGCAAGATCAAAGGAAAACCTTCAACCAGCCATTTATCTAGACTACGAAATTTAACTGAAGCTCAAACTTGGAACAGCATTGCAAATCGTTCCCGCTAGCAATTTTGTTGCCAATCGGGTATTAACCCCAAGAATCCCAAGCCAAACTAACGAGTCCCACATGATTTAATTTGTCTTGTACGGCAAGAGTATGCAATCACTAGATAGATACATCCTGAGTTTAGGCACAAGTTGGTGATCACCATGGACCAACTCTGCACCAAATAGCTTTTGTCCCCCCCCCCCCACCCCGATCATAGAAGTACAGGTATAACTTGTAACAATGCCAATTCTACATAAAATATGTAAACACGACCACTCTCTCGCCCACAGCCCAGACACATACCCCCTAAATGGTAAGTGATTCCATCAGTTGCCCAAAATGCAAATCTTCAGAAGCCACTGTTTGCATAGCAACTAAGCTCTGGATACTATCCACCCAGGAAACTTGATGTCCAGGTAACACCTTACAGGAAATGCAGACTAAACTTCAGCCTCCTTAGCTATCCCAATAGGCATTTGGCGATACTACGCCACATGAAGGGAGCTAAATAAATGCATATTTTGCATTTTGTAAATAATGTATGTGGTGGAAGAACATACACAGGACAACTTGAGACATTCAGCCATCTAAACGTTATACAAATCCAACTCCAATACTGTCCACCAAGAAAAACTGCACTTACCAAGGAGGATAGCTTTACAACAGAACAAAGCAGCAGCTCCCATGGGAAATGAAAATCCCCTTGTTCCCCTACAATTCCTACACATGGTGTTGCATCAATCTAAGTAGTAGACCTCGTTCTCCACTACCATCACCATTAGATTTTTTTTGTTCAGCCGGGTGTCTGACAATGCTGAACCCCATTACAATGCTCAGGAGCATCCAAAACAAACTGATAATTAGATAAATATGAAAACCTTCCTTTCTGACAGTTTGAAAAACCAAACTGCATAGAAACTGAACTATGGGTTCAAGCCTTTTTTTAATTAAAAGGATTTAGCTATTCTGCAGTCCACAAGGCAGTACAGTACATAAATGAGGGCTCTAAAAATAGGGAGAAATAAAAAAAATTGTCAACCTGATCCCACTACGTGAAGAAATAAGACAGGCAGCCAAAATAAACCTTAAGGCGCACCAAAACTAGTCTTAGGGTTACAATTACAACAAGACTACAATTTTTTCTCCAAAACCGGAGAAAACAAAGAGACCCACAGAAGTCCTGCAGTATGAAGAAATGGATGCAAAGGTGGCTTTAAAAAAGCAAATCCACGGGGGCGACCCGCAGTACAGGAGCGCAGTAGCGCAGCAGCACTGTATAAAGAGAACGCGGAAAAAAATCCCATCAAAACCCAAGCCGCGCTTTAAGGGGAAACAAAGTCTGGAGGCGGGAGCGCCATGCGTCTGCCAAGGGAAGCGAAGTAAAAGGGGGAAAAGGAAAGGCGCAGTAAATAAACCTCAACGATTGGCAACTGCAGTTACTGAATGCATGTAGACTGCTGCCAAACAGGACAAAACCACGGCGACGGCGGGGAACGCTCTCCCTCCTCTCTCCCCTGGCACCAATGAGCTGCATCACGTGAGCACCTCCCCTGTACCACATAACGTATTTAAAAATCTACACGGGGAGTGTAAAAATCCACAGGTGAGACGATAAACAGCTTCTCCGCCCCTCCCTTAAAAAAAATGGAAATCCCGGTCTTAACTTTTGCGGGGGGGGGGGGGGGAATGAGGGCTGCGGAGGCCGATCGGCGCCGCCATCAGACCCGTGACTCGACAAAGGAACAGCTCGAAACGAGGACGACAACGGCTCCTGGGCCCGAAGAACAGCGCTCGGCAAATTCCCAAGCTCGACGCTCCCGACTTGGGGGGGGGGAGGGGAGGGGGGCGGGAGGAGGGAAGGAATGGGGATGGGAGAGCGAGCAGGAAAATACCTCGCATCGGTAAGGGGTTAATTAAATGAAGTGAAGAAAACGCCACAAGGAACAAAAAAAAATAAGCCTTTCAAAGATGGCCGCCACATCCGCCTCGCTCGCACACAACACGCCATACGTCGTTCGTTTCTTTTTAATAAAACACCGCAAGTCTCATCAACTGCTCTCCGCTAATAAATGTATATTTTTCAAATCCTCGAATCGTCGCGTGTCGCACGAGCTCGGTGAAGGCCTGACTCACCGAGCCAAAAGGCTGCGAAAACCCCTCGGAAGCCAGTTTGAAGTCGGGCGAGTCACAAAAAGAGGAATCGTCTGGAAAAAGGCAAGAGAGCGAATCGTTACCCACAGGCCCCTGCGAGCGAGCGCATTCAGGGCCGAGCCCGCCCACGTCCCGCGGCATCGGCCGCTCCCATTGGTCGGAACCTGCGTTTCCCGCCCGAGACCCTGGCCGTCAATCAGAGGTCCACGATCGCAATAGGTCAAAGTCGCTGTCAATCACACGCATCATCGAGACAGCCATCGTCAACCCCCTCTCCCCGAAAAAAAACATGTCTTCCTCAACCTTATCACTTTCGATTAAAACGTAGTTTGCGCTTTTGTTTCAGAGAAAAAACTCGGAAAAAGGTGTTCGGGGGGAGAAGTGTGTGCGTGGAGGAGGGAGAAGAGCCTTTTCGTTGATAAATAAACCTCCACATTATTAGTAATTACACATAGAAAGCTTTACTGTCTTTCCACCCGCCTCCCCCCCCCTCTTCACTCGTAAAACAGTGAACAACAACTAACAATAAATTACATTAACATGGCGCCTTTCAAGTCGGGAGCGCGTCCCAGGGCGCTGTAAGAGTAAATAATGGGGAAGGAAACTACCCATGAGCTGAACGTCGTGGTGCCTCGTCTTCTCGTAGCGTCGCGGACGTGTCCTGGAGCAGAGAAACCGCTGCAAATGATGTCGCCAACAGCGCGGCAAGGAGGAGGGGACAGGAGAGGAACGGGCGGGCCCACTCGGCGGAGCGGGGGGGGGGAGTGAGACTCGGTCCAGAACCATTTATAATGTGCGGTTAAACAGGTTAGCACGTGCTCAAAACAAGAAAATTCAGGGCGCAGATTCTGCACGATTTTGGTTAGGGTACAGATTTTTGTTTACATACAATAATATAACGTGTAGCAGTAAGCTTGCTATAATTTAATATCTGCCTTCCAAGTACTTTTTGCTTTTTTAAAAAAAAGCAGTATTGGTACTTTTTGCGTCAGCATTGGTGCAGTGAATTTATTTTTTTACACACGCACGCACGCGCCCTTTTGCTGAAGTGCATTTTAATTGTAATTAGACGTATGTCAGTTTCCTCTCACGGGGGAAATACTTTTATCGGTTGCTATTAATGCGCGGGGCGGGCGGGGGTTGGTGAAACAATATGACCGTATCGGTTGGGCGAAGCGCGGGTTAACGGGTTGCTTGCGGATGGATACGGAGTGAGGGAGAGAGAGAGAAGGAGAGAGAGTGGGAACTATTGGAAAATACATGTTGTGATTGTGAATTTGTTTGAAATGCCGCGCGTGCCACGCGCTGGGCTCGGGCTCGGGCAGGACCTTCCCCCTCCCCCCCCCCCCCCCTCCGGCGGTGAGGCGAGACCAGGCGGCGGGGCAGCGCGGCGCACGCATTCATTCGAAATTTCAAAGTCACGGCGGTTAAACCGCCATTTCAGCGGCAGCCCCGCGCGCCTTTCAACCGCCATTTTAGGAGGAGACTGCGAGCGCCCCGGCGCCTGGCCTGCCCCGCCGGACCTGCACTACCCGTGGCGGCCTGAGCTCGGGCCCTCTTGTGTCCTCTCGGCTCGCACATTTTATTTGTCAGCGTGAAGAAGTCTCAAGAGTTTAGCCGTGTACGTTTCAGCAGCAGTCTGTTCATAGACGCGCGTGTATGTGAGTGTATGTATATACCACTGTGCTTTATTTATATATATATATATATATATATGCAGATACGATGGGCCGAATGGCCTCCTCCTGTGCTGTATAATTCTATGATACTATGATATACACCGCATCGCCCCGTGCCTGGAAAGCGCAGTCTTAAAAGTCGTTCGAGACCGTCAATTGTCCCACTCTCTTGTCGATGTTAAAATTAGCTCTGCCTTAATTCATACCCAAAGTTTATAAATTGACGAACAGGCCTATCCTGCTCCTCAATAAATTCATCAAATAAATAAGATATAACGTGAAATGCTGCACAGGCGGGAAATCTGAAACAAAAACAGAAGTGGCTGGGAACACAGCAGCGATGGAGAAAGGAAAGTGAGTCAACGTTTTGGGTCCACGACCCTTCGTCAGAACCCTTACAATGCAAAGATATAAGGCTTTGTTTGGTCCCCAGGGGACCAGAGTACTGTATAATAAGCCCTGCATCATAAGTCCTGTAACGCATGATGGAGTCCTGCAGCTCAGTGGTTAGAGCACTAAGCGAGGCCCGGCAGGGCGATACTTTGAGCAAGTTTCCTTACTCCACACGGCTCTGTTTACCGAGCAGTAAGTAGGAACCCGGTTGTTAGTCGATCGATTGCTTTTCTGGGGGTAATAATTCCTTCAAAACAGACATAAATAAATTGGTCACTCAATCCATGACTGTTTGTAGGACACTGTTGTGCTACCGAATTTCGCTCACAAAATATACAGTCAGTTCACTTTACAGTATATTCTGTGAAGCGCTTTGAGACGTCTCAAAGACGTGATAAGGCGCTATATCAAATGCAAGGATTATTATATTATAAATCCTGCATGATAAACTATGTATGATAAACTGTTTAATAAATCCTGTATAATAAGTACTTACAAATGGTCATTGGAATGATGATATGAAATCAGACTGTCCCTATTGTAAACATTTTATAAAAAGTTTTGTTTTGTAATCCTTCAGGCCTGGACATGAAGATTACGTTTGGACTGTTTCATAAAGCCACAACATAATATTTAGCAGTTAAGATGACATCTGGTATTATTCGGAGAGTAGAAACCTGGCTGGAGGCAACGTGGCATGTCAAAGTTCCTTCGCATTGGGTTGAAGCATGTTTAGATTGGATTCAGCAGGAAAACCAAGGTACCGCTTTAATGCAAGCCCAAATCAATAAGCAGGTTTTTGAGCAGTGGCTTCTTACTGATCTCCGAGATCTGGAGTACCCCATCTTGCCAAGCAGAATTTCAGAAGTCCACAAGAGTGAATTAAATGGATTTTACTGCTTGCAGATCGATTCATTAGTGGACATTAGTCAGCCCGCTTACTCTCAGCTGCAGAAGATCAGGGGAAAAGATAACACCAATGAACTGATGACTTCAACACAAATATCCCAGAGGTCGTGGGAAGCAAAACCAACCCGAATGTTGATGCTACAGCTAACGGATGGAGTACAGGAGCTCCAGGGAATGGAGTATAAGCAACTTCCTGCTCTCCATAGTAACCTTCCACCAGGCACAAAAATCTTGCTGTTCGGTAATATCATCTGTCGCTTAGGGGTTCTGCTTCTTAAACCTGAAAACCTGAAGGTGCTCGGCGGTGAAGTGGAATCCCTTTTGGAAGAAAATTTGCAAGAGAGAGTACTTGCCAGGCTGGTTGGAGAGTCAGATGACAATGTTGTGTCTAGACCTACTCACAATGGCGAAAATCTGGTTGAAAGGCCAGATGGCATACCTCAGCTTTTAGGCCCCTCAGATGAAGAGCTGTTGGCTGGTTTTGATGAAGATGATGATTTGATTTTGAATCAGATGGATTCTGAAAGTGGGTATGGTAGCAGAAATGGCACCTTAAATAGCGCCACAAACTATTCACAAACCCAGCCTCGAATCAGTGCTCTAAGTAGCAGAAGCCCAAGTGTGGAGTCCTACACACCACAAATATCGAGAGAATTGCAAGATTCAGATCAGGGATTTTTAGATTTTAATGATGATGACTTTGATAATTTGCCATTGGATGAAATGGATGATGATTTATTCTTTCAGGATGAAAACTTTGAAGAAGAACCCCAGCGAACAGAAATAGCAAATCGATCCATCACAGGGTCAGAATTGCATCAACAAGCAACTAATAACTTTTCTGGTAATCCACTACAAATCCAAGCTGAATCTATTAAATGGGGAATATGTAGTGAAAACTCAGGATCTTCAGTGAGTAGTAGAAATGCTCAAGAGTCACAAAATTCACTCAGGGTGACTCCAACACAGAGCAATAGCTCTATGGAAAGAACAAATAATCCAAATACAGCTTCTATTAACCTGGAATGTAAGCTTAAACCTTCAGTGAAGTGTGAGCCATTTAATATCAAACTGAAACACAGCACTAATCCTGAAAATATATCTGAACTAAGGTCAGATTCTTCCAGCAATATAAGTAGCCTTTCTCAAGGAAATGTGGCTAATAAAAGGAACATAAATGGAAACAATTCCAAACTCTTTTCTCTAGAATTAGATTCTCCTCCATTTACATACCTAAATATTCTTTTGGATAGGAAACCTGAGATGGTTACTGTGGTAAAAGTCAAGGGCTTCATTGTTACCTTACTGGACAAACTTACAAACACCGATGGAGCGTGGAATATTAAAGCTAGAATTACCGATGGCACTGCCTACATCGATGTGGAAGTTGGTGATGACATTTTGAGAAGCCTTATTGGTTTCTCAGTGGCTGAAATGAAAGATTTGATGAAAGACCCTAGCCAACGGCAGAGGATTACTGTGGGTCTGCAGAAATGTCAGCAGGATCTAGTGGACCTTTGTTGTCTGATGACAGTTGAATTTAATCCTTTTCTTAACAAAACTACAATTTTGGCCCTCTGCAAATTAAGTGTAGAAAATCTGAGGGATTTAGAACACCGTGTACGTGACACGATGATTGTTTTGAATAACTGAACAGCTTCAATTTGAGACTCTGCCCACCCTCCCCTATTATTTTGATTATTTAAAGTTGTTTTTAATTGTTATAATAATGATATATTATAATATATTATATTATAATATATTGTAATAAATTATTATAATTTTTGTATAATATGTACAGTTTAATACATTTTCCAGTTTCATTTGTGCATTCCTATGTCTGCTGAGTTCTGAAAAATAAACACCTTTTAAAACCTTTCTGTATAATTTGTGAAATTAAACTTCAAGAAGAAATGATTCACACTTACAGTGAGTTTGATAAGAATTGTTCCAGTAGATATGGGAAGAGAACTATAATTAGGAATCACATCAATTCCTGTTGGACTGAGATGTATACCATCTCTATCTGATTTAGGAAGGTCATCTTCTGATGAAATGCTGAACTGAAATCTGGTTTGTCTGCTTGGTTGGACATTAAAGATTCCATGACATTATTCAAAAAGAAAGTGAGTTTCTCCTGATGCCCTGGTTTTGTTATAATTGCACCATTTACCCATAGCACCAGCTACATTCTGCCCATCAGGAAAAAACAGGTTGTAGATGCAAGCACACAAATTACTGATTGTTCTGAGAGCTAACTACACCACATAAATGTTTCTTTACAATTTTGTATACAAAACATGGATTGTGATACTCTCACCATCTTTAACCAAACAAGTTTAAGAATCTTTCTAATCTGCAAATTTCTTTGAAATCAGCCTATGTGTGGAATCCTGTAGCTCAGTGGTTAGAGCACTCACCTTGCAAGCGAGTCACCTGGTTCAATTCCAGGCAGAGGGCGAAACCTTGGGCAGGTTTCCTTACTATTAAAAATAATCCATCCAAAAACCAAAACAATAATACATTGGTCATTTTCAATCCACGACTGTTTGTGGGACACTGCTGTGAGCAATTGGCTGCCGCGTTCCCCCACAAATATACAGTCGATTCACTTTATAGCATATTCTGAAGCGCTTTGAGACGTCTAGAAGACGTGAAAAACGCTATATCAAATGCAAGGATTATGATTATTATTATTATTATTATGTGGTTTCTTGCTAAATATGCTGCAACATACAAAACAAAAATGGAATGAGTCCACCTGGTACTAAAATTTAGGCCTGTTTGAATGTAAATTGCAGCAAAGAGGATGGGAGTTAGCATTAAAATAAATGAACAAGTGGTTTTCCATCCACGGCAGGACTTGAGTTCATACGCCATGCTTACACTCCAGTGTAGTTCTCTATCCTTGTGGATAGATAAGTAGAATCTCCTTGGGTATATGCTGGTGTGACATGCCTGGCAACGAACAGTCAGAATCGAGTCAACCCTCTGATGATCTCCAGTTCCTGAGCCAGTACTGCAAGGCACTTGCTGGTGACTGCGGTGCTAAGTATTGCTGTGCACAAATTGCTGGCTGCATTCGCCCACAAAATATGCACAGTCACACCACTACAGTTTTGTTTATAGCACACGCCTCGCAAGTGAGAGGACCCAGGTTTGATTTCCATGCAGGGCGAAACCTGTACGGGAATCTGCAAGTTCCTTACTCCATAACGTCTGTTTACCTTGCAGTAAGTGGGAACCCAGTTAATCGTCAATTTGTGGATCGCTAAGCATAGGTAATAATCCCTCCACGAAAATATACAGTCAATTCACGTTTACAGTATATATTCTGTGAAGAGCTTTGAGAGTCTCAAAGATCAAATGCACAGATTATTATATTCCTGTGAAGCTCGACTGGCTCCGGTGTTCTGCATGTCCCTTGTGCCCTTCGTTTCACCATTCGTGGCCGTGCTTTCAGCCACTACCCCCCAAAATTCTGGAACATTCTTCGTCTTTCCTTTTGCCTTGCCCCTTCATTCCCCATCTTCAGGTCGCATATGAAGACCTTCCTATTCGACCGTGCCTATGGCCACCTCCTCCTCCAGCTCAGCATCATGCTCTGCCACTGTCAAGTGCTCTGGGATACTACCCTGCTTGAGGGGCTCTATATAAATGCACTTTGTTGTTGGAGATCAGGATTCTTCCCACTTTGCCAGTCAAGCGGAGGCAGCGGGGTGTGGGTTGGGGGGTAAGCAGGTCAGAGAAGTAGGGCATGAAGGTATTTGAAAACGAATTGGGAGGTGACGAATGCAGGGATGAATGTTTCGATTGCATCTGGTATAAGGTACGGTTGCAGGCAGGCAATGTGGCAGAGGTGGAGGATAGTTGTGGGTCGAACCTGATGCCTAGGATGCACACCGGTTCGGTGAGTCTGAGGGATAGGCCAGAAATGTTGAGGAAGTCAGAGCCGCAGGACAGAAGACGTTGACGGGAGCCAAGAAGTATGGCTTCCGTCTTGTCAGCATTTAGTTATAAGAAGTTTTCGCTCATCCAGGCCCTGATGTCCACCAGACAAGCTGACAGAACATCGGCGAACCTGGAGTTATAGTAGGAGGAGAAATAGATTTGTGTGTCATCCTCATATATGTGGAAGTTTACCCTGTGTCTGCGGATGACATTGCCAAGAAGGGAGCATACAGATGAGGAAGAGGAGGAGGCCAAGGATGAAGCCCTGGAGTACACCATGGTGACCTAGCGGGTGGGAGGAGAAATCATTTGAAGAGACAAAGTGAAGGCTGTTTGTTAGGTAGGACTCAAACTAGCCTAGTGTAGTCTCTCTAAGCTGGATGATGGAGGAGGGGTGGTGGATGACGATGGTGTGATCGACTATATTGAATGCAGTGGAGAGGTCCAGGAGGACGAGGTTGTGGAGGGAGCCCTGGTCTCAGAGATAGAGAGCTGTTAAACTCTCTCAATAGCCCCAATGTAATGTGTGGTCCCCAAGAGTAGGCTCTCGCCAACCAGTGCTTAATACTTGATACATTAGGTAAGCAGTGTGTATCCTTCTAAGGAGAGAGTACTCATTCCATTCCAGACACAACGATATTTCCATGTGTAGGTGGCATGCATATGTGGAACTTTCCACATATGTCAGACACCCAGCTGACAAAACAGAATATGTAATGCTGTGGGGTGTTAGAAGCACTGATCTTCTGATGAAATATAAACTGAAATCTGGTTTGTCTGCCTGGGTGGACAATAAAGATTCCATGCCATTATTCAAAAAGAAAGTGAGTTTCTCCTGGTGCCCTGGCCAACAATCCTCCATATGAAATTCATTATTTATTTCATGGCAGTTGGACAATTTGTGTAATTTGGCTTTGTTTGCCTACAAATACACCAGCCACTATATTTTACAGAAACTTTGTGAAGTGCCTTGAGACATTTGTGATGTTCTAAGCATTGTACCAAATTAAGTATTATTGCTATTATTCTTTTACAAAGTGTCTTTCAAAATATTATAAGCAAAATACAAAACAACAATTGCGCTAGTTGAAGTACAGAATGTTTAAAGCAAAGAAGGTCATTCAGCTCATAATTTTTCTGCTGGTGCTACACAACAACAACAACTTGCAATTATATAGCATCCTCAATGCAGGATAGCGTCTCAGAGCGCTTAACAGTGGCAGAGCCTGACTCCGAGCCAGGAGTGGGGACGGGGTGCGGTGTAAAGTCAGTATGGTAAGGTCATCTACTTCAATCCCATCCTCGTAATTCTTAAGAGATGAATAGGATGAAAGCCATTCACATCTGGAGGATGCCTCAAGCGCTTCACAGAATTTTTCTAAAATCTAATGACTATGTATTTTGTAGTAGAGTGCAGCAGTTAATGTACAGCACAAAGTCCCACGAACAGCCACAAAGTGAATAACATAGTGCAACTGTATATCATGCCTTGCAGTAAACTTCAGATCTGGCTCAGTACCAACATTTCCAGATTGGCATGTGCTAAAAATACAGTAAGTAATGTATCACGAATAATATAGTAATAGTACTAATCCTTGCATTTGATCAAGCACCTTAACACGTCTTCGAGACATCTCAAAGCACTTCACAGAATATACCTTAAAGTGAATTGACACTACATTTTGTGGGCGAAATACGGCAGCCAATTGGGATTTGAAGTACTTTAAGTGGCTTCCAGGAATTGGCTTTGTCACGACTAAATAATACAAAAGTCAGTCAAACAGCACATGGGTTAATGATGTGAATCTGCTTCTTAATCAGATGCTTGGTATTTAAAGGTAACTACAACGTCATCCAGCTGCAGAGAAAATTTTGAGTTGAGCAAGAGTGAAACTGGGATTAAATAATGGCTAACAGAGAAAAAACTGGTGGTGGATGTTTTGTACTGAAGCAGTAGACAAGAGAAAAGGAGAGCGGAGAGCTATAGTTGCAAGATTAAAATGAATGTTGTCACTGTAGGATCACTAGCAGAACCTCCATTCTCTTTACGAATTTTGTTGCGGGATCTTTAAAGTCTAACTGAACAGGCAGATGGGACCTAAGTTTAATGTTTCATCGAAACAGCAGTCTTAAGAAAGATTTTGGCAGTCGAGAGGGATATTCCCGAAATGCAGCATTGATACTAGGTACTATAATCAAGGTGGAGGGAAAAGCTAGTGATGTGTCTGCATGGATGCAAGACATCCATCCCTGGACTCTTCCAACACTGTCAACACTGGCAAAGATTATGATGATTTAGGTATGCGTGTGGGTTCTCAGGACTATATTGCTAAATCAGTTACGTTGACACCACCAGACATCATACTCAGGCTATATAGTGTTCTGGTCAGATGACACCTTGCGTTCTGCATATAGTTCTGGTCACCACAACATAAGAGATTGTTTGTCCAGGCATTAGAGATACCTGGAAGTTTTCCTTTTCAAAGGGTAATTAACTACTGGAACAGGTTACCAGGAAGGTGTTGTGGCTTGGACACTGGATTCATTTAAAAAGCAGCTTGATGCTGTGATGGGGGGAGGGAACAGTAAGATGGGTATTATGAAAGTATGAGATCAGGTGGGCTTCTTCATACAAACCAAAATTGTAGAATAAGATTTATGGATCAGAAACAAAACCAGCTCGTCACTGTGGGATCTCAATTCCATGGGGTGAAGTAATTGTGATTCTGTGATTCAAAGTACACACAGAGCATATTACAAATAATATTTTGGAAAC